ATACATGGCAGCTGTAGCAAAAAGCTTGACCATCTACCCCCAATTCATGTATCGGAGAGAGGATCAAAGAGGTATTATCAAGTTAGCAGAGTCTGGATTGTTGAAGCTTGGAGAGAAAGGTGGACACAATATTGTTGCGACATATGGGCTTGACGAACTTGATACAGCTCTAGACAAAGCAGTTGAGACGTCTGGTCCAGGAAATATGGTAATTCTCAAACCTTGATCTATCAAAAGGTCGAGTAATGACATTCTACTAATTAGACTTCTTTTCATCAAACATGCCTTACACACTACTTGTCTCCTTTGTGGATTCTCTACCCTCCTCTTTGTTGTCCAACCTAGTTGATGCCTCATCATCATTATTCTCGGTAACACCTGAGAGCACACCTCGGATGTTATCAACTGATTCCCCAAGGAAGAATCCCTCTGATATAGCCATAGCCTCAAATCGAACAGGATCATCAGATTGCCCGCTGACGAACGATGGATATATAGCCGGTGGCCAAATAAAGCATGATGCATAGTATACGAGAGATCCCATCAAGAATGATAACAAGAAGCCAAGCTTGTATATCTTCTTGCTGGCGGAATTGACAGAGTCAGGGTCAAGTGCCCCAGCGATTCCATGGACAGTGAATGCTACACCAGCTACCCATGCCGCAACGGCACGTAAATTCCACCCGTGATAGTAGCTGTATGGAGTTCCTTCGGTCTTGATGTAAAGGCTTGGAACATGTAAATTGCCACGACGGATGATCCAGTAATCCACAACCATCACCTGTACTCAAAACATCAGAGACGAGGACAACCAGCGGTACTATGAGATACTTACACCACAGATGGGCATGAGAAAGACCGTATAAGAACCGAGAAATGTCAGAAATGTAGATGCACTTGCAATAATTTTCCATGGAACACATAGAGGCGCCATTATCGCACAGAAAACTTGACCACGAACAATGTTGATGTATCGAGGGAGAAGTCCACTAATGTCTGCACCGACTGGCAGTGAGTTAGAACCGACATTAGTGGCAACAACCGCTAGAATCATGCCCTGTGAAAGTGATATGAGTAATAGTTTACCGCGGGTCTCCATTCTTTTGTACTTACGAGACAAGCAAAGAAAACTCCTGCTCTAGCAGCTGGACCCCAGTAAGCAGTCAAAATGGCATCATAAAGATCCCACACATTCCAATATGCCTTGCCAAGGATATTGACGCAGGCACTAGTGGTAGCACAGCTGACAAACATGACAAGGACTTTGCTAATGAGAATACCAGTCGCTTGAGACCATGTTGCTTGAGATGGACGTTTCGCGTATCGGGCAATGTCCGGTTGATTGATGAGAATGGGACAGAGAGCAGCCATGACAGAGTTGATAGCCTGAATCATAGGCCAAACCAAAGCGGTACCACTGAGAGTTTTGGTTCCAAAGTTGAAATTTCCCAAACTGCCCCCGTTGGAACTGACAGCCCATCCGAAAACACCTAGGAAGGCTGCAGTTGTCACCACAGACTTGACAACAAATAGATGCCTGATAATGACCGGATGAACAAACATGAAGGGAAATTGGATAATCCAGAATATAAAGAAGGCCAACAGGTTTGCCGATGTAATTCCCGCGCTGGCTGGAAGCTTGTTGGGGATTTTCTCCCACGCAGAACCGAATATGGCGCGCAAAGCGACTGCGGTGATTCGACCACCATAGTAGGATTGGGTAGCAAAGTAGATGATGGCGACGGAAGCACGCACGATGATGAAGAGTCTAGCCCCTACAACTCCAGCAGCGGCTCGGACATAGACAGGAAATCCCACATGGTATCGTGTTGCACCTCGTGAGTTGAGAATCACAACGACGCTGAGAATCGCCGAACCGATGATAGCTGCAATGATCCCGTGCCACCATGTCTAGTTGGGACAGTGATCGTTAACCGTGTATATCAAGTGTTTTGAGAGCATTCAAGGCAAAGTCTTACCAGTCCAATTGATACCAATGTTGCACCGAGGTTATATGAGCTGGGAGAGAATGTTTGCGTCAGATAATAGGCAAAGAAATGGAGTGTTGTCCAGGTACGATGAGCTATCCAGTATGCCGTCTCAGCTGATGTTGCTTTAAAGGTAGGATATTACTTACAAGGAGGCGATGGAAGCAGATCCTCATTAAAATAAGTTCCCTGCTCTTTGGTCTGAACAAACTTCTTGAACTCATCTTTGGAGGAGACAGCTGTCTTCATTCGTTGCTTGAATGTCATGTTGGGGGTGAAGGTGAAGTTCCTTGGCTGTTGTGACAGTGGTTTGAGTCTGCCACAGCGTCCTCGTAAATGTATCAATGATTCTTATTGATTCATGTTAAGTAGCGAGTGATATTTATTTACCTCATTTGGTCTCCATTTGGCCATCGCACATGATTTTCACTAGTTTCCTCTTCCTTAGGCGATATCATATTAGGAGATCCACTCTATTGGTGTCTTATCAATGATAGATCGGACGTCCGACCTGAATCCTAGGCTAGATGAACCTGGCATAGGGGACTGTCGGTTCAGTCTTATCGCCATATAATAATAATTGCAGCTCTCTTAAATGAGAAATAGGCTGTCAACAAGTACGTCACGAGCTTCGATTCTAGAATGTAAGAACCCAAAATAGAGGGAATTGCCATGATTAAATACTCGCAACTCGCCACTCTCAGCATAATTATGGAGAGATACGCAATCCCAATCATGAACGTCAACATTCCAAGTATTGTTATGACTGATTTCTTTCAAAATGCCTTCCAATCATATGCGTTCTCCCAAGCATACGCCGCTTGAAGTATTCTTGCCTCATCCCAAAATCTTCCAACAATCTGCAAACTTGCTGGTAACTTGATCTCGGGATCTACCCTTGATGGAACAAATCCAATAGGCATAGCTAATGCTGGATGACCTGTTCCGTTGAATGGTGACGTGTTTTCCAATTTCCCTGCAGATGCGGCAATATGTTCTAATGGTGTTGCATCCACGGCGGGTAAGGGGTTGCTTGCTGTAATTGTTGTAGGCATGACGAGAAAGTCAACCGTCTTGAGGGCTGTATCGTATTCGTCCTTCAGCTTACGCATAAGATTGACAGCCTTGGGGTATGCAAGCGGATAATGCGTCCACCCGTATTCACCAGACATCAAGCCCTCCGTACTGACTGTGCTCATCTGTAAACACATATTAGAATGCTTATGAACCAGGTGAATAAGATGTCACCTTTTGGAGCGCTTCCTCTGTGTATGGAAGACTTTTCTTCTCAAAAAGGTCTGTCAACATCACCTGTCGTCTACCAGTTGCTCTTCCCAGCATGCCCATATGATTACCCATCTTGCTCATTACGGTGTAGATGTTTCGTCCAAGCCCATGTAGAGGAATACTGATTTCAGAAACGGTGGCACCAAGTTTCTCAAAACCAGCAACGGCATCACGAAACTTTGCTTCCACCCCCGGGTCAATCAGAGGCAACTCAACACCTTCTTTTAGTATGCCGATCCTCATGCCTCTGACTCCTTGCTGCTGGGTTTCCCAAAGTATCTCCCCATACCGCGGCACACTTCCGAGAAATGGGGTACCAGCAATCTGTCGGTCATCAAATCCATCAACTCCGGCAATGGCTTCCAATAAGTTTGCACAATCCATACAGGTTGAAGTTATAGGACCCACAAAGTCCACGCTGGCATCATTACTGGCAATGCCTGTATAAGGTACCAGGCCAAACGTAGCTTTGAAGCCGTATAACCCACACAACGAAGCAGGAATTCTAATACTTCCACCTTGATCACACCCAATACCCATATCGACAGCTCCACTTCCAACTAGTGCTGCAGTCCCAGAGCTACTGCCACCAGCAGAGTAGCCTTTTGCATAGGGATTATGCACTTGACCCGTGGCGGCAGTACAACTAACGGCGCCTCTCGAGAGATTCTCACAAACCGCTTTTCCGGCAATGATGCCACCGTTATTCAAAATTCTTGTGACGACCGTAGCATCCGTGCTTGGAGTCCAACCAGTAAAGCTCGACGTTCCTAGAAGACAAGGCACCTCGGCCATGGCAATGTTATCCTTGAGACAAAGCCGTTTGCCTTTGAGTAAATGGGAAGCTGGACTGCTGTGCTCGCAGTGACATTGCCATGCCCATCCCCCAAGGGGGTTGTCTTCAGCCTTCGGAAGATAAACATCTGTCCTAGGAGCTGCTTCAAGTTCAGGCTTGGGCTGATAATCTGGTCTGCTATTAGCTTCAGTTGACATCGAGGAGTTGCAGGGATGAGATTGTCGATTACAAGTGACCACACACCTTCAATGTTGGAGATTGTCTCGAGTGCAACCCTAGTCCGCTCTAGAAACTCCTTATAATCGCCAAAATAAGGTTCAGGTATATTAAGACCAACTGCCTTGGCAGTCTGGCTCACAACCTCATTCGTGACAGACATCATTATGTTCTTGATGTTGACCAATAAGCTTAGACATCAACTTTGTTTCAGGAGCTTCCGTTATCATCAGTGATTGCATTTGTGGTTCATATCTGATTGAAAAATGACCAAATCAGAACATGGAGGCCACCCACAAGGAATTAGTGTCGACGGACTTGTCCAACTCATGCATACCATCATGTCATCTGTTTTCGGTGGATGCGTCGGTTACAATTTCCCGATGATACGACGGGGGATGTTGATTGTCTTAGGGTACGCAACGGCTTTATGCAGTGAGACAGGCATGAATTTTATTGGCTAGGGGATGTTGTGGGGTGATCGGATGAGGTCCGCCTAAGATCGGGGGTCCGTGAAAGAGATAAGGATTACGGTAGAAGAATCGTACAACTCTCCACTTCGTCTGATACCTCCTGCACGAACGAGATCCTTATTAAAAGTCTTGGAAATTTAAAAGACACTTGTTTTGGGTTGATTTCAATTGCTCCACAGGATTGACTCATTAAGGTTGATCGGCAAATGTCCGGATTATCGCCATCTGTACAATAACAAAATGGTTCATGTTGAAGAGTCACTACAGATCCCGAGGGACTTTGAAGGTCAATACGATGCACATATCCAGCATTCTACTTCTTTTCAGTGACATATTTCAGAAGACATGCTAACGCAGAATAAACTACTCTAGGTTTCGGTGAGGAAGGTTTTGATCCCCAGTGGCCCAATGGTGCCAGAATTGCTGTATCCTTTGTGTTGAACTATGAGTAAGTGGAATTCCTCCCTAACGAACCCCCGCGTATTGCTAATATATACCAGAGAGGGAGGTGAACGTAATGTTCTGGATGGTGATCCTTTTTCCGAGCCATATCTCTGGGAGAAAGGTGCATCGGGAGGCTACAAAGAAGGACGCCACGTAAATGGTGAACAGGACTTCGAGTACGGTAGTCGCGTTGCATCCTGGAGACTTATCCGCCTATTCAAGGAATTTGGCTGGAGCTTCACTACGTATGCGGTCGCTTTTGCATTGAAGCGGAACCCAAAGTTTGCAAAAGCTCTGGTTCGTGATGGACACGAGATCGCTTGCCATGGATTGCGATGGCTGGACATTTGGGATTACTCGCTTGAAGAGGAAAAGGAGTACATCAAGCAGAACATCCTGATCCTGAAAGAAGTGTCGGGCGAGATGCCAGTAGGCGCTTATTATGGACGTGGCACGCCAAACACCAGGGCAATCTTTCCAGAGGTTTGGAAAAGCGTTGGGGGCGAGTTTTTGTGGTCTTCCGAATGTTACAACGACGACGTTCCATATTGGATTGATCTCCCGTGGGAAAAGGAGCTACCAGAGGACAAACGGGAGGGCATGCTTATGATTCCTTACAACTACGACTGCAATGACGGCAAGTTTCACATGTCCCCTGGATTTGGAAGCTCTGTGGGAGAGACATATGAGCAGTACCTCAAAAACACATTTGATTGTCTATATCGAGAAGGTGGCAGGATCATGAACATCCCACTACACACGCGCATCATTGGCAAGCCAGGACGTTCAGAGGCTTTGCGCAAATTTATGCAATATATCTCTGGCAAGCCTGGTGTCTGGGTCACTACGAGGAGAGACATTGCTAAGCACATGAGGCAGAAGTTTCCATACAAACCGGATGGTGCTTGGCAAACTCCTGTGTAAGACGGTCAGACGAGCCTAAAAGAAAAAGATAAAGCACATTCTAGTGAAGTAGTCTAGTTAATAGCAGAGGCTCTATTTGTCGCTAAATATGATCAAGAGCTCACACTTTGAACACAGCCTGAACAGTTGTATTTTCACGCAGGACAGATGGATGAAACTAGCTCTAATTGTATCAGACACTGTAGAAAATGAGAATCTTGATATCAATGTAATAAAAATACTAGACCGAATGAAAAGCTAGAATTCAACCATGATCGAAAGTCCAACGATCGGCCAATTTGCACTTCTAAGTGTGAGTGGGGATCGGTCAACACCGCGCACTATCGTATCGGAGCAATCTGCGCCGAAAACCACTTGGGCGGAGATATGTCCGATGTCCTCATTCCCACATGAGATAGCATTTGAAGCTAACACACTGTGAGCTAGATCAAACGCTTAATTCCTTTAGGTTTGCTTTGTGTTAGCATTAGGTCATTGAGTGTACTTTCATCTTATCTCGGAGCAATCTTTTTAATGAGATCCTGACCTGGACACCATAAAATGTCGTCGTTCGGAGGTGCGCCATTTGTCTATGATCAGCTGGATCAAGTATGTCGGCATTTGATCCGTTAGTCACTTCTTCCCCTAGTAGCTGTCCGCCGCAGGATTCAGTAGCCGAGCCTTTGAATTTACGGAAAAGGATTCGCACCGCATGCACAAGGTGTAAGAATCGTAAGCAAAAGGTATGTGACTTTGGAAACCTATTCTATGCTTATGCCTTCCCTGTCAGGGTTATAGTTTTCTCTAGATTGTGTCTAGATTTAAGTGTAGCTGAGATCCGATTTAGTGCGATGAGACTCTGCCTGTCTGCTCAAATTGCTTGCGAGCTGGTGCAGATTGTGACAAGGCCGATGTTGCAAAACAGGCTCCTCCTCCAATTGCGTACGTGAATCATCGTTCCCTTTCAGCGGGTTACGTTATTGCAAGTGCGCTGTTGGTCTAACTCGGGACCCTGACCAGATATACAAGAGCGTTGGAAGAGCGAGTAGCACAACTGGAAATTCTATTGAATCAGGGGAAGACTAATAACGAACAATGTCTTCCTCAGTCCAAAATCAACGAGTCACCAACTGCGTCTATCCCAGATCCCCCGGCGAGTGATAAAGGCGAGCATGAGAATAACATGAGCACTCTAAATGAAGTTGTCGGTATCATTTCTTTGGGAAATTTTGAGGCACCAGCATATGTAGGGCCTTCAGCCGGTTTATCTCTAGCTGTCAACCTTGGTGAGATGGTCCAGGCAACAGTATGGAAAAAGGCGATTCCTGATCACCCGCGTGGACCTCCGAGTCCCACTGCGAGTGAGAGAAGAACGCCTCTAAATGGTGTCCGTGCAATGACGATGGATGAGTTGATCAAATACAGTATGAAAGAACCTCCAAGCGATGAGCTCGGTTCTCGCTTGGTCAGGGTGTATCTGCAGCAGCTACATCCTCGTTATCCTTTCCTCGATGCAGACGAGCTCTGGAAACTTCAGAAGGCAAGAACTCCTGTAGCACTGTCAAAGTCTGGCTCTTTATCAACAGCTCAGCGATATGGTGTTTTCAAACTTTACATGGTATTCGCCATCGCAGCGACTCTGCTTCGTCTTACCACCAAAAGTACAGAAACATCGGTATCGCCAGAGGTAGCATCACCAGCTTTCCAAAGTGGAGTGCCTAGCTGAATCTGTCTACACAGCGTTTTTACATGACGGCGCTACAACATATGGCGGCAGCGAAAGTGCCGAGAACAATTCAAAATATTGAGGCCATGACATTGCTTGTCGTGTATCATCTTCGCTCTGCATCTGGCATGGCATTGTGGTATATGATAGGTCTGGCTATGCGGACCTGTATCGATCTGGGGATGCATCAAAAGTACCACGAGCAAGGTATGGGACCGACTGATATAGATAAGCATCGACGTCTATTCTGGACAGTGTACTCTCTGGAGCGAGTCATTGCGATTTCCCTTGGACGCCCATTGAGTATTCCAGACAGACAGATTGATGTCGACTTTCCTGATACCAGGGGCATTCCTTCGCCGCCTAATTCAGCCATTCCCAGATATAATACAGACATATCCATCACGAATGGCAACCTCGAGCTAACCAACCTCCTCTTTCAACTTCGGCGGATCGAGGCACGAATTCATACTTCCATCTATCGCACCGACAAGCCGCTGAGGTCAATTCGCCCCAAACTCGAGAAGATATATAGGGAGCTTGATGCTTGGAGGTTGTCTTTGACAGGAGCTCTGCCGTTTGAGAAACATGCACTCGATTATCCACTTCTCTTATATCACCGCGCGGTCCGTATGTTGATACAGCCCTTCCTTGCCATTCTCCCTGTATCAGACCCATACTATTCTCTTTGTCTAAGTGCGGCAGGGAATATTTGCCAGATGCAGAAACGACTACACCAAACAGTTGGGTATGGACACAGTTTCATTGCAGTACAGACCATTTTCGTAGCGGGTGTGACGCTCTTGTATGGCTTATGGACACAGACACACCTTGTATGGTCTGTCACGCTTGCCAATGACTTGCGAGCATGCTCACTCGTACTTTTTGTCATGAGCGAGCGAGCGCCATGGGTACGCAAATATCGTGATGCGTTTGAATTCCTGGCTGATGCAGCAATGGAGAAGCTCCGGAGTGGCGAGTCAAGCCTAGCTGAGATGGTGAATGTGGCACAAACACAGACACAGAGAGGAACCTACGACACCAGCCATGTTGAAAATGTTGCAGGCATGGATTCCATGGGAGGATCAACCTTACACTCAGGGCCCGAATCTGCGTTCTCTGGCAACAACGCTCTTGGCGAGGATGCCGACAATGTCTGGCGTCTTGTGAGTGAATTGGCCAATTGGATTGACCAGGATCAGGATGCAACGCCGGTCTGGATGCCCAACTTTGAAGCAATGCAGAACATCTCATCCAATGAACCATTCTGAATATGCCGCCGAGTAGGATACATCTGAAGGCGACCTTTAGCCACGATGATTTCAGGTACGCTGTTAAACGACGACGTCGGATTTGGTTTTCGCGTCAATTATCGTGCTTCTTCGAGTTCTCAGCGTCCCCACAATGGCACTTGACCTAGTACAGAATTATGCTCACTCTTCAATCCAAGGGGCTATTATGGGGCAGAGTGCTGAAATCATTGATGATGCTGAAACTCCACTCCTCCAGCACGAAAAATTAAGTAATTAGAGCTTTCGTCTGATCCTTTATGGCACAGATGTGGCACAGATGTGGCACAGCCATGGTAACGCTGCAATGTACTAGAATCGCATTTCTGTGCATCTTGCAAATACATCAAAAACATTCTTCATACCCAGTTCTGGTTGATGAACTTACATAACATTTGCATCATAGCTTCTTCTGAACGGAATGGACTGTTATCTTGTCGCGCAGTGATCTTTTGGCACGAATGAGCAGAGCCGCGACGTACACACTGTAAATCCGACTTGCTGGGGTAGATACATCTAGCGCTTTGTTAGTAGATCCTTGCGGCGAGTGATGGCCCAAGTACTTCGCCGCCCCAGACCTATTTATAATCAGCCTAGCTAGGCTTCATTGGTTGTCTACCGTACTGTCAAAGCTGAGCACTGCCACCTGTTATGTAAAGTATTCCATTGAATTGTCTGGTAAAGTCTTCCTTTAGCGTTGGTCACTTCAAAGAAGGTCTACCGGGTCTCGGATCGAGAGCCTCGCAGTAAGATCAACTCTTTGGTGATAACTCTCATCTCACTGTTGACTCCGGTGAGAAAGTGAGGCGAAATTGCGTGGTCAGCATAGCACGAGACTTCTACCGGTCCCGGTACTTTCCTCACTGTGCAGCCTGTGCCCCTTACTACTTAACAATGCCTATTGTGAGTAATTTATCGCGCCGTTGATCTCTTCTTCAAATGATCGACGGTTCAACTTGCCGCAATCCTTCGACCCGCCGCAGCGCTGGGTTAGCCTTACCCGTGCCCCATTAGACCCGTGATGCTGTTAGCATGTAAATTTGATAAATATCTAAGGGGAGAAGGGGGAAGTAGACTCGAGCATTGTAGACTACATTCGGCAACAATTGCACGCCTTCGTTCGAAACGAGTGTAAACACGCTCCCCTTGCGCTTGAAATGGCAAGGACAGGCTTGCTAGCATGGCTACTTCAGATCGTCTTGGTCTCAGCCTCAGCCATTCCAGCTGTGACGAAGACAGAGCGTGATTCTCCTACCGACTTGATTGATGAGTTGGTTGGCGATATGCTGGCTAGGTTTCAGAGCAGTGTGCCGATTCCGTCCGAAAATGGCACCAGCCTCTTGGCCCAGCTCCTGAGTGCTCTTGAGGGAGAATCCTATAGCATTGCTACGGAATCATCTGATCCCATTATCAGGGCGGCAAACCTTGATATAATACGGGATGCCTTCTTGTACGGTGATGCTGTTGGAGGCGGCCCATACTACCCATCCGGTATACTTGGAATCGCAAAGGATGTTCTGGACATTACCAACATACAGCTTGATTTGACTCCGCAAATTTTACTCGCTATTAATGACAGCAAGCAAGCTATACTCGATGCTGCTAAGGTAAGTAATATCTGGCGAACTGCATTCTTGACAAAAAAAATTCTATAGCTGGTTAATTAACATCAAATAGTACAATGGCCTTCAAACATTGGATGACTACGTGACGCTGTATGATGGCGAATGGATCAATTCTTTGCCGAACGGACCGGATCTAGGTGTTCAGACCAACTATACACAAGATCTATTCTTCTCCATGCAGCGACTCTCGAACAGCCCATACCAAATCCGAAGGTTGAGGAAAGGTTCGGACGAGCTCGAATTCACAATTGATACCACAACCGCTAGCGAAATCTCCGGCATGAGTCTAGAGAAATTGTTGGAAGAGGGTCGGCTATTCTACGCAGATTATCGAGACCAGATAGGATTAGAGTCTACTGGTCGATTCGCTGCTCTATGCGATGCGTACTTCTACATTGACGCCACCTCGGGAGACTTTTTGCCTCTGGCCATTCGCACCAACGTCGGTTCTAACCTGGTATACACACCCCTCGATAGCCCCAACGATTGGTTGCTGGCAAAGATGATGTACAATGTCAATGACTTTTGGTTCGCTCAGTGGAATCATCTCGCTGCTACACATGAAGTTGTGCAAATAGTTTGGATGGCAGGTATTCGTTCTTTGAGTAGAGAACATCCAGTCTATGCCATCTTGAACCGGGGTAAGTTGTAGCACCAGTGAACGGAATGGTATATCTGGAGCTGACATATTTTGTCATAGTCACGTATCAACTGTTTGCTATACAGATCTTAGCAGAGGTTTGGAACCCGCCGAATCCAACTAAAATTAAGCTAACTCAGATGTAGGCTGTCTTGTTCAATTCAGGCGGAGCTGTTGACCTTGTCTTTCCATACAGCGGACAGGCCGCAAAAAACTATACAACCAATCGTTACAACAATGGCGCAGGACAGTTCAAGGCAAACTACTTCAAGACTGATCTCAAGTCCCGTGGTCTGATCGATTATTGCCATGGACCTCGTATCAAGAACTTCCCGTTCTACCAGGATGCAGGGGTCATTTACGACGCCATTCACACGTTCATGACTTCATTCGTTAAGTCATACTACAGCTCGGATTCTGAAGTTGCCTCCGACCAAGAAATTCAAGCTTGGGTGGAGGAATGTAACGGTGCCGCTCAGGTGTTTGATTTTCCTTCAGAGATCTCTTCGATCGACACACTTATTGATGTCCTCACACACGTGGTAAGTTGTCTATTCAATTTCGAAGTCCGAACACGTTTACTCATACTAGCCAGGCGCATCTGGTCTCATCGGCACATCACGCAGTCAACACGAACGAACTTCTTCAAGTCTCGAGCACATTGCCATTCAGTCCACCATCTCTCTATAGCTCTCCGCCGACGGAAAAGAGCTCAGACACAAACCTCATCGAGTTTCTACCACCCCTGGAAAAAGTGATCGAGCAATTCCTCGTCGGCTCACTCTTTGCGCGCCCGCTTCTCGTAGGCACCAATCGTACCATCAGCCACATGTTCGACGACCAATCGGTGCTTAGCCTGATGAACGAGGAGACCCGAGTGGCAAACTCTGTCTTCATAAATACCATGCAAGAGTTCAGCGCCCAAGTAGCAGGCAGAACTTTTGATGAGAGTGGCTTAAGTCAGGGCATGCCTTTCGTATGGAAGGCATTGGATCCTAATGTGGCACCTTACTCCATCGTTGTATAAATATCTATTCAGTATTCTTTTGTCATAGACCTCACCGAGTATTCCATGTACTGTATCATGAATCAATGGATTGATCTCAACATTGTGTCATCGATTCAAAGAGCAACTAATCGCGTCGAATAGGCGCGGTGACAAGTAGACTCGGAAACAACGTATTGGAATTGTATGCCAGCTAGTCATAAGCTGATTTTGGTGTGGATTCTTGGCCTGATTCATCTAGACATTCTAGCAGACGGGCCTTTCTATTAATCTATCTTCGATGACAATGAAGCATAGGCCGAAGAGAAAGCATCCATGACTAAGATGTCAATTGCAGCACTGTACCGCTGGTGTGATTCGTAGTGTAATATGGATATCTGAACACTAGTACTGAGGCGACTGTTGAGCTATATGAATGACAAAACTGTTGAGCATCTCCCTCAGAAGCTGGATTGTCAGCAGCTGGATGATTGCGTTGACTCGGACATTTAAAGCTGTTATCCTCTTTTAAAGCAAGACTTTCTCATCTAGGCTGGAAGCTGACGAATGAGTTTGGTTGTTCTTTTGAAACCTTAAGGATGAACTTTGTCAATTCTTTTTGATAGATAGAATGTATCATGTAAACGTGTTATACGACATATTCTGAAATGTCGGACTTAAAGCGCTCCGGTTCATGATCATCGCAACCCTTCAACACTACACCGACTTGAATCCTAGGTTCTAATGCGCTAAGGCGTTTTTATGGGAATCCAGCTGAATATTCTACATAATTGCTCGCAAATATCTACTAATTGTTGAAGAGTATGTGTCTCGGCGAATCAACTTGTCAAAGGATCCATTTTACAGTTTAGATCTCAAGTCTAGGGGGAAACACTTCTTTGGTTTTGATCAATGGTTGGACCCAGCCTTTTCGAAGTCATTAGGGTGATGTCAACTACTACGTTTCAGCTTTTCGCTTACCCTAATTTCTAGCTTTTTGTATTGAACCCACTTCTTACTACAAATGGCTCGAAAATCCGCACATCACAAAGTATGGGGGCGAATCCTCCAGCATTTTCAATGGCATATAACGATTTCAACCGAGTGTATTCGCGATTACGACTTACGCGTTGCGGGCAGTAGGATCTCTTCTGTGCCCCATTCCTTCATTCTCTTTTCCGACTTGTTCAATAAATTTGACGGTTGTCCCGCCTCACTCTACAAACATGAGTAGTGCAGCAAAATCTTTGCGATTCTCGGCTCACAACTTGAACTTTTTTGAACTTCTTACAACTGTGAAAGCAATCTAAGGACATCGTTAGTCCATTTAATCAGCATTGCAATGGGACTCTATACCAAGTTGCCCGATGGCATCACAGAAGTGGATATTATCATTGCAGGTGGTAATAACAAGCCCCCCTTGTGGATCAATTTGCATAAAATAACTTTCTGCAGGTGGAACGGCCGGATGTGTCGTTGCTGGGAGATTGGCAGAGGCTGATTCTAGCTTGTCCATTCTAGTGATTGAAGGCGGCACGAACAATGACATGCCTAACATATCAATCCCGGCGCTATTCATAACCCATATCTTGCCAACCAGCCAAACAACAGTTTTCTATAAAGCTAACAAGGCGAAGGAGGTGGGCGACCGGGAGCTGGTTGTTGCAACTGGAGTCGTCCTCGGCGGAGGCTCATCTACAAACTTCCTGATGTATAGCCGAGCACAGCGCTCAGATTGGGACTCTTGGAAAACACCTGGATAGTCAGCTGATGAAATGTTGCCATACTTGAAAAAGGTATGGTGTTGCATTCCTGGTGTGCTGAAAGCAAGAGTTGACTTAATAATCATAGCTCGAGACATACCACGGCCCAGGCTCGAAGGATCTTCACGGAGACAATGGCCCCATTCAAGTCAGCCGTGGCACGTACTGGGTGCCCAGATTTCAGGACGATTTCATTGCCGCAGCTGCCAAGTTTGGATATCGTGAGGTGAAAGATTTACAAGATTTAGATGCCAATAACGCTGTAGCTCGACCGTTGCGATATATATCTACAGATGGCAAACGGCAAGACGCGGCCTCGTCTTATGTGCATCCCAAGCTACAAGATGGCAAGCATCCAAATTTGCATGTTCTGGTTGCTTCTCAGGTTCTTCGCATTCTATTCAATGATAAGAAAGCCGTCGGGGTAGAGTTCAGGCCTAACCCTGGCTTCACCGAGGCACCACAGACCGTTCAAAGTGTCAAAGCACGAAAGTTAGTTGTCCTCTCGTGTGGTGCTCTTGGCAGCCCATCTGTATTGGAGAGATCTGGCGTGGGCAGCCTAGAGGTTCTAGAACAGGCTGGAGTTCCACAATTTGTTGAAGTTCCCGGAGTTGGCGATAACTATCAGGATCATCATCTCTTCATGTACTCTTATCGGTCAGACTTGGCCCCAGATGAGACGCTAGATGCATTGATTGGCGGTCGGCTTGATGTTTCGCGAGCTGATCAAGAACCAGGATAAGCGACTGGGCTGGAATGCACAAGATGTTGGCTACAGAATCCGGCCAACTGACGACGAGGTCGCTGCCCTTGGTCCAGCGTTCCAGGAAGCTTGGGATAAACACTATAGGGATTTCCCTGACAGACCTTTGGCAATAGGCGCTGCTATAGACAGGTAAGATATGATCAGTGGCACTGTAGATAGAGCGTACTGACAAAATATAGCTTCACAGGTGATCCAAGCATTCTCCCTGTGGGGCAATATATCTCTGTATCAGCATTCACGACATACCCATTTTCCCGTGGGTACGTACATATAACGGGACCGGCGCTGGAAGACGAGCTTGACTTTGAGACCGGATACTTTGCTGATGCTGGTGGCAACGACATCAAGAAGCACATCTGGTTATACAAGAAGCAACGCGAGATATTCCGACGCATGCAACTATACCGAGGCGAAGTGGCAATATCTCATCCTCCTTTCCCAGAAGGATCCGAAGCTGCATGCAAAGAGCTTGGTGCACCTCTTTCAGACGTGCAAGATATCAAATACTCGGCTGAGGATGACGCAATACTTGAGAAGTGGCTCCGAGAGCGTGTTGAGACTACCTGGCACTCTCTGGGGACCTGTAAGATGGCGCCACTTGAGAAGAAGGGCGTCGTAGATGCAAACCTCAGTGTGTGGGGCGTTCAAGGGCTGAAAGTTGCCGACCTAAGCATTGCACCCGAGAATGTCGCTGCAAATACCAACAATACTGCATTGGCAATAGGCGAGAAGGCGGCAGACATCTTCATCCAAGAGCTTGGTCTCAGGAAATAGCAGACATGAATAGGAATCAATCAACGTGATACAGAAGCCTTTTGCATGAATCATAATATGATACGTAAGATGCATGTTGGTCCTGCTTGCTTACTTGGCCATTAATCACCTGGTCTCTTTTCTCTTTACCTTTGCTACCTTTTCATCTATGTTGTTTGTGAGTCAGCGTGTATCTATGAACACCGAGATCAATTCACCCTACTTCTCAACAGATCACTCTGATGATTGAAGCAACTGATCAACTGATAAAGAGTGCAAGGATTTCGGTCAACTTCTCGACTTCATTTGTCCGTCCGAAATGATGCTAGTCAAACTAGAGCGACAGAAGAATTCACACAAAGAAGATATACAATCGTCAGAACCGCACACCATGATATAGAAGATAAGACAATTCCCCCGTACGTAATTGGTAGGGAAATTATGTATCTTTGCAAATTGGCGCTGTTTCTGCAAGAGATGATCGAGTGTTTGGGCTGTATTTACATCAAGCCATTCCATTTTACAGCGGCCTGAAAGCAATGGTGTCTCTACTCAGTCCAAGTGAAAATCGAGCAATAAGACATCAATCAGACAGGCTTTGGTTATTTGTAGTACAAAAACAAGTCAACGTGATGCCAGGGACCCTTGCTTAACAATTGTCTTGGGCAGTCCTTGTCACTATTTTGAGAACGTTTTGCAACGCCACAAAGTCCGTTTTAAGCCACCGTATAACGATTTCTAACGCGTCAGAGACTAGTGCATGCCTAGCGATAATTAATTTGAAAACCAATACATATCACTGGTCGATTGATGACGGATTGATCCTGGCTCGACTTGTCTTTACTACGCCGTACGCTAAATTGATTTGAATGGTACGATTCCGAAAAGAGAGAAGCGAAACAGATATGAGGTCGATGCGCCCTACAGCTAGGTAACCTTTGCAAATGTGACGATGCAATATTTCCGCCTAAGTGCCAAGTAATTAGAACTCCAGCAACAAAGCCTTTGCCCAAGGTGAACCCTTAAACAGTGAAGTATTGTCACTCGCAGTCATACTATCGGCAGTTTTGTATCACCGCTACCTTTCCAGACCAATGGCACGGTCGGCAAGTCCGGGACTGGTAGAGCGTTTGTTTCTGGCTATTTCTGATAGTAGTTTGAACATCAAGCTGCTAACCATCATTACGGTTTTCGGATTTCTCTATACATTCTTCGCGAGACCAGATCAGTCAAGATTATTCCCAAAATGGGCTCCTCTGGAAATCGCCGGGGCATCTTATGTGCTCAGTAGAGGCGGATTGCCTCTTCGAATTTAGTACGTGACTGCTTGTAGCAAGCATTGAGCATTCGCTCACAATCATCTAGCTCAACACTGAGAAGATTTGGGGGCTCATTCTTTGGGTTCACTTCAACTCACCAAGTCATTCATAACCTACCAGACCTCGACCGTCTTCTAGCTCATGGTCATCATATACTTGATGGCGAACCTCGAGATTGGACCATCTTGGTGCGGGTCTTTGGCGGAGAGAATTCAAAAGGGCTGCGTGAGAAGATCCAAGAGATCCTCATTCCGATCAATGCTGCGACTGAGCGTCTATTTACCAATGAAGTCAACGCGAACGCAGCAGCCGAGCGGGCCGATATCCCTGGAAAAGCTGCGTCCCTCGCCACTTTCTCTGATGATCCGCAGAATCTAGCACGTTGGGAATGGTCTGCTAATGTCAGAGTTGTCACTCCCAATTCCAATGGCCACGGTGGTGCTGCCGAAGCAGATTTACATAATCTCATTCGCGACCTTGGGGCTTGTGTTTCCATACCTCAATTATATGGCCAGGACTTCCTAGACCGCAGTCTTACCTTGCTTAATGATTTATGGAAGTTTGACAACGATTTATTTCCTATGCTAATGGTCGGCGTTCCTGAATGGGCGCCCTTCCAAGTTATGAAGGACGGACTTGCAGCACGCTCTCGCTTACACCAGCAACTCGCTGCCTTGTACAAGCGTGCAGACCAGTATCTGAAAGGAGAGTCGGTCGACTTCAATGCAGACATGTCTGATATAAGTCATGTCGTTCGTGAACGAACAAAGCTGTACAACAAGATGGATGTACCATTTCGCCATCGTGGGCAGATAGATCTCGGGAATTTATGGGCTCAAAATGCCAACACGCATCCACTGGTGTTCTGGCTGGTTCTCTACATATATTCAACCCCAGGATTGGTCGGAGAGTTGCGCAAGGAGATCTCACCATACATCACACTCTCAGATACACCAGCTCTCACCATCACAGTGTTTGACCTTCGATCTATTTGCAGCAAATGTCCGCTGCTGAGGTCCAGCATGTATGAGACGTTCCGCATGGCCAATCAACCCACTTCGATTCGATATCTTAGCCGTCCTATGACCATTCACGATGGTCAACAAGAGCATCATCTCAAGTCCGGGACTTGGATATCTGCCGTTCACGCTGTGTTACAAAAAGACCCATCTGTATACCCCGAGCCGGAAAAGTTCATTCCTGATCGTTTCCTTGAAAGTGATAAGGAAAATGGAAACAAAGTAGCCCGATATGGAAAGCTTAGACCATGGGGTACGGGTCCTGGAATGTGCAAAGGTCGAATATTTGCAGAGAAGGAGATTCTGGGTATTGCCGCAGCTGTTATAGCTCTTTGGGATATCGAACCAGTAAGCAAGGTCTGGAAAGTGCCAGCAATGCGGCCTGGTACAGGCGTGAATCGCCCAGTGCATGATGTTCGTGTAATCATCAAGAAGAGAGTTATGACTCAGTGAATAGACATACAAAAGCTTCTAAACAGAGACATGAATGCGAATTTAGTTATATTAGTCGTTCAAAATAGTGTCTGCAAAAGTGTCAGATGTCACCTTCTTGCTGATCACCAAAAGAGTGCCGTAACAAAGAATAGTATCAAACGTGTCTCTCAGGCAATTTCAAGGTTAAGCATCAATGTTTAGTACTGGCAGGCTAATCTGCATTATGCATGCGTTAGCATCGTCTAACCACGTTTTTCATCAAGTTCAAGCTTAGTCCATTACATTCGTTTTGGTAATTCCGTGCCATCAATTTCTTGAGCAGGCGTTGAATAGTGATAGTAACCATGCATATTTGCAGGCTCAAGCTCACCCGCGCCATGTTGCTCATCTAGCTCCGCAGGTCTCGTGCTCGGCTCGAGCTCACTCCTGCCATAATACCCACCAAACTCTCCTGATTTGGCAGGCGAGAAAGATTGCTGGGCGTTGGCGCCCACAGGCATTTCGCTAACCTCCTCAGCAGGAGCTGCAACTTGACGTTTCCTACGCCACAACAACCAAGCTCCTACGAGAACTACAGCGATTCCTCCAAGAACCCCTATGACGATACCTGCCATGGCGCCCCCACTCAGCCCAGCTTTGCTTTCGGTATTAGAGGTCGGACTGGCTGTGGCAGACAACGAAGTAGTGCTTGCAGCTGAGGAGGATGATGGCGATGTTTGGGTTGATATCGCAGATGATGACGAGCTGACGGAGGAGGTTGGTTCTGGCAGATGAAATGGTAAGCTTGACCATCGACCAGCTCATGGAATAGTTAGAAGGTGAACATAGTAAATACCTTGGCCAGCACTGATCAATTCCAATAAAACCTCTCCAGGCTGAAATGAATATCCCGGTGCCGCACAGCCATTGCTCCCCGTCCTCGTGGCTGCGTAGCCAGTGTAGCCCGGTAAGCAGCAGAAGTAGCCTCCGTTATCGTACAGATCCCAAGATTGATTCGCACACTGAGGATTCCGTAGCAGTGTAGTCGTGCAGTTCGCTGCAGTTGGACAGCACTAGAACTTGGTCGGTTGGTCAGCGAGCCAATGCAAGGCCACCCTCCTCTATGTGGCAGTATGTATGCTTCAAGCCGAGTGGGTGAATCTATCAAGTACTGACATCAACGTTGTAGCTTTGAGGACAGAAGGATGACTCGGGGCAGCAGACACGGTAAGGGTAAACAGTCGCTCCGCAGTCCTCCTGGTTGGATGCGCATGACCCATTAACGCGCAGCGCGAAGCCGGATGTAGAGACCGACATCGCCTATCCGTCTGCTAGATTGACCAACACCGGGATTCTATTCGAACCATAAGAAGCCGTACACCATGACATCAACTCAAGGGCTGTACTTGAAGGGAAGTCGTCTCAATACGATGCCAAATTGCAAGCTCCAAATTCAGAAAAAGTTAGTTGATAGACTGTGGTGGGTACTCGTTAAACATAATTACTACGCAGTAAAGAGATCACTGCCATGCTTCCACGCTAGGCAGCCCCTGAAACTCCACCGTTGTTTAACGTTAAACGTTAGTTGGGTGGGCAGCGGGTCAGTGTTACCTAAACCAAGGAAGGATTATCGCCAAGCATCCTTCTTGGTGGCACAGCACAAATACCAGAGGGCCAAGAGTACTTACAACACCGTGTATGATACCCCTAAGGCTCTTGACAGCGGGGCTTCCGGAACAGCCGGTAGTAATCCAAGTCTTCAGATCTTTTAGATCTTCTATAACTTGGCCAATTAATCGATGACGAGGCACAATTCGATGTGCACCAAATCAGTCGGCATTGAGAGGCTCGCTACAGTGCGCTTGCCGTTTTTCCAGATCACAAGGTTCGCTAAGTGACCTGCATTGGTTTGAGACGGGAACATGCATTATAAGCCCCCAATTACAGACGACATCGAGTACTGGGGACTTGAATTGACTCAAACTATTTGAAGGCAGGGGTAGTACAAGCCATGCGCACCTGATCGAAAAGAAGAAGAGCCTGATGTACATGTGTGACAATGTCGCCCATTTTGAAGGGATGACACGATGTCATTCCCCCATGCAAGTAATGGAAAGAGCATTGTGCTGAAATATAGTACGTAAGCACTGCCTTACAACATATAACGAAAAGTGTATACTTCGCCGTCTTCGGCACGGTCGATCTTTTTATTTTCCTTCCTTAACCAAAATCGAAGCGTTAAAGAAGCAGTAGAGCAAACTACCAAGGCGACGGCAATAACAATGCAACCTTTCCGATATAAGCTACTTACATATCAGCATTGACCAGTGACTTCCGAGATGATGTTCATTTATACTTACGGGGCATCGGACTTTGGATAGAGGTACGAAGTACTGATGTTCGTCGCGTTGCTGACAGCAGTACACAAGGCAAGAGCCACAGCTCTTTTTGCCTTTGGTCGAGGGATAGTGGTGGATATCCATGACAGAATGATTTGGAAGACTGAGAATGATCCGGCTGCCTGGAGGAACATGGCCTATAATGTGAAATCAGCAGCTGTAATTTTACAAGTTTAGCTGATGATTCTTAGCACATACAAAGTATCTAGCACCAGTGTTGTGGGTTGACATCGAGAGGATCTGTCCAACGATAGAGATAACACAGCCTGTGATGATATGGAAACAACGTTCCTGTGTCTTGCCACTGTGCCATGAATTCGTGATAGAAAATATGCAAGCGAAGAAATACGGTGGCGCGGTAAGGAGGAGAGTTTCGATATTAGGATAGCCAAGTGTCTGAACAATGGAGGGGAAGAAGTCTGCAGTTTTCGTATGATCAGTATGTCACGCGAGATTGATCTCTGATCATACGTGGCTTGTCAGACTTACATGTAAAACTCATGCCCACGACTGCGCCAGTGAGAATAAGAACCAGAAGCCAAGCCTTGGGATCAGCCAGACACTGTTTGAGCCCGATAAACACAGATTCTTTCACCTCATCGGTCTCGCCGTCGGTCTCTCGAGAAAGACGGTATTGAGCCAAGGCACTCTCAGCTTCCGTGAGCCATGGTGTGTTAGTTGGGTAGTTGGGCAAAAGGGCGTAACCCAAGAATGCAGCCACGATAGTTACAGCTCCTTCAATAATAAAAACCCATCGCTGCGACCATCTTAGACAAGCTGCTGGTATTGGTGATGTAGGACTTACCCATGCTGGATAACCTCCGGTTCCATCCATATTCCCGATAATTCCCGCCGCGATGAGACCTCCAAACGCAGAGGAGAGGGTGTATCCACTGTAGAAAATGGCGATCCTCGAGGGTAACTCGGTTCTGGTGTACCATGATGACAGGAAGAAGACGCAGCCGGGAAAGTAAGGAGCTTCGACAACGCCGACCAAGAACCGGAGAACAACCAGACCAGTGAAGTTCTGAACGAACCCTGTAGCACCAGACACCTAGAAAAGATATTAGTTCATACCATTAAGGTCCGTCTCTATGCACATACCACGCCCCAAACAATTACAACTGTGGGAAGATAGATTCTTGGTTTGAAGATCGAAAGCAACATGTTCGATGGAATCATCATGGAGATATAACCAGCTAGTCATGAATCAGTAATTGAATGCCTCGCAGCAAGAGTCAAGTTGCGGGCAACTCACCCCACAGCACCATAACTGCGGTCTGGTATTGGACGTCGTCTATTCTCAATGTCCTTTCCAGACCACCGAGCCGTGCATTGGCAATGGCGTTTCGGTCAAGGATGTTCAGTAGAAATAGTACAATAAGAATCGGTAGGCTTCGTAGATCGATCTTGCGAACTAATGATTTCTCCATCACCTGCAACTCATCGGAGGTATAGGGACGAAGAATCTCAGGCATCCCAATGGGTGCGTGGTCTTTCGCCTCTTCGATACCCGCTGCATGGGCTTTGGCCTCAATGTTATTGCTCTGGTCGGCGGCCGACATGATGGGCTGTATTCAATATCGCAACTTTCTTTATTTCTGGTCCAATAAAACAGCTGCTAGGAACAGAAGTAGTAGGAGTGGTCTGCAAAGCAGATTCACGGATCTGCCGTTTTATGTAGGTATCCGGGCGACCTTGACAAGACTGTGGCACCCCCAAGTTCCCCGCAATGCCCCATCCCCATATTCCACTAGTTGTGGAATAAGGCCCTTCCCGTAGGTGACTTGACGGTGACTCGGCCAAACGCCGGGAGGGATCGTCTACCATGAGCTTTGCCGGCTATTAGATTCGCACTTTCCGCCGAAGCCAGTCTCGGCAGCGAAACGTTGTTAGAAAGTCTCGTGACGAATGAGAAAGAAGTTAAAGAGGATGAGTAGCATAGAACACTTTTTTATCAATCATATTATTTGCCATGAAACCGGTAGGTGCTGACAATCATCAAAATGTCACCAGCCGTCAAACACAAGGGAAACCGGGCTTTAGCAATTGTTGAAAATGCGGCCGTAGGTGGCTACGCTGTTCCGGCAATATGATGCTACAACCTCGAGAGAATCATGCATCTGTCAAGGCTGCCGAGGCGAAAAGGTCACCTGTCATTGTTCAGCTTTTCCCTTGGGCTGTGGAGTTTGCCGACGGACTTCTCATCCATGCAGCCAAAGAGGCCGCAGATAAGGCAACTGTGCCTGTAGCAGTACACATGGATCACGCACAGTCTCCAGATATTATAAGAGAAGCGGCCGAGCTTGGACGTTTTGATGGGATCATGGTCGACATGAGCCATTACGAGAAAGAAGAGAATATGGCTAAGACGAGAGAGCTCGTTGACTACTTACACGCGAGGGGCATCATTGCCGAAGCGGAGCCTGGCAGGATAAATGGTGGGGAGGATGGTCTCGAAGATACCGGTGATCTTGAGGGGGTTCTCACTATACCTGAACAGGCAGAAGAGTTTCTCGCATTGGGAATCGACTGGTTGGCGCCTGCATTTGGTAATGTGCATGGTAAATATGGCCCCAGGGGTCCCAGCCTGGATTATGAGCGCCTTGATCAGATTCACAAGACAACTCGTGGTAGAGTCCATCTGGTTCTCCATGGGGCAAACGGTTTTGAGGAGGCCCTCTTCAAAGAGTGTATCAAGCGCGGTCTGGCAAAATGTAATGTGAACGATGCGGTCAATGCGAGGTTCCCCGAAGTCCAAAAAGAAAAGGCAGGCCGCGTACCCCTTACTGTGGTAATCGAGGAGGGTACTCTGGCTATGCAGAGAGCTGTAGAGATGCACATGGACTGGATGGGATCTACAGGCAAGGCGTAACGGGCTTTGGATACTTGATACTGCAAAAAGCAAGACAACTTGAAGTCGTCTTGTGTAGAAGAAAGGTAGCATATATAGAAAGGTATTGTTGCTGATATCTCCAACTTGTATCGTGCATTCCCATATTCTTATACAAGTGTATTGACGCACATGCCAGTATTCTGTAGTTACACTTTTCACTTATCTTGATATGGCCGCTCTTTTATTATTCTTCCAACAGTTCTTCAATATGGAAAGCGGGATCCCAACCCCTAAACATTGCTCAGACTGTCCTTAAAGTCGCTGACGATAGCATCGAACGATGTATCTCTTGAGTAACCCAAGTTCAGAGCCTTCGTGTTGTCGAAAAGTGTAGGCCACGAATATAAGACAGGCTTCAATTTGGGGTCTTCTTCTTCTGACAGATACTGGAGTTTGTCGTGGCCCCCTACCCTGGCAAGCGAGTCCATCATATCCTGGACGGAAACACCAATTCCCGGCAAATTGACCACGCGATCGTACGGGTGTAGTGAATCTTGGGCAATACTGAGCGAGTGAATGAGATTGGCTACGAGAATGCGTGGAGAACATAGCCAGTGGCGGAAAGCCCGGTCTTTGATTGGAATGACGCACGAGAGCCCTTGCATCGGTTCCCTAATCATCCCTGAAAGGAATGAGGATGCTGCTGCAGTGGGCTTGCCTGGTCGCACCGAGACAGTAGGAAGGCGGAGTACAATGCCGTTAATGAAGTCGCGACGTGTAAACTCGGTGATGAGGTACTCGCACATCATCTTTTCGCATCCATACGCTGATTCGGGAGTAGGGCGGGTCGCCTCTGTCACGGGTTCTTCAATAACACCGCCATATACTGCTTGACTCGACGTATAAATAACCCTTACTCCGGGGCAATTTTTGCGCAGGGATTCAAGGAGTGCTCTGGTGGCATCAAAGTTCACTTTCATCCCTAAGATTAAAACGATTATCAGCAGGGGTCGCGGATCTTGATTTCCCACGCTCACTCACCCAAATCAAAGTCACTTTCCGAACCAGACGACATGATCCCGTGAAAAATAAACACAGCATCTAATCCCTTGTCGACCACGGAAGATGAGTCGACGAGGAGGTCTGCTTGAACTGATTTAGCGTTCCCCGGCCATTTTGTTCCTTGCGGAATGGATGCCTCAATAACGTCGGTTAAGATGGTTGTATATCGCCCATCCTCGTCATTGAGGAGAGCTCTAGCCAGCTGTTGTCCAACAAACCCAGCAGCCCCAGTGATTAATACACGCATCTCGAGTTGCTTCAAAATTGTAGGCGTGATTGAACTTTTTGGGGTATGGCACGATTGTACAAGATTAGTGCAAGCTAAGGTGTGGCTGTCTTGTCGGATGAATGTGCCGAGTGTTCTGATTGAACTAGGTGGACAATTGATGCTCGATAATAACCTATTTCTTATTGAAGACTGCGATGGTCATTTCATCCTGCATTGCGTCGATCCCTTCGGTATCGGGACACCTTGGTTCAGCTATGCGGGAGCTCGCTGCTTTCTCCGAGGTGGGTCCGGCGACTGCGCCGATGAGCATTGCCGAGATGATTAACTTGGGTTGGTCAGACTTGCTCGGCTCCTCCAATGCAAGCACCAATGACAGAGCTTTTAATTCATAGGTACGTAGTGGTTAGAAGCTGAATGACTGACCTATTTGTGCATGAGGTCCCAGATATCGGTTTTGTGGTGAGGTTTTGATTGTCTACTTGACGATGACGCTTAAAACGAATATCACGGCTGATCAGTTGCGGAAACACTCTTCGCCAGATAATTGCTGGCTTGCCGTTAATGGTGTCGTATGGGATTTCGCCGATTTTGCTTCTGATCATCCCGGTGGTGCTGCTAGTAAGAACACGGTTCTTGTTTTATGGGCGTAATTTTGACAATGCTACAGTCATCCATAAATACGCGGGCCAAGACGCTTCAGCCATATATAACAGCATTCACGCACCTTCTCTCATTCAGAATGAGTTAGATGCATCTAAAAGGATAGGAGATATTGACCAGCATGACATCAGCAGAAGTTCAAATGCTTTGCGGACCCAGGCCCCTACCACGTCTCAGACGACCAAGAGTCGTGGAGAAAAGAGACCTTTGCACACACTCCTCAGCAGTCATGATTTTGAAACGGCTGCGTCGGAGAATCTCTCGGAAAAGGGATGGGCGTTTTTCTCTTCTGCTGCAACCGACTGCAGAACCAGCAATTTAAATACTGCACTTTTCGGACGCATCTGGTTGCGACCGCACATTCTGAAGAACGTCAAAGAAATTAGCACAAAAACAAAAATACTCGGCAACGATACAAATCTCCCTTTGTTTGTTAGTCCAACCGCCATGGTCAGGCTGGCCCATGCAGACGGAGAGATGACAATAGCGAAGGGGTGTTCAAAATTTGGCATCGCACACACGGTAGGTAGTTCGCTTTTTCATGACAAACTAAGAGTGATGTTGTGCGGCTTACACTCCAGAAAATAGATTTCGACAAACGCTTCGTATCCAATGGCAGACATAACAACGTGTGCCGACACAACCTTCTTCTTTCAACTCTATGTCAACAAAGATCGTGCTGCCTCCGAGAAGCTCCTCAAGCAAGCCGAGAGATGTGGTATGAAGGCTGTCTTTGTGACCGTCGATCAACCCACTCCCGGGAAGCGGGAGGCTGATGAACGGGCTAAGGCGGATGCCACAGCATTGACACCGACACCAAATGGCGCTGTAGCGACCAATGACGCGAAGGGAGGCGGTTTGGGACGTACAATGGGAGGATTCATCGACTCAACCACCAACTGGGATGACATTAAATGGCTCCGTCGTGCGACTAGATTGCCGATTGTTCTCAAAGGGGTGCAGACTGTAGAAGATGCGATTAGGGCTGTCAATCATGGACTTGACGGGATATTGATTGGTAACCATGGGGGGAGAAGCCTAGACACGTCAACACCAGCCATCATGATTTTACTTGAGCTGCAGCTCAACTGCCCTGAGATATTTAACCAGATAGAGGTTTACCTTGATGGTGGAATTCGACGTGGTACGGACATATTTAAGGCATTATGTCTAGGAGCTAAAGCTGTGGGGATGGGTAGGCCTTTTCTCTACGCGGCAAATTATGGGTCCGAAGGTGTTGAACATTTGATTGAAAGTGAGTGATATGGCTACCGTTTTGAAGGAAAATGTGCTGACCAACATGCCAAACAGTTATGAAAGACGAGTTTGAAACAACCATGCGAATGATGGGCTGTACTGAGATCTCCCAATTGCACCCGGCGTTACTCAATACGTTGCAGCTTAATCCTATCGTTCCGAGACTAGACCCGCCAGTACATCTTGTAGCACGACCGAAGCTTTGAAGGTTTGATAATGCTCGTTGGTTATCTTCTCGATCTTTCAGCTAGAGGAACATTGAGAAATGGGCATGACTGTCGTCGGCCAATGAGGGGTAAAGTTGAAGAATTCTCACACTTGAGCAATTTCATATCATTGTGAATGAAAAATCCTACACTTGTCATATAGTTAACGACACTTGTGAAATATAAATGTCAAATGATTATGTACAGTATTGTTGGCATGCGGCTACATGGATACATTTCTCATTAATTTACCTCCCCCGTTCTTCGTGATGATGAGGCAGTTTTGTGCGTCCTACTGCGCATTCTTCTTCGTATTCACAACCGTCAAGATTTGAGTCATGGCGAACTTTCTAGGAGCGGTGCGACGCTCCCACAACTCATCGATCTCAATATAGGTCCTACCCTTGGTCTCGGGAACCATGAAGAAAATGAAGATGGTCGCGACAACAAGAGTACCAGCGAAGACAAAAGCAATCTTGCCGCCCATATTACCTTCGTCCGCATTGATGGCATATGGCAAAGAGAAACTCCAGATGCAGGATGAGAGACCATTCATCATTGTGCAGAGGGCCATCGTCGGTGAACGGAGTCTTGATGTGGCGTTCTCGGCAGCAATGGGCCATGCTGCAGAACCAATGGTACCTTGGTAGACTGAAATCACATCATCGTTAGATTCGATACTGAGGCTTATTGATCGGGACGTCATGACTTACCAAATCCCCAAACTGCCATGAAGGCGACTTGGCCCCAGATGGCACCGTGGGTCTTAATACACGCCAGAATACCGATCAGGAAGAGAGTGACACATAGGATACTGGTTCCCCACAGGGCAGCGGCTCTACGCCCGAATTTCTCAACCCAGAGCCATCCGAACATGTTACCAATGACCATGAGACCGCTGACTCCAACACTAGCACTGAATGCGTCGTTTGAGCTAAGACCACCAAGCTCCATGAAATCTTCAAATCACGTTAGCCACCAAGGCCTGCGAGTGAGTAGTGGTTTCTACTTACAACTCATATAACCGATGACCCAAACGCTACCGCAGCAGTTCTGGATAAAGTACATGCTTGTGCCAACCAGTGTACGTCTCCATTGCTTCTGCGAGAAGCATTCACGAAGCGAGCCTTGCTGCGCGTTGTCCTGAGCCAAGCGAGCAAGGGCTGCACGAATCTCTGCCATGTGACCATCGATGTCGTAGTCAGGACGGTGAAGTTTAGCTAGGTTAGCCCTGGCCTTTTCGGGTTTGCCGTGTGAGACGAGCCAATAGGGTGATCTAAGATAGGGTAGTCAGAAGCTATCAAGTCATGAAATGATGCCGTAACTTACTCGACGAAGAAAGGAAGGACAATGATGCCGACAGCGGCGAAGCCCCACTCCGTTGCAAACATGACCTTGTATTGTCTTGCATCGTTGTAGAACCCGGCTTGACGCATGACTCCATAGCCAATAAGCTGACCCAGGACAATGGCGAAGTTCATGCCAGCAGTGATGGCACCCCGAATCTTCAATGGGGCCATTTCAGAGGCGTAGGTCGGCGCAATGGTTGTGAAAACTCCAAGTGGAATACCGGTAAGAAGCTTACCGCCGAAGAACATGGCGTTCGTCGAAGCAAAGTATTGCAAGAAGATACCGGCGACAGATAGCAGTTGGCCACCGAGGATGCAGAGTTGTCGGCCCCAGAGATTGACGGCCAGGCCAGACAGGAATCCACCAATGACAATACCTACATGTCGTTGATTAGATCTTGGACGAAAGTAGAGAAAGTAGAGGTAGATCATATAGCATACCGGCGAGAGTAGCACCCTGCCAAGCGAGCTGCCAGGCAGCATTGACAACATAGTCCCCACCGTAAGGGGTGCCAAAGTCTTTTCTAAACCAGGGGATCGAGACTACGACGCTACTAGCCATACCGTCGTAGCCAAAGGTAATACAGATGAAAAACATATACATGCACCACGCCAGGGGCTTGATATGTTCCCTGATGGCCTGGGAGATGGTCAATGAGTGCTGGTAAGCCTCAAATGAGGCCGCAGCCTCGGAAGCATCAACCACAGCATTCTGCGGATCAGCTTTGAGGTCCGAAAGCTCGGCGCCGTCGAGATGGGCCACGGTCTCCTCCTTGTGGTCCACCATAATGTGTGATACAAGATGATGATGGGATGGATTAAGACGAGAAGAGTTGCGTATGATATGATGAATCCGAGGCAAAGAGCCAGACAATACCGTATTGCTTGACCAAGACACGACGCAGCATCAACATGGGATGCCCAGGCCCTTTATATATCTACGACGATCAATTCTAGACTCGCAGGGTATCATTCTCCTGATCGTATGTGGGGTGCAGAGAAACCACGGGGGAAGGGTCTTCCCCATGGCCCCATCTGCACACTAAGGGAGAATCCTCGGAGTATCCCCTGAATCGCGCGCCATGTGGGGGTCCCATGGACGTTCGCGATTTTCGAACCACGCAATTCTCGGGGCCATGAAGGTCTCGAAATGTCTCCTTTTCCATTCCTCGCGTGGCATCGCAAATTTGGCAAGTGTCAGCTGAGGGAAACTCCCGACGGTCTGGTATTAGCGAACAACCGAAGCGTTCTGAAGTGGCACCCTTCAATCCTTGCTCACCCGAATTGGCTCTTGCCATATTCCCGGGTCATGTTTTTACTGTCAATTTCATCTCTGTCATCGACTACAGCAACGTAGCGTGTTCCGCGATGCACATCTCCAGGTAAATTTGACCAGAACCTGTCCCAAAGAGATTTGATCTCGTCACGGTCGGATATACGGTCGCGTAGGCCAACACAACGGTAATCAACACTATCCAGTCCAAGAGTTAAAGCCGACTTCTGGAAATTGACTCAAAAAGGTTTCCCCAGAACCATACTCCAGCAAGCTAACCAGGCTATCCAGGTCCATATTGTATATCGTCTCATGGACGCTATTGTCCATGTGACTAGCGGCTGTTGGATCCATCGTCGCATCCACACCGACATGTATTCCCGAATGCATCTCGGGTTGGTCACCGGCACCCCCACCATTCGTGTCGACTCTGTTTGATGCGGTGACTCTCCGAATCATCTCATGTATGCCTGCGACAATCAATCGCGTTGAGTGTTTCTCGCTGACTTTCTCCGCAACCTCAGACAGCAGATCTGCCGACCGGTGGGTGAGCCGCAACACCCCATCTATGTTGAAGCCCAGGCCTAATCCTTGCAACGGGTCATCATTGCCAAACGATCTAATAGCGGCCATCTTCAGGAGGAAAGTAGCACAAAAGGCCACCATCGCGTGCGTGAACAACGGGACACCGTTCAGTGCCCGACGCAAGTCTCTTTCATCAAGAATATACATGAGTGTGTTTATGGCTGCGGATATAGCAGCCATCGCTGCCTCCCGACGATTTGACGAGAGCGGTTGGGCACTCGGCCAGCGTATTCCGCGTAAGGCTAGTGAGTTCAGCTGGAAACGCGCGAAATGATAATACATTATTACGCCCTTGGAAGGATAAGACCCTATGGCAGCACTGTCCAGTGAGCGCGGCTGCCAAAGGAGTCGCCACTGCTCGATTGAGACGTTAAATGCACGTAGTCTATCAAGGTCGTCCTCGCTGAGGGCCTGGTGCTGATCGCTTGCATATGCTAGGTAGGCTTCGGTGAGGATTTTGAAAAGGGCAACCTGAGCTGAGAGTCTAATGTCACCTGCCTCGGCAGAGGGGCTCTGTAGGAACCTTTCCACTCCATCCACTGCTGCATCACCATACATGGCCGATGGTCTGCCGTATGCAATGCTGAAGTGGCGATCACACACGTAGAGGGCATACCATAGTCTGACTCGCTCGTGGTGGCTCACATCCCCGTTCATGAGCTTTTGAAACGACTGATGCATGTTTATCTCGGCGGCCATCCTAACAGCTTGCCCCGAAAGCCTCCAGCTGAGATTAGGCAGATAGAATGCCGCAACACACAAGGCGCGGACATCGTCGATGCTATAACGCCTCGAAAGGCATGAGCTGCTGACAAGAGCTACAAACGCATCGTAGCATGTTTGAAGGATCTCTCCTCGACCCGGTGTATGTAGAGCAGCCACTGTCATAATCGCTGTGAACAGCAGAGCGGAAGCACGGCGAACGGCATCAAGCGACTGGTAAGGAAAGAGAACGCCTCCCCAGAGAAGCGGGTGGTGGTTCTTAAGATAGAGTGAAAACAAGTGCTCAGCTTCGGCAACAGACATAACACCTCGAGAGACGAGATCCTCTTCTACGGATGTTATCTGTAGTGATGTCATGGTGGTATCTCGTAGATTTGCAACTTTGGTCAGTTCATATAGGCTGCCCATGGGCGCCGGAACAAGGCCAGATTCATCATGCTGCTGCTCTGGTGAAGCTTCTCTGCGCATGTCGACCGGTTCGATAGCAGCATTTGCGGCAGACACAGGCCCTAGCGCCGAATTTGCTGGGCTCGTAGTGACTGCTGGGGAGGTGAAGCTGGGGAGATCGGGAAGATGGTCCCGCTGTAGAAGGCTTCTGACAGCATTTTGAAGCTGGCCGATATGAGCGGTAGCTTCGGCTCTCCAGCTATGAACGAGGATCTCAATACAGTTACATTGCAATGGATGATAGGTCTTGGGAACTCACGCTGCATGCTCGTCCAAGATCTTCTGAGTCGGATCATAAGGCACACATTCGGTGCCGGTCCGGAGACATCTTGCGCAAGCCGATTCACCGTGTCTGATCTCGCATTTGATCTTCTGTTTCTTGCACTCAACGCCTGGAATATCGAGTATCGCATTAGCTGAGTTTGACGTATCAAGGTGGTACGAGTGCCACGATGGGAACTCGTGATTTTCATGGTGACATACATGCTCGCACACGCGAGAGACGCAGCCCGCGGCGCCGTGTACCCGGGGGACCAGAATCTCCAAACAGCGAGGAAGTCCTCTGCGGCATTGCGGCATCATCGGTAGACAAATGAACGGGAATTGCTGTTGCGGGGCCGGGATTGGAAACGGGCTCCCGATAAAAGTAAGCGAATGTTATGAGAGAATCTTGTGTGGCTGGCCGAGCAAACTAAGGATGAGCAAGGAAATCCTTCCGAGTCAATTGACCAACATCGATTCGCAGACAACTAAGACAATGCCCACAAATACTGACGTTAGTACGCTCAGTGTTGAGGTTGAGCGCATCACAGAAACAAGTTCAGAAAAAGGGCATGTGGTCATCTGAGATGAGACAAGGCGACAATGGTGCCGGGGAGCTGGGGAAACAGGAAGTGGAGACACACTGGAGATGGCCAGAAGCCCCTCACGGAGGACTTGGCTTCATCCGGGCGTTGAGCTAGCCCACCTACACTAGACTGCTTAGGTGCAGCTTAGTGCTGAATACGTTTCCCTTGATACTTCTTGCTAAGCATATGACTAGCTCACCATTTCATATATACTCATATGTATGGAATGGTGATGCCTCAAAGGCCGTAGACTATAAATTATCTATATAAATTGGTAGCGCCTTGACGCTAGTAGAGCAGTCGATATTCATGATTATCGCTCAGACTACAATAAGGTGATTTCATGGCTAGACTCAACTCTGGTATTCTCGTTCTCTCAGACACAATATCAGTGAGTCCATTTGCATCTGAAACTGATTCGTTCATCGTTTTATCTAACTTGAGTTTTTATCTCCCTGACAAAGTTAAGCATGAGCTCCGGCCACCAGTTCTCGTCCGTGAACACAGAACAAGAACGAGGCAGACGATGCATAAACAACACGATTCGTTCCAACTCCCAGGCTCCAATATCACCAATCCACCAGACTCCATCCAGAAGCATCACCAAGACAAGCCAATGAGCAAATATTGCCATGGCAAGACGATGTGCAATGCTATGCGAAGGTGAGTTGAAGCCAAGATTTATTTCGAGTCCGCCAGTGTCCTGCTCGGATATTTCACCAAGAGTCGTCTGAACGAGGTCCAAATACTTAGTAGGAACACGATTCAAAAAAAACATGATGGTTCGTCTCAGCGGCTTATTCAGCTGCTTGTGAGAAGTCACTGATGCGAGATATGTACATAGCCACGGCGACACTTCAGATAGCAAGCTCTGAGGGCACACTTCGAAATCGGATTCCGTCTGTCGACCTGGCGGTGGGATAGATGACGCGTTCTCATTGAAGACGTCATCCATAACTCGGTCAAGCGTATCTAACGCGTCTGAACAGGCTTGGAAGTCAGGAGAGCTGCTGTTGGCGCCCCGCTTGTCCATGTTGCCCGAATTCCCCATTGCTAATTCTTCGGGCAAATTGGGCGACCGTATTGTCAAAAGCAACTCCCGTAGCTTTTTGAGTGCTAGGCTTGAGGTAGATGCTATCATTGGAAGTAGAAAATCTCTCGCTTGTCTTGTTGGGCCATCTTCTGCTGAAATTATCGTATTTCCTCTTAAATAGTGCCGCCATGAAGATATCGGCGGATAGACTGCCAGCGAAGTATCGATGGACCTAGACAATCTATCGATTCGTGGCCTTGGAGCACTGAGCAACCCCGTATAAGCCAAATGCGCTGCACGTATCAAGGGAATCCATTGCGATTGTGCAGGGGCAAAGTCGACGTGCAGACTGTCTGCTTTCAGCGCCTCCTTGCCGAGTTGTATGCGGACACTGTGATTAGCAGAAGCATATAGAACCATCAATGGCGCATTTGCCAACACCGAATCGTAGTGGTCGGCACACGCGATTTCATCTTGCGTCTGTCGAAGCGAGGCCTTGTGATGCCAATCAGCAAGAGCTAAAAGCTCATAGAGCAAGTTGTTATCGCGCCGCTCTATTCCAGATCCCCTCACAATGTCATTGCATTTGCACACTGCCGCCAGAGCTATGATTGAGCTCACAAGTGGCTTGCTTTTCTTTGCTAGGCTAGGAATTCCAACCTGCAAAGCATACAAGTCGTCCATATCAAAAGCCACAGCGTGGGCAGTATGTGAGAAATAGTGATCGAGCAAGTCTCGTTCCAACGAGCTCAGAGAAGAAGCCATGCCCGTTGTCAACCCCCATGGCTTCTCAAATATCGACTCCGTCGCGGAGCAAATAAACTCTTCCGTCGTGGAATCGCTTGTTGGTGATGACGTAATTAGAAGTTGTGGTGGCGGCCATCTCGGGCAAGCAGTCTGCGGTTCTTGGTTCCATCTAGCCAATCTGCGAGCTTGCGGCGACGGCTGCTCATGGGTTCGTCTCGACGGTTGAATGTCTTTGAACGTCTTTTCGGGATATTGACAGCATAGCATGCGATCTCTGCATCTTGAACAGTCCGGCTTGAGTTCGTCACACTAGTTGCGGTTATTAGGAGGCAGCTTTCATCGCATGAGATCCGCTGGGCGTATGCATACCTTTCTTCTCCCCTGTTTACATCTCACACAGCCATTTCTTGACTTCTTGTGTGTTCTGCGTGGTTTGTATGTCATCTCACCAGATGGCTGTGACTTGTGGTCGAGGATCCCCATCAAGCTTAATTTGAGCGCCGATCGCCAATGGAATGCTACGATTAAGGGACAAATGTCTCGCTGGTGACATCAAAAAGCTGCCAAAGTCAATTTTCCTCGTCGCAGACAAACGAGATGAGCGCGTTCTTATCAACTAGCTCCTTGTGGTTACACGGACTGTCGACGATATAGTTCCTTGAATCCTTCGGCTCCGCCCCAGATATTTGGAATTTCAATGGCACTCGAATGCTTGGCAATCCTGTAGCTTAAAATTCGCTCCATACCCGGGGGCTGATTGGCTGATCGACCACATTGTGGGCTGACTAAGACGGTGTCCCGGCACTCTCGGGGCTAAGTGTTAACTAGGTGACAGCGCTACGCGGTTCGCAGGTCAGTGTTAGTCGTGCTGCCTAGATCACAGAAGTACGGAATTCGCCGTTGCAGAATGGAATGTGTGATGAATTCTGACCATCGAACGTGAATTAATCACAAAAAGTTGGAACTGACAGAGCTGATGCTTGGTATTTCTGTACTGCAATTGTACTGTTTGTCTTCACTATACAGCCACCAATGAATGTTGCAAATCTGAGTCGAATTCATATTCTTCTTGTCTCTGATGGTCTAGATAAGCGTCTACCGTCTAATCAATTCTAGTCTACAGCATCTCCGGAACAGGAGTTAGTAACTCCTCCCCCAACACCCCACGACGAGCATTTTCCATTGCAAGTTCCTCCATCTGAGCCAATGTCTCTACAGTGTGCGTTCCAATATGTGGGGTAAGAAATGCACGCTCGTTGTCGAGAAGTCGTTTGTTAATGTGAGGTTCTTTCTCATAGACGTCCAGTCCGACAGCAGCGATGCGGCCTTTATCTAGTGCCTCGGTCATCGCTGCTTCGTCGATGATGGCGCCCCGGGCGGTGTTGATAATCACGACACCAGTTTTCATCTTTGAGATATCTTCTTTGCCTATAAGGTGTTGGGTTGATTTCGATAATGGAACATGGATAGATATGATATCACTCTCGGATAGAAGCTGCTCAAAGGAGACATATGTAGCTCCATCGACTTCACTCGCAGGCAATTGCTTTCGGCTATGATATATTATCCGTAGGCCAAATGGTAAAGCGCGTTGTTTGACTTCTTTCCCAATCCGGCCCATGCCGAGGATCCCCAGTGTCTTGCCCTGCGGATCATTCCCAAAGCTCAAATTCTCTTTGAACTTTCCGGTACGGATGTTTCTCAGTGCCGCATTTGCTTGTCTCAAGGCTCCAAGCAGAAGGAAAAGAGTAAGATCAGCCGTCGCTCTGGTCACCGGGTCCGGTGCAAATGTCACAGTGATGTTTCGAGCTTTACATGCCGCTACGTCGATCTGATCGTATCCAGCACCTGTGTGACAGATATACTTCAGAGTTGAAGGGAGACGATCAATGAGTTCTTCGTCAAAATTACCGACCACCTACATCATCAATTCTCATTCTAAAGACTTTGGGTATTGTGACGCTTACTGCTCCGCTTGCAGATGTACGATAGATGGCGTTGACATCTTGATACTTTCCGACCAAATCTTTGAAGAAGCCCTCTCTTGATGTGCTAGTAAGCAATTCTGTCCGGGCTACTTTATTCAAGGCACCAAAGGCTGCCAGTGCGTGGCGAACGGGATTAAAGAAGAGAATCATCGGCTTTTGTGCAGGCATCTTAACTGGGTGACGAACGACACTGCAGGCCCCGATTGGCAATCACTAGGAGCAAGTTATAATCTCTCCAGTCGTAATTCCAGTTTGGGCATTGATTGCGATCACCACTTAACGTCGTCCAATTGCAACTTAGCGCAAGGTCGTATCTGTATCTCGTCGTCCCAACGCAACGCAAATGAGTCTCTCCTGGTGTCGCCCTCGGTTCTAGGCACGGGCAATGCGGAGCACTCGGAATGTGTCAAGCAAACTTCGCCGCAGGAACCTAGAATGCCGGTCTCGCAATGCACCCCGGATACCCCGCGTCTCTGAGTCGGTGTGGGGGAAAATACAAGGATCAGGTCGGCATGGGATGGCGTATCGCTGTCTTCTGGAGGCTCAATTCATAAGTACCATTGCGAACCGTCATTCTAAACAATGCAGTCCAAGTATCATTTACCGAGCAGTAGGGGGACTCAAGGGGCGGGAAAACGGCGTGTTGAATAAAGTCCGCTTCGGGGCTTCTCACACGTATCGGACTCTACCTGCTGTCGTCTAGATTTGACCATCGGAGTTTTGAAATTCAAGGTTAGACTAGAAGGACGAACTGATGTTTTACCTTAAAGTGTTGGGCGTGCCAAGTTCACTCAGATAGCTTAATTATTCTAGTCTCCAATCAAGGCCTACTTTTTGCCCAATAGAAAGTCATCCATCATGTCTCCTGCAGTTACTTCAACCAAGAAAGAACTCAGAATCTTCACTCCCATCGGCCAGTTAGGCCAGGGATTTAGTGAAGATATCTTTTGGAATACGGTCGAGTCGTCATGTGATGCAATCATTGCTGACGGCGGCTCTACAGACAGTGGCCCTGGTCGGTTGGCAACTGGAACGCCAAATGTCGCTTGGAGTCGTCTTGCTCGTGACCTGGAATTGTTCGCCAAGGCAGCTCATCTCTACAACGTACCCTCTTTGATTGGTTCCATTGGGGGTGACGGCGAAAACGCTCATGTTGACAAAGCTGCCGAGGTCATTGCCGAGGCCGTGAAGAAGAATGGGCTGAGACCATTGAAAGTCATCAAAATATATGCTGAAATCCCGAAAGACTTTGTGCGACAAAAACTTAGCGATGGGCTCATTGAGCCATGCGGAGGTGGCGTACCTGAAATGACGGAGAATGATATCGAATCTAGCACACGAATTGTTGCTCAAATGGGTCTGGAACCATATCTCAAAGCGATGCGTGAGAATCCGGACTTTGACATCATCATCGGTGGTCGAGCATATGATCCGTCCCCATATGCTGCGTTCTGTGTGTTCCACGGCTTCCATAATCTTGGTATGCATTTCTCGAACCACGCCCTGACAATGATAGCAGGCAAGCTGCTGACGCAGACCATCTTAGGTATCAACTACGCCATGGGAAAGATCATGGAATGTGGAGCACAGTGCTCGATTCCCAAGTCAAGGGAAAGCTTGGCCATTATCCGAGACGATAGCTTCGACATGATTCCACTCGATCCCAAATCCAAGTGCACGACCGTTTCCGTTGCTTCTCATTTCCTTTATGAGAAGACCAGACCCGATATCCTGCATGGCCCTGGAGGTGCTCTTCATTTGGATGAGACGACATATGAGCAGCTTGACGACAGGTCTGTTCGCGTTCGAAATGCCCGGTTTGTTCCTGAGGCCGAAGGAGAATACACGGTAAAGCTTGAGGGTGCAAAGGTCAATGGGTACCAAAGTATCTTCCTAGGGGCCCTACGCGATCCCATTTTGCTACAGCAACTTGACTCTTGGATCGAAATGATCAGGAAGCTAGCTAAGGAGAGGCTGGATGATTATGGGTTTGAGTATGAGATGAAGATTCATAAATACGGAGTGAACGGTGTGATGGGACCCCTGGAACCTGATCAGAGCATCGGTAAAGAAGTATTTATCGCTGGTCAGGCTCGGGCTGCAACTCAGGAGCAAGCTGATCAGGTCGCGGGGATGTTCAAGTTTGGCTTCACGCATGCCCCTTATCCGGGTCAACTTGCTACAGCAGGCAACTTTGCGTGGCCATTCACGCCATGCGAGATTCCTATGGGTCCTCTCTCGGAATTCTGTGTCTATCACATTGTGCACAAGGTTGACCCTATTGCTCTATTCCCAATCAAAGCAATTGAGGTTTCAGGTGACAACACATATGTTCATCAGCCTCGTAAGTCAATTTCTACCGCTTGTCGAAGACGAGCTAACCTCGACTTCAGGCTCTCTTGGACCAATCCAAGAGAAGACCTTTTCAGGCAAAAGTAAAAAACTAGTATCGTCCAGAAAGTACTGGTTAACGCCAGAGCCACTTGAGGGCACGTGCTACCTGGCCGATGTTGCATCCGTCCTACGAAGCAAGAACTCAGGACCATACGAATTGACGTTTGACGTCATGTTCCCAAGTAAGGAGGTCTACGAAAGGGTCAAACAAACAGGAATTCTCACTCCGGAAACAATCTGCAAGCTGTACTCTGTTTCCGAGAGAAACGTCCAAGCATCATTGTTCTTTGACCAGGCAATGGCTTACAAAGCAACAATAACAAGGCCGGCTGTGTCAGGAGGGTTTGGTGAGACGGACACACATGGTTCACAACAACATATTCCTCTTATGTATTTGAAGCTCCCCTTTGGCAGAGAATAGCTGGCGTATAGTTCGCATGAGTGGATTCTTCTTATTGATGATCAAACTTAGTGGATCAGAATGTTTTCGTTCTAATTTCTGTTGGCTAACTCATATGTAATGCCTGTTCTGCTTGTACTGTGTGATGTGCGTCCGTTTACTACTGGCTATCAGTTTGAGACGCAAGCGTTTCTAACCAGCTGTGGTTGTAAACTAGCATGGTATCATCACCTGGTAGTTCAAACCTCCCGTGCAATATTCATGTTGTCCACTCTAGCCAGGAAACTATTTCTTTTCGCTATCCCTGCAGAACACCTTTTCTTTAAACACATATAATGAATTCCCTGAAAAGACACACCATCTAGACATAAAGGTCATTGCTTGATGAGTTCGCAAGTCTTCAAAGGGTCATCAAAGGGACCAAAAGACGAAAGGAACAGACTCTTTCCCTTCTACGCGCTACAGAGACTTCATGGTCATTTATTCATGCTAATAATGACTAACAATTTGGTCACTATTGTGCAGCCTCCAGCTCTGCCAATTCAAACATAGGTTTGGCGCTGAACCATCCAGCAATCTCTGATCCGACCGTTCGATATGTGTACGCAGCATCTTCAGCATCAATGCTAACAGTTGTTCCACCCCGACCAGAAGCTGCAGCATCCGCCAGTAGCTGGGCGTGACAGCATCTCTCTAACGCGATATACCAGAAGACAGTACTCTCGACTGATGTGCCACAAGTGATGAGTCCATGGTTCTGCAAAATGGCGGCTTTCTTGTTTCCGACTGCTTTAGCTATAGCTCTGCCTTCCTCTGAGTCAAGGACCACGCCTTTGGACACGTAGTGAGCGATGTCGTTATAGAACGCACAGGCGTCCTGTGTAGTAATATCTAGGTTGCGACCCAGTGTGCTAAAAGCTTTACCATAGATAGAATGCGAATGTGCTACGCAGTTGATATCAGGCCGTGCGGCATGGATTGCGTGATGAATTGCATAGGCTTGAACAAGATTAGCTATGCATTTTTAGAGGGTCATGAAAACAGACCTGCAGCGTTGAGAAGTCGGATTGGCCCTCCATCAACCACCTTCCCGTCTTTGTCAACCAGTATCAGATCCTCAGCAGTCAAGTTCGACCAAGCCTTCCCGAAGGGATTAACCCAGAAACTTGTCTGTTCTACGGGATCCTGTTGGATGATCATGTTGAGTTCCACTGCGTTACTCCTTCACACTCAGATACATTTAGAAGAACATACCCTGAGAGTGACGTGTCCACTGACACCATCTTCAAATCCGTATTTAGCAAATATACGGAACGCTAGGGCGAGGCGTTTCTTCTTATATTCTCGTTCCTGATATGGACTTTCAAACGTTGGCAGTCCTATGTCTGAAACTTTTGGCATCTCTACCGTAGGTTTGCTTTGCAGCCCATCACGATAAAGACCAGCTGACGCCGCACGCGGGTCATTTGCCGGAGTTTGCAGGAGAATAGTAGAAGACATGACTGTATGATTTAAAAGTGGATTGAGAAAGATCGTTGCTGGACGTGCTCTATGTTACTCTAATATATCCAAAGACGAGTGGTAATGTTTCGTTCATCCGCCTAATCATACGCATTGGAAAGGCTTGCATATACTTAATCAAAACATGCTACCTCCAAACCAACAGTCAAATCACCTGATGAGTTTCTAGAGTGGGAGAAAAGAACGCCCCAGCACTGAAACGCTAAAGGTTCGATCCTGTCATCCCTGTTTAGGGTAGTTCCTAGGCACTCTCAGGGTTAACCTCGGTTAGTGATCTCCCCATGATTGCGATGTTCAACATAGCACAATGTGCGCCTATTGGTCATGACTAGCGTGATTCCGACGATTCGGCATAGTCTACGCCACCGGAATATGTCTTGACTTCGATACTACAATGCAGGTATGTGGCCTATGCATTTTTTGTAAACTGAACAAGCGGCTTTGTTCAATTGATGGTTACTTCGTAGCATTATTTAGACATCTGGATATTTGCTATTAATGCCATATTGAAGAATCGGTGCATAGCAGCCTCAATATTTTAAGTGAATATCTGCTGTGTGCAAAATATCCCACTCCGCTCAAACATTCCCGAGCCCATATCTTTCACAGGATCTTATCAATATTGCAATTCCATACACAGACTGATTAAGATCCCCACAATGAGTATATTAAAATGGTTGGAAAGTGGCATTCGCGTCTATGACTTGGCAGTGTCTTGGCAAAATGGGATGCCTGCTTCAAAAAGCAGCGTACCATTTTCAATGGCATTAACTTGGCGCCACGGGGATCGCGACATGACCGGGAAAGGAGGATCGTCGTCAAATGCAATGATTGTCACTGGAGACCATGTTGGTACTCACATTGATGCTCTGTGTCACGTCAGCAATAATGGTGTCATGCATGGAGACGTCAACGCAGCTGAAGCATGCCACGGAGGCCGCTTTAAATCACTTGGGGTTGACAAAATCGAGCCTATGGTTTGCAGGGGTGTTTTTCTTGATATTGCAACTTTAAAGGGAACATCAAGACTGGAAGCTGGCTATGGCATCACAGCTGAAGACTTGGAATCTTCGCTTGGAGACACGAAATTGAATAAAGGAGATGTAGCACTGATCCGTACGGGCTGGATACAGCAATATTCGGACGCAACAGCTTATTTGGGGGATGGTACTGGAGTTCCTGGAGTGGCAGCCAGCGGGGGACAATGGCTGGCAGATCACGGCGTTCGAGCCGCTGGAGCAGACACTATTCAGTTCGACCAAGTCCAGCTGGGGCCTAATTTCAGACAACGTCCATGTCACGGCATATTGTTGTGGAAAAATGGAATTCACATCATTGAGGTTATGAACCTGGAACAGCTAGCGGAGGCAAAGGTCAAAGAGTTTCTTTTCGTTCTATCGCCATTAAAATGGCTAGGAGCAACTGCGTCTCCAGTTCGACCTTTAGCGGTAGTCAATGTATAGACACGAAATTCATAACCATCATACAATGGCAGATCCTACTCAGACATACTACATGGAATGGGTGGCTTGTCAAATAGGTCGGAAGCCATTTTACTATAAGATGTGCTCGTTATGCTTTGGTACTATCCCATAAAATGCAGACAGGGCCCATATCGTTGGGCCCCCCAAATCCACCCTTGGTTCCAATCAATTTTCCAATCTTGCCCGTTACAATATCGCGTTCAAAAATTGACACCCAACCATCCCTCTGGGAAACAATTGCGATCTTATCTCCCGTATTATTCAAAGAGAACTGTCGGGGAATGTTACCTCCTGAAGGGGCGCTATTTGCAAATGTGAGTACTCCTGATGTAGGGTTAATGCTATATGAGAGAATGCTGTCTGAACTAATCGTTGTTCCTGGATGCACTGGCGATGGTATAAGATGATTAGAATCGCCGCGCAGTGAAACGAGAAGAAATCTGTTGTCAGGCTACAGACTGTTAATTACATGCTGCGCAATTCGCGTCTTGACTTACCGAGGCTAGAATGTGAGAGGCTTTGAGGTATCTCTCCGCACTATGAACTATTGGATCTCCGTTGCTGGATCTCGCGAGGACCGCCTCGTCTGTTTTGGAGAAGCTCAGGCCCGCCGCCTTCTCGTATATGACATCGTATACAAGGATGGCATTGATTTCTTGCAGCAAGATGTACAATTTCAGACCATCCTGTACTGTAACCAGAGAAAGATGCCGTGGATACGACCCCTTAGGGAGGCTCAGCCCTTGAATTTCATGGATCTGGCCGTCTTGAGAGATTTCAAATACGCGAATTGAATCATCACCAAGATCAACCGAGAGAATGAAACGACCAGTTGGGTCAATTGCAACCTGATGAGGACGGGTTTGTGTTTGTGCCTTTCCCGGTCCGGGAGCAGCAAGCTCGAAAGTCAGCTCCTGCATGTTTTTCAATTGTGCAGAATTGGCTACATCGTAAGTGCCAACAAAGCCAGAATAGCTGCCACACGTTAGTTAGAAACATGGCAAGGCATCGCGATCTTACTAAAATGCTGCCACCATTGTCTTTTCACTATTGTACAAGATGTGATGGGCCGCACCTTTTGGTGTTTGTACTTCACTTGTCTCAGCAATTGTGCCGTCTGGTAGAATATTGAAAGCTTTCAATGATCCCATTCCAGATACCATTCCGCCCTCAGTACAATAAAGAACTCTACGACTTGCATCCAATGACAACCATGATGGATTGGGTTCACAAGCCCTCGATGTCGCTACTTCACGAAGCGAGTCTTCTGGAGATGGCCCTTCAGATAATCGAAGGGTTGTGATTGTGCCCTGATAAGAAATAAGAAATAGTTGGTCCATATTGGGTGATCTATGATTATGATGATATGCGAAATAGATAGGTTGATGCAATGTAAGGAGCAGTTACTAAAAGTTCTATCAGGCTGTTGACTACTGACAATGTTACAGCTTAAAGGGGTTCGATGCGGGGCTGTACTATCACAAAGATGAGACTCTAGGCCAAGGTGTAAGTGTTGGTATAAGGTGTGGCTCGATTCACATTGTTAGCTTGGTCAAGGCTGGGGCAGTTGGATTGAATAGTATCAGTCATCACAATCTTCATAATTCTCCTAACATAGCCTATACAGAAAATCATCTCCTATCACAGTACTTCCTCCAATAACTAAACTGAACCCCGAGACTATCAGTTGCCGATTCAAACTAAAAATGGTTCAGGTGTGTTGAAGGGATCAACATGTGACCGCCATGGGGCATCATTGGATTGCGAAATCGCTTTCCGGTTGCTTGACCTATATCGGCATCGAACGGCACTTATCCATGCCGCAGAATGCACCCTGGAATTCTAACGACTCCCCTCCACGGCTGAAATTTAAGCCTAGTAACTTAGCTGTGTAGGTTTTAAAAAGTGAAGTCACACCCGAGTTGGTAATCTTTTAGCCGCGCTTCTTGTCAACAGACATCAACATGGAATGATCGAAGACTCCCTGTATGCAAGGCACTAGGTCAATGATCGGTGAATGGGCACTCGTTTGCCCATCAGGTCGACTGAAATCGGGCAGAATGAACATCAAATTTGGTCTTATAGACTATTGATACTGAATTTCATAATTCCTCACATTTACATAACTCGTCACCATCCCCTTTTTGGTCACCTTCAAATCCCGACATTTGTTTCAAGCAACTTTAAGTGCTCAACTATGGCCCAATATCTACCAAAGCTCTAGTATGAAATTTCATCGTTGACAGCATTGAACTCAAGATGTTTCAGATCGTGTAACGGAAGTCCGGATGAGCATTACCGATTTCCTCAAAGGTGCTCTGTCTTTGGATCTCCGTCTCGGGATGGTTCATCAGTGCATCCTTACGTTTGTTTTGCCTAGTGTAGTACCACATGTTGAAAATACAAGCTGGTACAATCATCACCACACAAATCATGACGATAATATTGCCTTTCACATAAGGTGGTTTCGTGTCAAAGCCCTGTAGTCCTCCCAATGCAGCCGCCTGGCCAAACATGGTGACGGCTGCGCCAGCTGTCGCACGGTGAGTCCACTGTCGTGTGTTGAAGGCAACCCAGCTGAGGATCAAGTTTGTATTTGCATATTGTGCGGTTGCAATGAGGCACAAGGCAGCATAACGAGGCGCAACCCTCTCTCGAAAGCCCGCTAGCAGGCCGTAGCCAACCAGAGAGACAATGGTCGCCGAGAGAACGCAAATGCCTCGTCTGTTGAACTTGTCTGAGAGATAGCCTAACAATATAGTGCCCACAAAGCCACAGGCGTAAATGGGTACTGTCATTAATTGGGCTCTGACAGAGCTGTATCCAAGGTCGTGAACGACAGCCGGTAGGAAGCTGGCCAAACATGCCACCCCAATTTGACAGGCCATGAACATGACAAGGTATGCGTACAGTCCGGGATCTTTAAAAGCGACACTCATCTGGTTCCACCTAAACTTTGCACCGGGAGTATTGTTTGCTCGCCAAGTTCGAATAATGAGAAGGCGTTTTTCCTCCGATGAGAAGCCCCATCTAACACGCTCTGGTACGTTTGGCAGTAGCAGGCCAACCATGATTCCAGCAGCAGTGGTGATAGTGCCTTCAATCAGGACAATCCATTGCCAGGCCTGATAAGGTGGGGTGTTGCCAATGCCCTTGATGATGCCATATGCGATCAATCCGTTAAAGGCGCCCGCTAGAGTTGATGTGCTGAAGTAGATGGCTGCGCGAGTGGCTAATTCCTCTGGGCCATACCACATGGTAAGATAGAGCGACGCCGCGTGAACATAACCCTCGCCGAAGCCGATGAAAACGCGAACAGCAACACCACCAGACCAGTTCTTGACCACGGCCAAGAGCATTGTCATGACCCCCCAAAATACGACTCCGCCTCCAATTGTTAACTGGGGGCCAATCTGTCGGAGTTGAACTGTAGACACAAATTGGGAGAGCACATATCCCAAGTAGAAGAGTGAGACGACCTGAGCCCACTGGTGGCCGCTTGCACCAATAGCCTCTTGCATGCCGGCTGTTTGGGCATTCCCGATCTATAATTAAGGTTGGTCATGTCAGCACCATATTAGATCACAGATCTCGAGCCGCAATTGGATTACTGCAAAGGAACACTCACGTCAGATCGGTCCATGGATGCAAGGAGCATCACAAGTGTAAGCAAGGGTAAGATCCAGAGATCTAGCTTCCAAGAAAGACACTTCATGTGTTTCTCGTCTTCCACGCTCACGACGGGTCGACCGGCGTGAAATGGCAAGGCTTTGCCATCGGCGTCGACTGGTATGATAGCGGATGGGATGTCATGCTCGCCATTTTCGACGTGACTCGATGATCCTGCAGACATGATTTCCTTTGAAATGGAAGAATGCCCGACAGAGGCGACTTGTAAATCGGAGGATGCCATGGAAAATCAATGTCGTTGAACTTTTGATATGAACGTTTCGATGGCCAGCATTCCTGTCCACAAGGATTAATGGTGTTTAAGTAACCCGCAGTTCTGGATTTGTAAAAGGGTCTGTCGTGAGGGCTTGGTCAAGGATACGCTCAATCCGTTGGCGCCTCACGGCGGAAGGAGACATTCAAGTGTGGGAACTAGATGTCAAGTGACCACTTGGTCTGCTGCAAATGTGCCGTTCACGCGGGTCACCCTTCATGTTTGATCTCTGGTGGTGTCCTTGGAGCTAGCGGGGGTGGCTTTCCCGGTGGTACTCCCAAATCAGTTTCTCAAGCATACTTGGCATATCGGTTATGAGTAGGTGGAATTGATGCTGATACATGCTAATAGCATTGGGTTCTGTCAACTAGCTATGCCGAGACAGGAACAGCCATTGCGATCTGTGTGGCGTTGATAGGGAGTAGTTTCATGGTTGGCGTCGGAATGCCAAGGTACAACATTGCGAAACCCTTGTCTCGTGCAACCCGAACTGGAATAGTATGCCATGCAACGCAAATCTCAGTCCTACCAAAAGACATGTCATAGGTCAATTCTGGTTAGAGAAGACCTAGTTTTGTTGGGACATTTGATGGTCAATATGATATGCCTGTGGTGATCAGGTAACACTAAATGGCAGTGCACTGCTAAATGCTATGTACCGCGAGAGACCATGAAACCTCATCGGAAGCAATTTTGTAAGAAAGTAACGAGATAAACGAGTCTTAACTAAGCTAGTTGCTATTGTGACAGCTAGGTGGTTATCAACTGTCTCTCATCAACACCAGCTTTGGAGATCCTGATCTAAACACTGCAGCACTGTCTTCAAATGCTTCAAATCAATTATTACCCCTACAAATATGACTCCAACTATTGGTTTCATGTGGCTCAGATATCGCCAAGTAATCTATCTGCCATTGCTCATGATCTTGCTTGGTTTACTTGCTTGTATACGAGTGACATGAATCCTCTTTGCAATCTTGTTCCCTAGACTTACAGTAGCTTGCAGATACAGTTCATAATTTATTGTAGGCAGAGCTAGATATACTGACATGTGTATGTGTCTAATGCTACGATGCAACATCATACCTCGACCTGCATCCCGTAACACCAGACCCGCTGGACTGAATTGATGTCCGTGATATTTGCCAACGGATTCTTAGACAAGAGTATCAAGTCTGCCCTTTTGCCTGCTTCAATAACCCCCCTATCTGTGAGGCCAAATACCGCTGCAGGTTGATATGTGGCTGACTGAACGGCTTCCAGAGGTGACAGCCCCACCTCAACCAGAAGTTCGAGCTCCTTCCACATGCTGTCGCCATACGTCACCCTATTCACACCATGTGAGTGTATGTTAGCATCAGTCCCTGCGAGAATCGCAACGCCTGCTTCTTTCAGGCTTTTGGCAGAGCTTTTTGCGTTAGCATAGTCCAGCTTTGAGTCATCGGCCGCCAAGGCGATCATCTTGACCAGTGTCGGCACAGCCACCAACTCAGCAGCCTTCATATTGGATATCACGTCGTTGTTAAGTGGATGTTCCAGAGGAACGTGTGTGACAATATCCACCTTGGCCGTCACCGCTTTCTCGAATGTGGGACAGCTTGTAGCATGGGCTACGATCCTCCGTCCTTGCTCATGAGCCTGGGCTACCATTGCATTTGCAGTCTCCTGGTCTGGCCCCTCCGCCTCCATCATGATTTTCACATAATCAGCCCCATCTGAGATACGATCTGCGACAAAGTGTTTTGCGTCTTCGGGTCGATTTACTAGTAACCGTTGAGGAAACCCAGGTTTGCTTGTTAAGCGACTGCCCGCAGACATTGCAGGTATTCCTGCGCTGCGTATATCGCAATGGCCAACACCGCCGCGGAGGCTTTCGAAGACACTGATATCCCTGGTACCCATATCAAGACAGGTAGTGACTCCATGGCGGGCCATAAGGACCAGGTCTTCGACACCATGTACGTGGGCGTGTGTGTCGATCAATCCGGGAATGAGAAACCCTCCATTTCCATCAACAATGGCTGTTGCGTCTCTGGTGTCTTTGACTATTAAGCCATGTTCGAATGCGACAGTTTGGCCGCTTTTCATCTGCTGTCCGTCAAATATCGACACATTTTGAATAACAACTTTGGCCTGGCGAGAAGTCATTGCGGGAAGACAATCCGTGACTTCAGAACTAGACAAAAGATGTGCGAATCGATTCTCATGAGCGAAATGAATACAACCACCCAGTGACTTAAATATTGTTCTGACCCTTCGTGCCGTGCTACGAACCTTGAAGGAAAGTTGAGAGAAAACTTCTAAGTCTGCTATATTCATCCGCTCACAAAACCCCGAAAACGCCGGTTCTGCCAGGATAGCACAATCGACATGGTCTCACGTGGCTGGGATATCAAATGGAAGTCTACAAAACCTAGCACGTACTCCTTGCACTGCAAAATGGTGAGTCGTCGTACAGTGCACGAACTTGACATGTTGGACGATCCTGGACTAGTGGGGAAAGGGGGAAATGGAAAGGGGCATTGCGAAGCCGCAATGTGATCGGAATGGAGAACCGTGCAAGTGCGGGGGAAGTTAGCCACTGTAGATATACCACGCCTCCATGACTTAGCACACCTAGCTCATCGCTCGCCTGCAGGATCAATTGATACATTCTTTATCGATATCTTTTCAAGGCTACAGACTGAGTTTACGAATGTAGTTAGAATCATTGCATATCCATCATGCGATCCGCTTTTCCCTCACATCTACCGAGGTCGATCTGCCATCCAGTGTATAGTAATTGGGAGGATTTCTCAGGTCGGGTCCCAAATTAACCGCATATTCTAATAAGCTCTGCAAGACAAAGAGAGTGTTCCACGCGGATTCAGCCAGTACCGTCACATGTGAACTAAGGTGAGGCAAGACGGGCTCGATCATGACCCACAGGACAAGCTTTGACGGCTCTAACCTGCCCTTGGGGTTGCTCTTCTCCCCCCCCCTCAAGACTAAACTAGTTGCTTGCGGGGTTCGCTGCGAACCAGACTTAGTTACCTAGGCATTGTGCTTGCATGTAGACATACTTAGGACAGAACCAGAGTCGCTGCAAGCGGCCGACTCATCGCCCCAGTTAGTACCAGCTTGACTCTGTTGGGTTCCATCCGAAGAGCCGAGAGCTTTGCATCGACATCTACCCATGACTTCATCAACTCGGCAATGCTAAGTTCTGCTCTTCTTCTTGATCGGCATGCAAGAATTCAACTTGGTCTGCGCTCGCATCGCTATTACTTAGTTAAACCATTTGATGCCCCGCAAGTCCCATTGCATCGGAGTCGCTCTCATTTGGAAATGAAGGCAAAGGCTTGTACTAGATGCCGCCAGTGGAAGACGCGGTGCGATGCTCCCGAAAGAGTCCCAGGGGGCTGCTCACGTTGTCGTTCGCTGGGCCTGACCTGCGTCTTCGATCCATCGTTTAAGCGGCTCTCCAAGGGGAGGTGTGTGCAACAGATGTCGGCAGAGATTCAGCAACTTCGGCAGACCTTGGCAAACTCCGGAGCCAGCAATGCATCCGCATCGCCGCAGAGCGGGCAGGATACCATCGGCCGACCACTTGAACCAGTCTCGTGGGAAGCCCAACTCTCAGGCACCTCGGATGGGACTGGTTCCTCGCCAGCGCAGTTTTCTACGTCACTGTCTGTGAATGCAATTCCAATACCGTCCGGACCTCTCACAGATCAAGACCGTACTCTCGGCAACGTGTGCCTTACACGTAGCCAGGTTGAGAGACATTTCAAAACGTACTTTACTCGCCATCACCGCTACTTACCGTTTAAAGTTAGCTCCGAATCACCAGAGGAGGTCTACATGCGGAGTTCCTTGTTGTTCTGGGTAATCTGCGCCGTCACGTCTAGCTGGAAGCAACAGACTCAGCTTTCGCCCATGATAAAGCCCATGATAGCAGCTAGTATTCATATGTCGTCATACTCCGTTGAGACCATTCAAGCGCTACTGATCATGTGCATCTGGCCGTTCAAGGCAGCTCGCTTAAGTGAAGACCCTTCACAGTTCTATAGCAGCATCGCTACTCAGATGAGCCTTCAGCTGGGGCTCCACCGGCCGAGTCAACCATACTGGCCGCTTCAACATGGATCTCTGAGTGGTCCATTGACTGCAGCAGATAAAGATGTTAGGCTCACAACTTGGCTCTCTTGCTATCTGGTGAACCAGATGCAATCCAGTGCACAAGGTGTGGCCCCGTCGATATTGGTTGACTCGAACCTGCTTGACGCTTTCGACAACCCGGCAGTCGATCGGGATCTGTCTCAGCTGTGTCATACCTATCACATGTTGATGAGATTATCCTGGGAGATTGGGGCCAACTCTCCCTCTCCCGTGGGAATTGTTGAGCCAGAAGCACGGATCTCCATGATAAGATATTATCTCGAGCAAATGTCCACTCTGGAGGAAAAGCACTTAACGCAAGCCAACGATGCCGTTCGGATATCCTTTCTCTACTCCAAACTACAGCTGCTCTCATTCGCTCTTCTTGACGATATACCCTTCTCGGAAACCCTGTTAGATCTCATCAGTGGTGCAGAGGCCGCTGCTGGCGAACTCGTCGAAATCACCTCCGAGATGAACCTTGCAGCTGTTCCAACGCACATCCGGCGAGCCATGTGCTATGGTGCCTTTGTGCTAATACGAATACTGCAGTTGCCACACGACACGCAGCGTGAGCTACTCCTTGACATTATCGAGCGAGTTCGGGAGTCACTGAGCACCACAGCAACCGCGCCGGATGATGTCATTTGTAAAGCCTGCACAATTCTTCAAGAAATGCCGTTCTTGGAAAACAAGCACCGATCTCCGCCAATCTTGTCGAGAATGGGGGCTTCTATCTTTTATGATACATTCCGAGTCTACTGGGAGAACTTGGTTGACAGAGGCTTCAATTTTGAACCTGATAAATACGATTGGTGGACGCTGGGACTGTGACTCGTCATTCCCACATGTTGTCTACAAGCAGTCGTGCACGGTGGTTCGACATGGCTTTGCGTTCTATATATATATAAAGGCTACTTGTCCAGGTTCTGGCTTTTGGGGCCATAATCTAGAAAGCTAGCCAGGCTCAGACACTAATCGTGTGTACGTCGTTAAACGAAAAATCCTTCGTTATCGGTACCTATCATAGGCGTTGGTGCACGGTCTGGTTTTGTTTGACGCTGCCATGCTGGGATGCCCCAATTAGTGATGGAAAGGGATGAGGCGAATGCGCCTGGGTACAACTCAGCAGTGCGCAATGTCCAATTAGTATTCAAAAGAGAGCCTTTTCGGGAGCAATACGGTCGAAGCCCAGAAATGCATTTTGTTCCTGGTACGCGTGGACCCCAGGCGACACGTAATGTGTGTGCTCCTTTTATTTCCAGCATTGACTCGTCATGCAGAACTAGAGAGATTCCGCCCACTTCACGGGAGCTCCACAGCCCCAAGCAGTGGAGATCCCTCGTCATGCACGCAGCCACAACTAGCGGGCTCAACGGCTAAGACAAGCTGACGCCTCACAAAGTCCAGCAAACAACTCGCGATGTGTTCCTGCAGGGGCTTGACTTTTGGCAAAATGTTCAAACTGATTGGTCCAGGTTTGCCTTGCGGCTCTCGCAGATCCCTCGAGGGCTCGTCGTCAACAACTCCATCCACCCTGAATCTGCCCAATCGACATCGAGGCATTTGCGGCTGGGTCAGCCACTTGAGCAGCCCATCTCCAAACTACTCCACCAAGCGATCACCAAGGCTCAAGTTTGGCAGGCCCCAATGCCGAGACATGTATAGAAGTGCCGGAAGTCGAAAGCTTGATCATCTTGCGAATGTGGTGGTGATATAAAGGGTGACATCTTGTTCCTAAACTGGGCGTCTTTATTGTACCTTGTTCCACATCACCGTACCTCCAATTTCCAAGACCGACCACTGTCCTTCCTGGTTCAAGCAGCACACCAATCTCTCTTGAAATTCATTCTTTGCTGAGATTCTCTTGAATCTGTTCACAATGGTTGCTGCCAAATTACTATCTGCATGGCTCCTCATTGCAGCTGCTGTTGCCCATCCAGGCGAGACCCACGATGCTCACCACATGAAGCGCGAGATCGTTGCCCGCGACCACGCCTCAAAAAATGCCGCTCGCTCTCTCGGATCCTGTATTAATACCGAAGCCGCTCGTTCATTCAAACAGCGGGCTGTGGTGCGTCGTGCACAGAAAGTCAAAAGCCTTCGCGAGAAGAGGAACATCAAGTCTCGTAAGTGTAGCACAATATTCTAGGGGAGAGGAGTAGGCAGGCCAAGAAACTAACGTGATGCAGCCGCCAAGAAATACCGCCGCGACCTCTCCGATCTTGAAGCCTGGGAAGAAGTCAATCACAACATGACGGGTGTTAATGCATACGACATGTTCACCGCACTAGAGACGGTGTTCGAAGCCAACACATCATGCATTCTTGCCCCTGAGGTGACTGATGGCCCGTACTATGTTGTGGGTGAGAACCTGCGCAGCAACGTCAAGGAGGAGGAGTATTGTGACGGTATCGATCTATTCCTCGAGGTACAATATGTTGATGTCGAGACGTGTCAGCCAGTTCCGGCAGTGGCCGTTGATGTTTGGAATTGCAACGCCACTGGCATATACTCCGGCATCAGTACTTCTGGAAACTACGCGGCGGACGGCTACAACTCAACCTACCTTCGAGGAATCCAACTGACTGATCACGATGGTGTGGTTCAGTTCGAGACTATCTTCCCTGGCCACTACGACGGTCGAGCCACGCACACACACCTCCTTGCACACACCAACGCAACCGTACAACCCAACGGTACTATTTCCGTCTGGAATGCACCGGTTTCTCACATCGGTCAGCTGTTCTGGCCTGAGACTCTGCGCTCTGCTGTTGAAGCTACCTACCCATATACGAGCAACACTCAGGCAGTCACAAGCAACGATGATGATCAATGGAGCATTGTACAGACTGATGCCAGTTATGATCCATTCCCGCAATTTGTCTACCTCGGGGAGGACATTACGGACGGCCTGTTCGCGTGGATACAAATCGGTATCAACGTCAGCGCAGACTATTCTACTGATAGCTACTATAGTGTAGCTGCCTATCTCGATGAGGATGGTGGTCACGCTGAGTCTGGATCTGCAATCGGAGGCGGAGGACAGGGTGGCGGTAATGGGACTATGAACGGTACTATGCCATCTGGTGGCATGCCCTCTGCAACGCCCTCTGCTTGAACAGCGGCTACTGTTTCTTGGGTATGGCAGGCTTTTGGTGCAGACATCGACTAAGACTTAATTTCATAGAACTAAAGCAGTCCTTCTGTAACCCAAACTGGTTAGATGTGCATTATAAAACTGAGAATGCCGATAGTCGCATTTAAAATGCCCAACCTTGAATGTTGTGTAATGATACAGAATCCTTAATCACCTGTACGTCGAGTTCGTCACCTCAATATTGGTTCAATCACGCAAGTCGACACACATCTGAATTTGATTTCGATCTATGCTGAACAGCTTGCGACGAACTTTTAAGGTCTCATTCAGAATACCCAGCCGAGCTTGTCACAGCAGTTTCCCATATCTGATGAATGGTATCTTCCCCGTCAAATCCTTCTTCCCAACGTACACTTCTTAAGACACACTTTGCTGTGCTCCAATCCTGTAAGTCTAGTAAGCTACTTATCCAACGGAGCTTGTGGTAGAATTCCGCCATCCAGTATGTTTTTTGTGTGGCGTCTTGTTCAAACTTCTGCATGACACTGGCGGCTGCTGTCGCCCCATAGAGACATATCCAAAACCATTCATTCGAACCAAATGTCCCGTCAATCACCCCAAGCTCAGTCTTCACAAGTATCTCAAAGAAGATCTCAATAACCCAGTTGAGCATATATGATGTTAGTGAATTCCAAGGCAGTTGAGCATAGATGTATAAGAATGACATCATGAATGCTGTCTGAGTCTGCTCCTTGCAGCATGTTGAATCTCGTGAGTTCGTTTTCCTACCTACCAACATTGCAGAACTCTCAAGACTTGTTCCACGCAACGCCAGTTTTGGATTCGTGAAGTGTTTTTCCTTTTCTCTGTATGGGTAGTAAATGGCGCGAACGATAGGGCGGTGCGGCAAGGCGAAGTATGGCATCTGAGCCAGAACATCTCTTGGTGGTAGGTTCCTCGTAACCCTTGGCAGGTCAGTCGTCAAAAGTTTGGTGATTACCCAACTTAGAATGAGAGGATGCCTTACATTCGAATCATGCTCTGAAAGGGAGAATCTACTACAATGCGTCGAGGACACAGGCTCAGAAATTGCTGCATGCCTTTCAAGTGCACTTCAAGCAACTTCAAGTCAAAGCCGACTTGATCATGCAAAGTGCCTTCGAGGGCGCCAAGAATCGTGATCGTCGAGACGGTATACTCGGCATTTTCCATTGTTTTTTGCATGACCTGCATTTCCCGACTTACAAGCCGGAATGCTTCCCCTCTGTGGTGTAGAAATGGTACTTTTAGGTTATCGAAAGAGTCGCCCATGCACATTGAATCAATACACGCAACTATTAGTGACGCATGCAGATAACCAGGCTGCGAAAGCGCCCGGCGTACGCTTTGTTTCTGGTTAGCTTTTCACGGTCTTCTTCTTCGAGGCAGTCTGTCCCATTATACTCACACGAACGACTCTCCTATATTAGAACCCACAGCATCTATAGATGCTCTCTTTTGAACGACTGGTCGGCAAATAATAAGCATAGATATCGATTAGAACAGCAGGTAATTAAGAGACTTACAAACGTAGAACAGCCGCCGAGAATTCGCATCAAGCTCAATGGGAATGCCAACAAAAAGATGGTTGGGTGTTGCATCAATCAAACTCTGATTGGGAGGAGAGTGGTGATACTTTGAGTCCGTCACAACCACGAAAGGATCGAAAGGCTCGTACTCGCATCGATAATCGAGACGAGCACAATTCGCACTGAATCAGAAAACTGTCAGTGATAAGAGCCAATTTAGCCGAGATGGAGCGTGGTGATAGTATTGTTAATCAGTGATTATGAGACATAATATCTCGAAAACATCTTGTACCGAGAGTCGTGGTGATTATGAAAGTGATGGGATCATATAGACAAGTAGGAATCACCTACCAGCTGGGTCGACACCCATCGCAGCGAACATGCCTTCGCCTACATGTCATGCAGCCTTTCTTACTCCTTTGGTGGTAACGCCTCTGCCGGTCAATCACCCGACCCATGTCCGCGAGCCCCTACCGTCTTTTGTGATAGCACAAGCTCCACGTGTTCTAGCATCCGTTTTCGGTCTGACTAGTCGGTCTGAAGCAATCTAATGAAACAATATCCTGTAGTTGAAGTTGCTGAGATGAGATTCCGCCTGTGAATGTGTTCTGGCTGACGTTCTGAAGGATCAGCTTAAGCCGAGACTCGCCAATGAATCCTTCGAGGTTTTGAGGGCTCTCATTGGTTCCATTAATTTGCGCTTCCAAAACTGTGTGAGCTCTCAAACTAATACAAATTCAGTTAGATCTCGGTCTATCACTCTCGCCATAAAATTATCTGCTAACTACGGCGCAAAACTATCTTGCTTCAATAGTAGTTCACCTGAGGCGCAGGGGGCGTCCCGGGCTTATAAGCTCCAATGCTGAGAGCCACTTTGATAGTTTCCACCAAAACTTCTTTTTCGGACTTTGTGAACTCGGCCGAATGGTCATTAGTCAAGCATGCTAAGTTATGGTCACCAATTTGCCAAGCTTCGGGATTTCTCAAATCGCTTGGTTCCAACATGTACTCTTGGAAGTCGATGAGAGTTTGACTCATATTATCAAACTTATCCATGAGAATCCAACCATTGAACCACATAGGGTTGCCATTCCTGTCAAGATGAAGGAGCTGTGGTGCGCAGATCGTGACGTTCGAGCTATGTTTCCAAATTGGTCGCTGATTAACTAACGATTTCTCCTTCGAGGTATGGGGTATGGGCTGGTTGTCGCCTAAGTCTGAACTTGACATTTGAGTTATAACCCCCATCGTACCCAACTGTCCAGGGTAAAAAGCGTAATCAGAATCGCCAACAACTTCAAATCCCAGCCAATAACTTTCCTTGTCTCCTGATTTCACATTAGCAATTAATTCTCTATGATGATACGATTAGAGGATAAACAACCATAGAATGCATCATAAAACCCCTGGCCACGGCTGCCCACACCATTCCGCCCTGGGCCGTTAATCCAAGTAACGGCAAGCATGGCGAAGAAATGTCTAGACTTGTCTAAGACAACCACTCCACTTTCTTGAACCTGTCTGCTTTTCCCCGTCCACATTCTATTCTGTTTAAGTCTTTCACTGATTGGTTTTGGCAAAGCTTGTCGGAGCCATCTCTGGCCATGTCGTGCTATGGAGTCTTGATCGCGAAAGATGACTGGCTGAGAAAATCGAAGCCGGCGATCTTCAATACTCAATATCCGATCATGGAAGAAAAGAGCGCCATAGGTGATATACTCTTGCTCCTTGAAAAGCACCTCTGGATTTTGCAAGAAAACGGCATCCGCATCAATGAGAATAACTTCGCTGAAAGAAGACATCAAGGTTGCAAATGGTTTGCCGGCAAAAGTTTTGAGTTCCCAGTCGCTGTCATTCATCAACCATTTAAGGTTTCGTGCAATCACACCAGGCAGACGCTCAAGCTCTTCCCGAAGATCAGATCCAAGGTCACTATCTCCGAAATACATAATTTCAATAGGTAGATTGCAACCTAAATTTCGAATCATTCTGATAGTGGTAAGTAGCCACGGCGCTTGTTTATCTCCTGCTGTGGCCACGATACCCCTTTCTCCATTGTACGTGTGCGTGTAGAGGGAGAATGGATCTGGGAAATAATATGAAGTCCATGGAAACAAGAGGTCTTCTATACGTCGGAGGAACGACCGAAGTGCTTCATAGCGTGAGATCAGCGAAGAAAGATTCGGATGGCGTGCAAAAGAGCAACGCAAAAAGTGAATGATGTCGTGCCTCATATATGCTTGGCCGTTGTCGTCGTTGATTATATGGACTGCTTTCCATGCTTCAAATATCGGTGTCAGCCTGCGCATCTTCGAAGCTAGTTGTCGCAGGCGTTTCCTAATGTCACCATGTTGGATTGGTCGCAATAGGTTCAACCGGTCTTCTTCTTCTGGTAGTAACGATAAGAGCTTATCCAAGACCGGAATCAACTCGGAGTTACTGCCACAGTGTCTGCGATGAGATGTAGAAGGTTGAGACATGCCTGCTACCAGCTGGTCTGAGATTCTTTCTGACGCACGATGGAAGCCTGCTTCATGTGCTGCCCCATAGTTTGCTTCTGAGATTTCAGTTTTTGATGGCTGGCACTGCTGACTTGAAAATCCTGGGGGCTTCCCGGAATACCCATTTCTATGGAGAGTCTCAGGGTTAGTACTAGATTCGAAGAAGCTTGAATATAGCGAATTCAATCGGCTCAATTGTGAGAAAAGCGTGCCATGAACTCCAAGCAAAGGAAGTAGAATAATTAGCAGCAACAATGTACTACCACCGATAAGTCTACAAGATGGCCGCCAGCGGACATCACTATAACCATTGGTCTGCTGCATGCTGTGTCTCATGTCGTACAGGTAATTCAACTTGAAAATATCAATTTTACTCCAAGGAGGCAGCCAAGGTTCACCGCTCCGCTATGTTGAGAGACAAATACGGTTGAAAGCGATTGCCTACAAGTTATCTAGCCGAAGTACCCCTGCTGATTTGGCACCGACATTCTAGTGGGCATGGGACAGAGATCTGATGTAAGACCGATGCCGCGCCAAGATGTGTCCCAATGAGAACTATCTCTCTGCCGCGACATTATTTAGCTTTGCAACAGTGAGGAATCACGGGCACCAATCTAGTAATTTGCGGGCACTCGAGCATAAATGCAACTCCGATGCATGGCAGATCGAATGTCCGGGTCTACCCTCTTCCTATAATAGCAATGCCGATTTGAAGTGCTATTCTAATCATGCGCTGTTACGCGACCCGTACTCAGTCATCCAGTAGGAAATGTTTGTTCTGCGGGCTCTCCAATCTTACTTCAACTCACATCGAGTTTTTGTTCTTGGCTTCGTGCTAAAGGAGCAAGACTACTTCTTTAAAGATATGGACATCCCATTGGTGATGAAATGGTCCCGGACAAAATCATCACTTTCGTTATACTGTCAAAGTCAAGTTTTCGTTGCGTCGTTATTGGTCAAATGGCGACTGTACCGTTTGTTCCGTCATCTCATTCGGATCTTTCCACTGCTCAATTTGTACCTCCTGCCCAGGAGATCGCGGCTGCTGTAGGAGGAGGTATATTGGCACATGCAATTGTCACCACCGCTATTGCCACTCTTACTATCGAACAACGAGGGCTTCGGTTCCTCGTAGCGCTGCTCAACATTGCAGTGTGCGTCATCATCATTTCGCAAATCGACCGCACGAAAATATATGGTGGCCAAATGACAGTCTACATGATTTGCCAGATGATGCAAGGAAACTGGACATTACTATTGAATCCAGTGGAGATGGACCCAGGCCTATCTCTTGGCGTGAGATTGTGTAAATCATTATATGTCGCTCTTGATCCAAGACCATCCTCAAGACAGTCAAGATCAAGGTTACCCGAACCAAATGTGGCTCTCAAGCAAGGTCAAGCGGTGTCAAAGCAAGATGCCAAATTGACCTTTATCCTCACAACGCTATCCAAAATATTGTGGACATCGCTTCTCTATTATCTATTTGAACACCATTTTCGTCTCAATGTTCGTCTTCCAGATTTCGACAAAACCCATGATCAGTCTGTACTCTATCGTCTGACCCAGTTCGATGTACGTTTCTTCCTGTCGTGCTTCTATATAGAAGCACTAGGTGACTTCCAACAGTATTGGATCATTGAGTTCATCCACGGATGGTGTGCCATATTCGGAGTGGCTGCTCTCAACCACGATCCAGCAGACTGGATACCATTGTGGGGTGATCTACGTGATGCTTATACTATGGCTCGATTCTACGCCTACTGGTGGCACAAGATTCTTCGCAAACAGCTCATTGAGAATAGTAGAGCTCTGCTCCAGCTATTTGTGTTTCTTCCAAAGGGAATACGCAATTCGCGTTTCGCGGTAGTGATTGCTGTGTTTGTATTCTCGGCATTAATGCATGGGATGGCGTTCTCGTCAGCATCTCGGTGTCTCGACAACCGTGTTGTTACGTATTTCGCTCTTTTAGCCCCCACGGTCCTTCTTGAGGAATTGGTGCAGCGACTATTTAGTCCTTATTTTACACAAGTAAAAGCACCTCAAAGCAGTGCAGAAATTGAGAAGAGCAACATCACGGCTCTATCTAAGGAGCACAACTCGAGGACAGATAGGACTACGTCAAGATGGAGATACGTGGGGTATTGTTGGGTCATTTTATACAAGTGTTGGGTTGTTCCGAGATCCTTATCTAGAAGCAAGATATGCTTCTGACGTCATAATATTATTTTGTCTAAATATAAGTAAACATATTGATTATGAGATGTATAAATTTTAATGATAAAACTAGGTTGAGTTCACTCACTTACACTAAAGCGTGCCTAAATTGCATGTTCAAATCGCGCTCTACCCTTCGCACAACACGTAGCATGAATTTTCAGCTTCATGCAAAGTCATCCGGAGAAGTATGAGTAATACGATACTTCCTAAATCAGCGTATATCCACTACAGCTGGTGCAGGCGGAATTCCATGCAGCTTTAGTTAACTCCGGAAACTGACGGCGGAGTTTCTTGATGGCTCTTAGCAATGAAAATCATCGCTGGGCGTAATCAAGTTAGACTCGAGAAACCCGGCGGCATTTTACCCCTTCAACGCCTCCTCTGTGACTAGTGGCGTCGTTGAACAGTAGTTCCGCTTTTGCCACAATTTGTCGATTTTGTACTCAAGTAAAGATGTCGGATATACCTTTCGCACCCTGGACACTCGTTATCGCACTCGTAGGATTAACTGTCCTGTGGTGTCAGCCACATCGATCATGGCTTTGCAATGCTCTATCAAAGCTTCAACAGACTCTGTGGTTGCCATCAGAAAGCGCTGGTAAAGCGAACTTGTCTATTCCGACAAGACAATGCCCTGAGAAACACGCTACACTGCCCCCTGGAAATTCATCCGCAAGTCCGAGTCCTCGATTGACAATTCTGGTCGCTGGAGATACCTTTTCGCCGGACGTGAATGGTGCTGCTATCTTCACACTTCAGCTGGCTGCTGGACTAGCTCATCTCGGGCACAAATTACATGTGATCGTGCCGTCTATCAATGGCATCCCTGGCGTCTTCGAAGAAAATCATGGCGGAGCAAAGATCATAATTCATCGGCTGCGGTCTGTTCGCTGGACCTTTCTGACATCGCTGAGATGTGCAGTTCCCTGGGAAGTGCGCACAGACGTGAGTCTGATCATGAACTTGGTCAAACCTGATATTGTGCATATCCAATCTTTCTTTCAAATTGGGCGAGGGGTCGCTCGAGAAGCATATGTGCGAAACATTCCGATCGTAGCGACGAACCATTTTCTTCCTGAAAATGCAAATGATTGCACCTGGTTTGGGAAAGGAATTATCTGGCTTGGACTCAACTTTCTCCTTGCGGACGCCGCGCGGACGTACCATCTAGTTGATACGATCACCGCCCCTACCAAGAAAGCGGCCATGAATCTTGAAAGAACGATGCATCTTGGCGGGAATTCAGTGAAAAGCATCTCGTGCGGCATCCACATCCGGGACTGTACAGCGAAGCCCGGCCGTCCTCGCCTGAATGAGATCATTTTTGTAGGACGTTTGGCCCCCGAGAAGCAGTTGAACATCCTTTTACTGGCTTTTCACCTGCTGGCCCCCGAGCTGGATGCAAGGTTGCGTATCGTTGGGAATGGCGTAATGCTTGCTAACCTCCAAACTTTGGCCCGTCAGCTAGAGATAGCAGAGCGTGTCACATTTGCGGGACATGTGTCGGAGGTTCAGAAATATGATGCATTAACAAATGCTACACTATTTGTAATGCCCTCGACAGCAGAGCTTCAAAGTCTTAGTTGTTTGGAGGCCATGGCTTCGGGTCTTCCACTTGTTGTGGCAGATGCGATGGCATTGCCACATCTTATTAATGGGAATGGATATCTTTTCGAGCCGGGAAACGAAATTGATCTTGCGAAGAAGCTCACGGACATTCTGGCAGTGAGTGAGCAGGAGTATATAAGGATGAGTAGCCTGAGCCGCGCAATGGTTCATGATCATGACATTCATAAAACACTCCAGGCTTACGAGGCAATATATTACACCTTGTTCCAGGATCGGGGGTTTCAGCGTGAGATAAAAGATACGAGAAAATTACTTCACAGCTAGATGAAAAATTCATTCCGACTTACCCATTAGCTAGGCTTTAGAGATGAGATAGCCAAGGAGAACACACAAGTTATGTGCTACAAATTCAGTCAACATATAATTTACGAATCTCGTCAGGTTCATGATCTAAACTAATGCACTTGGATCATAAAGCACTTGGCATTCTGTCAATGTTCCATTAACCTGTATAGTGTAGCAGCAGTCATTTACAGGACCAGCATTTCACATAAATTGTCGCGAAAATACAGATGATGAAGATGGACACTTTGTTGATGTGACTTCCCTAAACCTCGTGAAATATACACATACTAGGTCGTAGACCTGTCTGAGCATATTGTGCCAACCAAAGAGTCTAGGAACTTTTTGGCATTGATGTCGGAAGCAGCTCGTATGATGGGCAAATGTGTCCACAAAAACTTCTCCCTCCGGTCTACCACAGTCTGTCCAAGGCACAACTTGCTAGAGGTCTCTACGGCCACTCGAATCTCCTGAAATGTGACAATACTGGGATCGAGTGCTACGGCAACTGCGGTAGAGTCAATTGTAGTGCACCATGTATCGAATTTCAGGCTATGACCCCAATCCATCACTCCCAGAAGAAAGTGAGCAGCAGCATTTCCTGCAATTTTCGACCGCTTAAGCTTCTCTAGATGCTCGGGACTGAATTCAACATCTGGTCTAGTTGCAACATCAAGACCTAGAGCGAAAAGATTGAAACCAGAATTGAAGGCAATTTCTGCAGCTTCTGGGTCGACATAAACGTTCCACTCGGAAACAGGGTTGTCGCCGGTGCTGCGAACTGTGCCCGTTGTGTGGAAACCGAAAGAGCCAGCGATGCAAATAACACGATCGATCTTGGATGGCAGAAGCGGATCTTTCATTACCGCCAGGGCAAGGTTGGTCAATGGGCCGAGACATAGAATAGTGAGTTTGCGTGACCCTCCGGATGTTTGTAGAACTTGGTCTGCCGTTTCGACGATAAGATCCGGGGCATATCGCCGGTCTTCGGTCAACGCCGACGCAGGGATGCCGAGCTCACCAAGCCCATCGGCACCATGCGAGAAGGGGTCCTTGGGGTATGGCCTAACCAGCGGTGTCTGTGTTCCTTTTGCAACAGGAATACTTGCGGCTTCTTCTCCACCATACAGGGTCAGGATTTTTAGGGCATTTTGTGCGCAGGCTGCTGCCTGTAAGTTGCCGGAAACTGTTGTGATAGCATGTATCTTGATATTCGGCGAGGACAACGCGTAAAGGATGGCGACAGAGTCGTCAATGCCCGGATCGCAGTCGATTAAAACATCTATCGCCATCTTTTTCTAGGGGACGCACTAATTGTTACCTCGAAGATGAATTCGGTTATGTGCTTCAATATTGGCGGCGATTAATGCTTGCGAATATTTCTGTCAGATTTCTGATCAAGCTTTGCCGAGCGCCGCCGTTAATGCTTGTAAATCATTGACAGAACGCTAGTGATACGCCAGCAATGAGATGCACACGAATCTCATATCCGACTTTCGGCACCCTAAGTTCATGAATTAATGGGCCAATGTGGCTACTGATAAGGCTAGCATCCTTTTTGTATTACAGCCATGATCTAGTCGTCTCATAAATGTTCTAGCGCCAAGATCCTGTCACTGTAGACCGCTAGCCTTATCATCCACGGCCTCCGCTTCGGGTGTAAGTGCATGTGTGATCGGCCAAGGGATCACGCCGCATAGTGTGGGCAGTCATAAGACCCAGTGATGGCCTGGGTGTGCAGGATCTTCAACGCGCTCTTTCGTTTATAGCTATTGCATGTACCATATTCCCAATATCGCAATCTTCATAATTTCTTGCGGATAGGGAAGACGCACTCAAGATGTTCCACTCAAGCATATTCGCCTCCGATAGCCATGTTGTTATCATGTCGCTCGTCTTTGCGACAGCTGTTTTCAACGGCTGCACACAAGGTTACGATCAGAGCATGATGAACAATCTAAATCTGTATGATTCGTATGTGGATTGTAGGGCTTCCTCCCTGTGCATCAATGTTTGAACTGCTGATATACTCATATTGTTGAAGACTTCAAACTTGATGACAACCTTATGGGACTCAACGTCGCCCTGATTAACGCCGGCTCTGTTTTTGGTGGTCTCTTCGCTGGCCAGGTTTGCGATCAATGGGGTCGCAAAGCGGGCATTGCCTTATCGGCAGCCATCACCGTAGTTGCCGTCATTATTCAAGCCGCAGCTGTCCATGAGGCCATGTTTTGCATCGGACGTTTCTTATTAGGGGCATCAATCACCGTCAACGGTGCCGCAGCACCGACCTGGGTCATGGAGATGGCGCACCCTCGATATCGTGGTATTCTTGGTGGTATGTACATGGCAATATGGTATTTTATTGCAACCATTGTCTCCGGCATTTCAATCGGCACCTATTTCTACGACACAACATGGACATGGCGTGGACTAGCCATTGGCCAAGTGGTTCCAAGTCTGCTAGCATTGGCCATGCTCCCCCTTACGCCTGAATCTCCCCGGTGGTTGATCAGCCAAGATCGACATGAGGAGGCTCTCATGTTGCTGGCAACTCTTCACGGGAGGGGAGACCGTGAAAATCCTCTCGTTCAGGCCGAATATCATGAAATCAGCTCTGTGCTATCATATGAGAAGTCTCTGCCGGCACAGTCATTCAAAACCCTCATCAGCCCGGCACCGAATCTGAAGCGGTTCATGATCGTGATCGTGCTGAATATTGCCGCGCAAGTCATTGGTTCCAACATTGTGTCTTCATTCATCGGTGTCGTACTTGAGTCAGCTGGCATCACAGACACACACCAACAACTCGTCACTAATTTGGGCATCAACATCTTCAACTTCTTCTGCGCCATCGCTGGCTCCTTCGCCATGGAGCGGCTGGGCCGCAAGGGAATGCTCTTCTATACGACTTGCCTGATGACTTTCTTCTTAGTGCTGATGGCCATTCTCTCTGCGCTCTATAGTGACGGCAGCAATAAGAGTGCGAGCAACGCCATGGTCGCCATCATCTTCCTATTTCTCGGCTCTTACAGCTTTGCCTGGACCCCGCTCACTTTCGTCTATCCCGTCGAGATTTTCAACTACACTCAACGTGCCAAGGGCCTTGCTGTTGGGCAGATGGCATGCTATGCGTTCGGATTTGTCAATCAGTACACTACACCCATCGCGATTGATAATATTGGGTGGAGGTACTATGCCATCAACGCCGCCTGGGATGTGGTCATCTGTGCCATAATTTGGTTCTTTTTCGTCGAAACTAAGAGCCTTGCCCTAGAAGAGGTGGACAAGTTGTTCGATGGCAAGATCCATGCCGATGGTGTCTTTGTTGGCAGGGGAGACGACATCAGGCTCAAGGCGGATACAGAGGCATAAGTGTGCACGGAGATATTTCGGGATTCATTGGGGCGAGAGGAGGAAACCCTACCAGCAGATTGATGAACGGAATTATATATGATTCTGATATTTATTGACATCTCCAAATTCTGATATGTCGCCTGCCTACTTCACTACTTATCTAATCTAGCAGTGATGTGTCTTTTTGGCCAACTCAGTCGTATCTGTGGCTGAGGGGGGTTCATGTTAGTCAGATCAGCCATCATATTCAAGAGATGCCCGCAAACCCACTGAAACGGTTCTAACAGAACCTAAACTAGCCAACCAGATGGCGGAGTCGAAAGACTCCGAGTCCGCAATGGTGTTAGTGACAAGCACGGACCAATGTCGAAATTTGACTTTTGATGCGTCACTTGGAGATTCGATGAATGCACGCACATCTTGCATGCAAAGAAGAAAGCCATTCTCCAATATTACTCAAGTACTTCACAAAGGCGAACATCGTCCAAAGATCGCGTCTGCTGCAATTGGTTGTAGAGTCTAACCTTGGACCTCACAAGTGTACATCCCCCACCACGCAGTGCCCAGGATCCAGCCTATCAGCATGGCTAACGACTACATCCTTACTCTGTCATGCCCTGACAAGCCGGGGATCGTGCACGCCGTGACTGGCATATTTGCTAGTCGTGCAATCAACATTCTGGAGCTTCAGCAATTCAGTGATCCAGTGTCGAAAAAGTTCTTCATGAGAGTTCACTTCGGGCCTACAGACAGCGTGGCTGAAATCACTGAGCCGTTCAACACCCTCGCGGCAGATATTCAGATGGACTACGATATCCGTCCCATCGCGCAGAAGACGCGGGTGCTCATCATGGTATCTAAGATTGGTCATTGCCTCAACGATCTTCTGTTCCGTGCAAAGGCCGGCCAGTTGCGCATCGACATTCCAGCTATAGTCTCCAACCACCCAGATTATGAGCCCCTGGCCAAGAGCTATGGCATACCATTTTATCATCTGCCAGTCAACAAGGACACGAAAGAGAAACAAGAAGGCCAAATACTTGATCTGATTCGCGAACACACTATTGAGCTTGTTGTCCTCGCAAGATATATGCAGGTCTTGTCGCCTAAGCTCTGTGAGGCAATGTCCGGCCGCATCATCAACATCCACCATAGTTTCTTGCCATCATTCAAGGGTGCCAAGCCATATCACCAAGCATACGAACGTGGTGTGAAGATCATCGGCGCGACGGCGCATTTTGTAACGGCTGATCTCGATGAAGGTCCGATCATCGAACAGCGCGTAGCTCGGGTGGATCATAGCATGAGCCCCAAGGACCTAGTGGAGGAAGGCTCGAATGTCGAGAGTCAAGTCCTTGCGGCCGCTGTGAAATGGTACGCCGAAAAACGGCTGTTCCTCAACGTTACCAAGACAGTTGTTTTCGCTTAATAGATAGATTAATATGAAATATGAGACTCGAAATTGACGACTTTCTCGGACCATGAGTATTATGCTACTTCCATGTCGATCTTGATTCATGACGTTTCTCAGACCCTAAAACCTTTTCTCGACCCTGTAATCAGTCATGTACTGTTAGAAGCAGCTTCTCCCAGAATCATCTGATAGCATCTTTGGTAGAGATTTTGAAAAGCCTGATATTCCAGTTTCCACTGCTTTTTATGCCTTGTGGACACAGTTGACATCGCATCATATTCAAATGTCAGTTCAAGAAGCCAATGATCGGTACGTGCAGAGCTTCACAGAAGAACCTGTGCCTTTGTTCAACCGAGTTTACATTTCCGAGTATCTATGCCGCTACAAACAGAATGACGATCATTAAATCGTGATCGGGAAGTTATATACATTGATGCGGGCTTGAACCTTATAGGGGCACTGCTATAGGACTGACTCCCCAAACTTTTCCTTCCGGGTAGTCTAGTGCTTTGTCATGGTCACAATCCACCACCATAGATGTATCTAGTCCCGGAACTTCTTCATCCTCGGCAACAAGTATTCGGACACCTTTAAACCATACCTTGCCTGTCTTCGACTCTCGCTGTTGTCCCCTGATAGCCTCGTCGATGATGCGTGCAAACATGTAAGTGGGATGTTGATCGCTCCAGCCCATTTTTTCCAAATCAAACACCTCGCGATATGTTTTACCAAGCCCATGAATGACATCTGATACTCTGTCTGTTTCTTCCGCCGATTCACTGTGAAGCTCACGATATAATTCACTCCCGCGGTTTTGCAACTGTTTTGACACCATGTTCTGTCTACCACAGCGGGAGCATCGGCCGACGCAGTAGTCAACGAGGTACAGGACCTCGAGGCGGTGATGCATGGTGCATGCAAGAAAAGCAACCTCTTCGATTACCAGTGAGAGCACAGAAGAGTCGGTCCAGGTCTCGGTCACATCCAGCGCAACACGTCGTGCGTTGTGCATGGTATCGGCCATCTCGCTACTCCATACACCTTCGAGCACGGCGCTGATTCCATTCATGTATGCATCTTCAAAGTTTCCGCTCACCGGAGCAGATTCTTGACTTTGCCCAGACAAATCTGTTGGAACAGAGTCTCCATCTTCGAGACTCGGCTCTGGCCCATTGAACAATGTGTCTTGGCTGAGCGCTGTTGCTGCGCCACCGTCTCGAAAGCGTAAGTGCAGAACGTCAGTCGAATTGTTGTATTGTACGTAATGATCCTGCCCGGGAAGATAAACGGTGTTGACTTCCTCCTTGGAGTCCACGGAGCTCGAAGGCTTGATCGCAGAGATGTTGGCCGCGTCGACGCATGTTGCACGCAGAGTGTCCTTCACTTTGTACATGGATGGGTCTAGTCGATGGCGAGCGACTCTTGTTGGCCGAGCGAGTTCCTCCGTTGATGTATCGAGGGTATCAAGAAATACAGTATCTTGGTATTTCTTCCACCTCTTCCTAGCTTTCTCGCTCATACCAGTGGAAGACGAACTCTCGAAAGCTTTCAAGCTGCGGCTTTGACCACGCCATGATGGGAAACAAACATCAAAGATGTGTATTGACGGGGCACAGGCACCTGTTGCTTCCCATATCTTCAGCTGTAACTCAGCCGGTAGCTCTTTGAAGCGACCGAAGGATGAGGTTGATCCGGTCATGATTTGTTGGCGGAAGGAAACCGGTGTGTGGGAGGGTTGATTCCTTGGAACTCTGTAATGTAACGAGCCTTTGGAAGAAATCGGTTGGCTCATGTGTCTACGCATTTAGTTAGTTTGCATCAGAAGAAGTCAGCGTTTTGAAAAGAAACCACAGACATTCGGGTCATGAATGGTAAATTAACAACTGGTCCATTATGCCATGTTATTTTATATCGGGCTGATGAGGTCAGACAGATGGATTTGGACCCATGTCACGAAATCCGAGGTCCGACATACAGGCCTCATAGTGGAGTTGTATAGACGAGCTGATGGCTCAAATGCATGCAAACCACCGAAATAATCCAATCAAGACGTTGCCCAAGGACGCGAAGCTTGGATGTGTCAGACGGATGCTGAGCTGAAATTGCGGCACTAAATATGAACGTTTGCCTGATTGGGTCGCATTCTGATGTCAGCACCATAGAAGCACGCCTCTTGCCCATTTCAAGAATCTTACTGCGCAGCTCTCAAGGGTGTTTTGTCTGTTCAGCCTTACGGAGCACCCGTTTTAACGCGGATTACCGGCGGACGATATAGTCAGGGATTGTTATGCAAAAACTCGTAGATGTCCAATCAGCTCATCCACCGGTATCACTCGTCTTCATCTTTGGTAACTGGGGCTGTGTTGATAAGCATGTGGGAGATTTGAAAAAGATAAGAAGCCACAATATGTGTAGTCATGACGAGTAATTAACTTTTGGGTGTTTACTGCCCAGTAGTAAGCTTTAGTAAGAATGTCTCCGTTTGTCATCATTATGATAATATTCGCTTGGTCTTGCTCCTATCATATTAGGTGTCTTAAAAGCCCCGGCTCTCATCAAATCAGTTTCCCTTGATAGAGTGACGTCTTCTATTATTCAAGTATTCTCTTAAACTTGTATGTCTCATGTTTGAAGGTCTGAAACCCAAAAACTTTGAGAAACAAGGCATGATTATGACTTTACTGAGACATAGGACAAGACTACAATTCTTTTCAAAGACTGGAAGGTCTTCCATATAAAATGACTTCTAACTCAGCCAGTCAGTTCTTGAGCGGTCAGCTGGCAGATGCATCGAGCAAACTGTTACTTGCCTACACTAACTTGATGAAATTGGCGGTGGATATTCAACCCCTCCTTGTAACACTTGAAATTGGACATAATGAGGCCTTACTGACTCCATTTTCTGAATTTTTATTCTTGTGTAGGTCTGCTGTCATTGCTTCCAAAATTTGCAGCAGTGAACCACACTGATGGCACTGGCTGTCACACCTCTTCTCATTCGCTACTACACATCAGAACCTAGAAGCGTACAGGTCAGTTTCCAACGGAAGAACATCGTTTCTATCGGTAACATGCTCCGAGAAGACTAAAAGCGTCAGAAAGGCGCCGCGACTGACCTCCGACCCCAGACTCGGAACAATCTTCCGAATTTCTGATTGGGTCTAGTCTTGGCCATTCTTTCCAGCGTCATCGACCATCCTGAGGAAAGCCGGGCCGAAATGAAGAGAGGGGCAAAAATGTGTTGTAAAATTTGATATAAATAATGTGAACTTTAAGGATATGACCGCAAGCTATTCTAACAATTCCCTCCATTTTATAGATACTTGGCCTTCGATTCTGGCTAAGGAGTCACGTCTCTTATCTGTAATTGTTAGTCGTTCGAATAAGCCACACTTACTCCATTTATTCAAATGACTTCGAAACTCTTCAACGCTATTGCAGCGTTTGCTCTTGTTGGATATTCCTTAGTCGTCGCACAACAACCTGGATCAACACCGGAAATTCATCCCCAGCTTGTGACCTGGAAATGCTCAACTGCCGCTGGTTGCATTCAGCAAAATACATCAGTAGTCCTTGACTGGAACTATCGCTCCATTCACACTGTTGGAGGAACCACGTCGTGTACAACAGCCTCTGGTGTCAACACTGCGTTATGCCCAAATGAAGCAACATGCGCTCAAAACTGCGTCGTCGAGGGTGCAGATTATGCTAAAAGTGGGGTGACAACCTCGGGTGATACAATGATCATGTATCAATATATCCAAAGTAACGGGCAGACTCAGAATGCATCTCCGCGTGTTTATTTGCTGGGACCCGATGGCGATTATGCCATGCTGCATCTGCTGGGGCAAGAGCTGACCTTTGATGTTGATCTGTCAACTCTACCTTGCGGCGAGAATGGTGCCTTATACCTGTCCGAGATGGCAGCGTCGGGGGGTCGAAGTCAATACAACACGGGAGGAGCAACCTACGGGTCTGGGTATTGTGACGCGCAATGCCCTGTTCAAGCATGGAGAAATGGTACTGTTAATACCAGCGGACAAGGATTTTGCTGTAACGAGATGGATATACTCGAGGCCAACGCTTATGCTACCGCTTTCACACCACATCCTTGCAGCACGAATGATTGCGATCGCAGCGGATGTGGCTTCAATCCATACGCTTCAGGGTATCACAGCTATTACGGCCCTGGACTGGCCGTTGACACCTCGAAACCTTTCACCGTGACAACTCAGTTTGTTACAAATGATGGGACCACAACCGGCAGCCTCGTCCAGATTATACGTTCATACACACAGAATGGTGTAAAGGTTGCCAGTGCTCAGTCCGGTGGTGACACTATCACCGCATCTGGCTGTACATCTGGAGCTCAGTTTGGAGGTCTCGATACAATGGGTCAGGCGTTGGGCCGCGGTATGGTCCTCGTGTTCAGTATATGGAACGACAATGGTCAATTTATGAACTGGCTCGATAGCGGAAGCAATGGCCCTTGCAGTAGCACAGAAGGAAATCCCTCTATCATTCAATCCCAGCATCCCGACACTCATGTGGTGTTCTCGAACATCCGCTGGGGGGATATCGGATCCACAACATCAAGCAACCCCGGAAACCCGGTTTCAAGTTCCACGACTTCCCGGGTATCGTCTACCTCTTCCATTAAATCAACCCTCTCGACAAGTACTATAGTGACGATTTCAAGCACAAAGGCTACCAGCACATCTACAGCCGTTGGTGCTACACAGACACATTGGGGCCAATGTGGAGGACAAGGCTGGACTGGTCCAGCTGCATGTGCTGCTCCATACACGTGCCAGACTCAGAACCAGTGGTATTCACAGTGCCTGTAGTGTTAGTGTTGGAATGAGATATACGCGATTCCTTATCCTGTATTGGTAGATAGATACATCAAGAATTCATTAGAATCGAGATACGTCTATCAGCCACCAGATCCTTTTATGAAAAGACTAGTATAATATTGTGTCTTTTATTTACATGTCTAAGTGTACGTCATGAGGTAATAGGCTATCAAAGTGCTTCTTGTCTCCGGTGACTTGGAAAAGTTGAGTTTACATGATGAAGCTACAACTTCTGAGATCCCTATATCCGGCTTACAGCGTATATCTGAAGTCTGGATGTCTGTCTCCCTTCTTGCCAGACACAATCTCTGCTTGCTTTTCCTCGCCCGACATCCGATCTCTCTTGTTGTTGATAGTGCGCAATGTCGCCCACATGACGAAATATCCGACTGCAGCCAATACAATAGCTCCCAGGGACACGGAATGTCCGATGGTGTATCTTCCATCTGACGCCGTGAGTCTGTAAATTTGTCCAGCCTGTATGATGTTAGATTATAATCGTATAACAGACTTTGAGTTAATTGTGTTACTCACCATAATTCCAGCACTGTTTCCGATTGTCTGTTGCAGACCAATTGCAGCGGCACGTTTGTAATAACCAGCATTGCTGTTGCTAACCCACGTCACATTCAGACCGACGACACAGTAGATACCTGTGGCTGTGACAAAAGTCGCGAAATAGAGGACTCCAGTCGATGTCATACTGACACCAAGCATCATCGAGTACCCTGCAGCTGTAACGAGTGCCATTGGCACCATGAAAACCGCGCGTCGTTGGATACGATCAGAGAAAAAGGATATGGTGATGTAAACGAAGGAAGCCCAAATGTAGACCGGAACAGTGAGGAGCTGGGTCTTGACACTGCTGTAGCCAAAGCCGCGAATGATTACTGGAAGAAAGGTGCCGAAACCGAAAGAGCAGGTGTCTGCGCAAAACTGGCAGAAGGCTGATAGCCAGACCTTGGGGTCTTTGAAAGCAAGCTTGACCTCTCCTTTGTCGAATGTATCAGACTCGCCCTGGTAAACTCGTACTTGTTCCTGACGGACAACCATCATAGCCTTCTCGTCTTCTCGAAGCCACCAAGCTTTCTGGAAGTTGTCCGGCAGCAGGAAGATGGACATGAGGCCAACCACAATTGAGATCAGGCCTTCAACCAGAAACAGCCAACGCCAGCCAGCCAAGCCTCTTGCACCGTGCAGACTTGTCAATCCATAGGCCAGTAGACCACCGAATGCGCCCGAAAGAGCGGCAGCAACGAACAGGTACGAAATTCGGCGAGCTTGCTCCACGGGTTTATAGAACGTGCTGAGATATAATGTCAAGCAAGGGAAGAGGCCACTTTCAAATGCACCGAGTAAAAGTCTAGTTGCAAGGAGGCCAGCATAATTCTTGACAAAAGCCGAACCAATGATTGTGATGCTCCATCCAACGATGAAAAAGGGAATCAGTCGACTGGGCCGCGCCTTCTTGAGTATCAAAGGTGCCGGGATCTCGAAGGCGACGTAGGTGACGTAGAACAAAGTAACAGCTACGTTTAACCTGTTCCCCGTAAGGTTCAAGTCTTCCGTCATACCAGCAATGGCAGCGTTTCCTACATACATCGTTAGCAACCCCGAATTTTCGCGGCAAAGTTGAGTGCGCTCATACCAATGTTACTTCGGTCAAGATATGCGACTAGAAAGAATAGGATCATCATTGGGGCAAGCCACATATCGAGTTTGCGGATAAGTCGCGCCTCTGCATGCCGGTCAATCGTAAGATCGGCGATACCAGTCACCGAAGGAGGCGACTCAAGGTCGCTCTCTTTCCTTTCAAGGCTCATCTTCTCGGCGTGGGTTGACATTGGGTATAGTGACCGTTAATGGTGAGCTAGTTCCCAGGTGAAGTAAGACTGCTCAAGCAAGATTAAAAGCTGTCTCGAAAACACCTAGCTAGACATGACGAATCTGATTAGCTGGTGATCGTGGTACACCACAAGCCTGCGACTTACCCTCCTGTTTGAATGACTTCCTAAAAAGTGCCTTAGATGTCTCTCCAAATCACCATGCCGGCTCCTTGGTGTAGATGATTGAAAGGAACTGGCTGGTCAATTCACAGCTGATGAGATTGTCGTTCTGCGTGGACCATCTTTCGGGTGTTGCATCGCATCCTGATCTTCTTTATGTATGTCGTCGATCCGATCGTCTCTGCTTATCGAGGCTTTTTCACCTATCAACATTGTAGAAATTTGCCGAAACGTCATCGGCATTTGATTTCGCTAGCGTAGCTTCTTTCATCCCCAGCAAACGATTCATTGTCACTCAACTTATCCACCTATAGCGGGAATAGCGAGTCCACGAGTCAGGACGTTATGATTAACACGCCTGACATGCGCTTCCCTTATCTCTTGGCCGTCGGGGTCAGCAATTAGTCCAAGTGGGGAATCCATCCCACAGTGAATAAAATCCCGATGCACCCCCTAGTCTCTGGCTTCCCCAGTCGCATCTGGCAACTCTTTATGCATTTGCCGATCAAGCATTCGACAAGCGACCGGCCCGCTGATGTGAATAATGGATAACGAACGTACAGGGCGGCGGTCGCCGAGTGCAGGCTCTCCTGGACCACCAGATAGGATTTCGGGGCATGTCGGGGTACCAAGAAAGAGAAAACGCGGAAGACACGCGGCTGCATGTGACTCGTGTCATCGGCGAAAGCAAAAGGTGATATTCCATGTTGAGTCCTCCCCGATCATTTCACAGTTACTAACGCTTGATTAGTGCGATGGGGCTCGACCATGCTTCAATTGTACAAGGAGAGGTGTTGCCGCATCGTGCATCTACAGTTATCTTCCATCGGCCGTAGACAGTGCTTTCGACGTTCCGCCGTCTTCGACCCGTTTTGCAATCTCAGTCTCGGCCGTTGGGGCAGAAGTTCCCCGTTCACGCATCAACTCATCCAGTAGTGGGACAAAGGACGCAAATCTTTCCATAGAGGGTTTACCAAATGGACAAGATTCCTTAAGGCAGGGAAGGACCTCAGATCAGACTGAACATCCCGTTGGAGATTTGTTCAAAAGCCGTGATGCGCCATCTTTCTTCGGTTCTTCCTATTTTGGGCCACAGGCAGCGGCAAAGGTCATTCAAGCACCTCCCCCTGATCTTTCATCGGGTCTTCAGAAGGCGGAGGCAAGCTCCACGCATTCATTCCGGGATGAGGGCGGTCCTTTCTCCCAGATCTGGGATCTGCTCGGCCTCCTTCCCCGTAAGAAGTCCACTGTAGACAAGTTGACAGAGTGCTTCTTGCAGGAACTGAACTGGGCAATCGATGCAGTCCATCCTACATCCTTCAGGACAACCTATCAACATTTCTGGGCCAGGAAATTCGGGTTTGACGATTTGGCAACCATCGATTTAAGGTGGCTGGCACTTCTGTTTATCATCCTAGCATATGGTGTCTTGCTTGACTGTCCCCGCCCACGGAATAAGGAGATCCAAAGAGAGGTTCAAGAGACTTCGCAACGGTTCTACTGGGCATCACGCAGGGCGATTGTCATAGCCCCAACTTTCTATGGTGAATCCACAGATCTCGTCAGGGCTGGGCTCCTCGTCACTCGTTATCTTATATACACCCGCCGAATTCCCGAGTCATGGCTCACGACAAGCTTTGCCATGCGTATGGCGCAGGCTCAGGGAATGCATATTGACGGTGAGAGATGGCGACTCCCTCGGAAAGAGACAGAGACACGTCGGCGGCTCTGGAGTCATCTGTACAGGATGGACAAGACTATTGCTTTGGCACTCGGCCGGCCCTTTGCGATAGTTGATCAACAGTGCCTAGTGAAACAAGCATCAAACCTATGGCTAGATGACCTCAGCGACGAAGAGGCGGAAAACGCGGTAGAGGCGCCCATATCCGACCCCACACTCAGTGTCTGCAACCGGCTTTGTCACGAGCTAGCTGTCATTGTAGGGAGAATCCAAGAACAATGCTTTGGCCTCTTCACGGTCTCGTACGACACCGTTCTGGCGTTGGATATGGAGATTACTGCATGGGAGTCTCAACTTCCTGAGTATTTCAAGCTTGGCGATCCTGACAGATCAATGGATAAACAGCGCCCCTTTCTCGTGTGGAATAGGCTGCATTTGCATAGCTTATATCATTTTGCACGAGTGACACTACATCGGCCTTTCTTGTTAAGACAGTCGATCACAAACAGATACGCCCATAGCCATGACGTCTGTATGGCCTCCTCCTGTGCCGACCTTGAGATGCGCCTTAAGTACTTCAGCCAGCCGCTGACGGATAGACTCAAATGGTCTTTGGGATCGCATCACCTCTTCAACAGCGCCTTGATCCTCGGCATCATTATTGTTCGCGACCCGCACTCCCGCCAATCGCAAGCCATTCTCGAGGACCTCGTGGCATATTGCGAAATGCAGAAGAATGATATATGGCTGAATGAGTTCGCATTGGCTGAAGTGAAGATTGTTGAACTCTGCATCAAAAAGGCTAAGCAACTTCGGAACAGTGCTACTGGAAATACTGCTGAAATCTTCTCCCGCCCAGCACCGGCGCCGCAAGATGCTTTGGGTATGGCGCCTGAGAATGTTGAGACGAGAATGACGCAAACAAATAGTCCCGTTGAGTTTCTACCCTCAAATCTCGGGATGCATGTGCCTCCTGGGGCAGGCATGGGTCCGGTGTCGTGGGAGGATCCATCGCTCTTCTTTCCCGAGACGGGGGATTTACTTCAGTGGGAACACGTGTTGAACTCCATCATGAACGATCAGATGGCAGAGTAGAAAGTCGTCTTACACTCAATAGATTCAATCTACTTATGGCCATTTATCCTTTTTACTGGAGACTCCTCATAGACCACCGTATTCACGAGGCTGCCTAGGCCGTGGCTCATGACAACCCTCAGATCATCCCCAGCTTTCAAAAATACGGGAGGACTACGGCTAACTCCAATGCCGTGTGGTGTGCCTGTCATTATAACAGTTCCTGGCTCGAGAGTCGTCCCCTGTGAGAGGTAGGCAACAATCTCAGCTATGCTGAAGATCATGTCATCGGCCTGTCCTTCCTGCATCACGTTTCCGTTGAGGACCGTCTTTAGTCGAATGACGCTTGGGTCGGGTATTGACTTTGTAGAGACAATACAAGGGCCCAGAGGTGCGAATCCGTCAAATCCCTTTCCAAATCCCCATTGAGCGCCGTGAAATTGATGTTTACGGGCTGTGACATCGTTTGAGCAAGCGTACCCTAATACGTAATCAAGAGCATCCGCCACAGAGACATTCCTCGCGGTCTTTCCGATAATGACAGCAAGCTCTGCCTCATAATCTGCCTGGTCATCAACGGCTTGATAGGGTACCGTCAGGGGTGCATTAGGGGAGTTGAGACAAGAAGCCGGTTTGAAGAACAGCGTTGGATGCTCTGGTAACTCCAAATTCATCTCCTTGGCGTGCTTCCGGTAGTTGAGGCCAATGCATCGTATTGTGCCGACCTCCTGACGTGTTAGTGGTGACAGGAGTGTATCTACGGTCAGAATCTCAGATGTTGGCTCTGCTGTAGTGTCGAGAGCAGATGTTGCTGTGGAGGTGCGAACTCGAACATCGCCACCAGAAGCTAATGACTCTCCGACTAGATTGTATGTTAAATGAGAGGCAATCATTAATCAGAAGTCTTATTTCATACCATCAATTAGAGAATCTTCCGGCTCACCAATGTATTCCTTCTTATCTTCTCGGGCAATGAAGCGCACTAGACGGTTCCATTTCTAGTTGGGTTAGTGATGATTCCAGCCAGTGTACGGACGAATCAGCTTACAGTTGCCACCATGTTGACGGTTATCTCGATATAACAATACTCGAAATGAGGCAGGAGATATTTTACGAGAGATATCGCGTCTTGTGCTGTCGGGAGTTCTCAAAATTGGCGTCTGAACATGGTCTGCAAGTTGTGTTCCTGCCCAGGTTGCGGTGATCGGCAAAGAGATCGGGAAAAACACAAACTATGGAGCCACATTGTTCCACCATTTCTACCCCCAGGATTTGGTATCATTTAGTGCAATGGATATGGGACCACCGTCCCAGGGACTTTTGATACTGACATCAATCAATTACCATTGTTCTCTTTGCCGCTTCGTTTCTATGACATGATGGTCTATGCCCACTGTTGCAGTCATTGCACGTAAGTGAAGATAATTCTTGTGCGGCTCCTCAATAACAGGATTGCTGTTGGCACGCTAGCGACGATTCCGGTATTGATTTTAATCTTGACGCTCTCGAAAGTTCGACGAAGGCGCCAAATTGATCATTTCTCTCAGGTTTGCTTTGCTTTATCCACACATAACAGCAGTCGATATCATAAAACCCGGGGCTGTACTCTTCCCAGCTTCGGTGGCTGTAAATTTCTTTTTCAAATTTCTAGCCTAGTAAACAGCAACTATGAACGTCTATGGAGACAAAACTAGCATAAGTCGACGGCTGCCCTGCTAAGCAGTCTCTGTCCTCGCCCTTTCCTCTATTGTGAGCTGACTCTCAGCCTTTCCAATACCAACGAAAACAAATATCAGAGAAGCTATTCCAGCACAAGCTGCTCCAAACCAAAATGCGGCCGTATAAATGTCATTGTTAGTGCTTGATCCAACCTCCGACACGATCAGATCAGCAATGCCTAGGAAGAAGCTGATACCAAGAAAGACCAAGCTATTGATAAGCGCACCGGCTACTCCTTGATGATGTTGAGGAATGTTGGTCGTGATAAAAACGCTCGAGACGTTATATGTGATATCTACTCCAATTGTCGCGCCAATCATGGCAGGGAAGATAAATGCCCAGTAGCTGGCTCCATCTGGCATTACTGCGAAAAGAAGCATGCTGGCAAGGCTCCCAAGCCCCGAGATGATCAATAGAATTCTTCCAGGAAGCAAATGGAGGGTGAATCCACCAATGGTCGATAAGATGATACCTCCACCGGCCATAGGAGCAAAAGCTACAGCAGCAAGCAAAGCGGAATCTTCCATAACCTCAGTGACACTGTGAAGGAACATATCAGCTGCAGTCGATTTCTTGACTGGGGCTTGACAAGATTCTGCTTACCGAAAGCTAGCATAGAAGAGATAAATACCAAAAGCACCATATACGAGAAACAACGAGACTACCAAAGTCTTCATGTGCTTGGCTCGGAATAGCGCAAATGGAAGTAACGGTTGTGGCGAGACCCAGCCCTCGACGTAGGTTGCTAGCGCGAGGAAGATCAAGCCTAGCAAAAAACAAACAATGACATATGGTGTTTTCCAGCCATGAGGTGCATGTGCGCCATCCGTGATTGCGTAGATGATCAGTATTAGTGCCGGGACAATTGTGAGAAGACCCCAGTAGTCCATCACAACATCACGCTTCTGCGATCGTGATGAATTTTTAGGAATGGCAATCAAAGATGTCACGCAGACAGCGAAGATGACAATTGAACCAAGCCAAAAGTACCAGCGCCATGAAAGCAATTCCGCAGTGACTCCTCCCATGATGATGCCAAAGAAGAAGCCTAGGGGTGCGAACGCTCCATATAGGCCAAAGACGAGGTTCTTTCGCGGTCCTGGTCGATAAGTCTGGCCTAGGAGCATGATTCCGGTAGGGAGGAATGCCCCAGGCCCGAATCCTTGCAGTGCCCTGACTGCAATCAACATCTTATAGTCTTTGCTAAATCCGGCGATGATGCTCCAAACGAGAAACCATACCAATCCCGACATGAAGACCTTTGAGCCGCCGTAGATATCGGCCACGCGACCTAATGGAAGGAGAAAAGCCCCAGTTACAAGTGAGAACACACTCGCTGGCCAGGTTTGTGACTGTAGTGGCAGTTCTAATTCATCTGCCAGGACGGGTAGAACAATGTTGAAACCGCTGATGAAATATTCCTAGTGGTAACATGAAGTATCAGTATTGTCACATGTCCAGTGGTTGGGTTGGACTTACAGCCATGAGCATTGAAACAAGTAATGAGGAGCAGAATAGTATCTCGGAAATTGCAGATGGAAAGATAGCAGGGCGTTGCCTTCCGAGCCTTTCCAGATCTACTATTTCGATATCGGGCGCATCTTGAGTTGTAGCACACTCAATATCGGTGTCTTCGCTCATCTTGCCTCTACAACACCGAGATGAAAAAGAGGGTATTCATGTGTCTCTGATGACCGTCGAAATAATCGGATCTCTTGGGCCATGGATATGGAAAACAAACAAGTAAGCTGTAGCATTGCTCCTGCTGTCAAATTGGGGTCAGACATGGTCAAATGATATAAATGCAAAAAATAATTGACTTCTACAATTATTCAGCAAACTGGACATTCTTATTATGTGATATCTTGCTCGAAAAGCCAAAGCTATGCTGCAGGTGTTGCATCTTGATCACCTGTTTCGGACTAGAGTCCCGGGTGGACCAGTCTTACGGGTACGGGTGGTTGACGTTTCCCGCCATATGCAAGACGTGATGCTACATCTCCGTGCTAGCAGATTTTACTAAGCAGCGCTGGGGTTGGTGGTGCGCACTGAATCATGCAAAGCTTGTGTCTTGGCTCCCTCTTACGGTTTAGATTAAGCCCGCGTCTCACTAACATGATTGTAGAGATCCTGGAAGAGTCAGACCCCATCCGCCATAATAACAACTCGGGACTACTGCCGCTACAATCTTCAAGGTCGTTTCTCTCCAGGATTCAAGCAAGATCCACGGCTCTGAGACTTACAAGGATGCCGCCGAAAGCCTTGCTATCGAACGATCTTGTTCTCCGCAACCAAACTGACAGCTTTGAGAAGAGTGGAAACCCTATCCAACCCCGGCAAGATTCATGACGTATATCATCTCGACGCCAACACAGCCAAACGCCACCTGGGACAAACCAGGAACGAAATCCTGCCATAATTGCCGCCGAAGACGGCTCCGTTGTGATCGGTCGTATCCTGCATGTCGGAAATGCACCAACCACGGAGAGCAATGCCTCGGTTATGGTAAACTCTTTCGTTGGACCAACGCGGTAGCGAGCCGTGGGAAGCTGGCAGGACAGACCCTCGGCGACAATCATCACCGAGAAAGTGCAATCAGCATTCGGACGTCGTCACCCGACTCTGCACCTGTGAATTTCCTGAAGAACTTCTACGGCACTGAAGCTACTTCGATACCCTTTCCTCCAATCGACCCCATCTTACAAGATCTGGGCTTTCGAGGACAGTATTATGTAGACCACTGTAAGATGGCGCCGCCTTACATATTCCCGTGATCCCCTGACTTCGATCTACTAACCCTCCTTATGTAGTTGCGAAGTCAGTATGCAAAGATCTTGTGTCTTTTGACCAGCAGCTCTGTAACCCGTTTCGCTACATGCTTCCTCTCCTTGGCGCATTCGATTATTTGAGAGAGATTGTCATCGCTACTTCGGCCGTACATATTGCTACACTTCGGCGCTGTCATGGCAACTCGTCTTCAACAGAACTTGTTGATGCTCTTGTGGCGAAACAGCGAGCATTTCGCCTCCTCCGGGAGGCTCTCGCCAATATAGATCCTTCCAGCCGCCCTGTTATATTGATCGCAGTAGTGTTCTTCATCAATTTCGACCTAATTGATTCGGGACGAGGAGGTTGGAAGACGCATATCAAAGCAGCGGGTAGGCTGATCTGCTCACTGCAGGAAGTGGACAAAGCGGCCGCCTCAGCCATTGCTCCACTGAGCGACATGGTGGTAGCTGATTGTATCACCTACCACATCCTAGGTTCGACATTGACTGCTCCTGAGGATAGTCACCAGTCGATATTTGATTCCATAGATATGATGTCAGTACTTCAAAGGGCCGAAACATTCAGCTATCAGTGTTGCCCGCCCCCCGTCCTGCAGGTGCTCTTGTCAGCGAGTAGACTCCGACCGGATCGCAGCCCAATAGGGAAGGAAGTGGCAGCATCGATGATAAGTGAAGTCCGATCGGTCGATATTCAAACCTGGGTCCACAGCATTCGGAACCTGTCTCCTGAGGATGACTTGGACACTCGGATGAGAATGGCATCGGCACATCAGGCGGCAACATGTTTGTACATTCTGTTGGCGCTTTCGGCTACGACAGAGGCTCAGAGTTACTCGCCAAGCACCGAAGCTCTCGTATGCGAGATCTTAGAACATTTAACATTGGTACCTATTGATCATGCTTTGACAAAGGGTACTGTCTGGCCGACCTTTATGGCAGCAGCCCAGACTCAGGATCGAGGAAAGAGACAATGGTGTCTACAGCGGTTGCAGGCTTTGTGGCAGTCAACTCCCTGGGTCTGTCCATGGGGGTATGTGGAGACTGCAATGGACATGTTGCACAGTATATGGGATAGCCATGATCTAAGAGAGGTTGGGAGCGATGAAAGACCGAACTGGCTGCTACGTTTGAGAGGACTTCGAGAAGAGAATTGCCTGATTGTATAGTAGTGCTTGCAGTTGCTTGAGACGCTGGAGTATACTTGATACTACACTTATAGTCGAGCCAGTGTGCAACTTTCGGCTTGATTCAAGCATCATTCTTGCAATGATAGGTTGTCATATTGATCGAGTCTGTTTTACCATATCATAGATGACGGGTTTGGCGAGCTTGGCTCACTCTGTCACGTCAAGTTCTGCATAGTTGCGATAAATGCCCATACCAAACTTTTGTCGTCTGTCGCTTGCGAGATAGGCTTTGATCTTGGGCCGCTCCTTGACAGCTTCATAGAGTTTGAAAACGCCATCATACTTGCCAGAATCCTGCATCTTCTTCATGGCCTTCGGGAACTGCCATTTGGTACCATCCAAGCACTAGTGAATGACTTGTCAGCACAAGGAACCGCCTGCTTGCCTGTGTCGCTGCCACACAATGATATCGATGATAGAGGGACGACGCGAAACACTTACGTGGAAAAGCACCAAGTCGGCATACGTCAATTGGCCATGGTACAGCCACGGCCCGTCACCGCTGGCCTTGCTCTTGAGCACACGCTCAAAGTAGCCTAGGAACTTGGGAAGGCGGTTGGCAACCCAGTCCTTGCTTCTTCGGAGACTTTCCTCTTTTTGGTCCTCGTAGTACAAGTTAGTAGCGATGGGATGATGACAGTCGTGCACCTCGTTGCTTAGGCCATCGAGGGCAGTAAGGGCCAGAGCATTGACACGATAGATCCCATCCACATCTTCCTCGGGGCTGGGGATCAGACCGAGCCTGGGGCCGAGGTATAGCAAGATGTTAGGGGTCTGGCTGATGAGCAGGTCGCCGTGCTTGAGCATGGGTGGGGCACATAACGGCACGTTGATGTCGTCGTCGCCGGTGTTTTCGGGATCGATCAGGGCCAATACCTCCTTGACGCCGCCCTCGATGTGGGCGGTGTCGGTGTACTCTGCGCCGGCCTCCTCGAGGGCGAGGCGGATGTGCTCACCACGGCCAGGAAGACCTGACCAGTAGATGAGGTGGTATGGCTCGTCTTTGGACGACTTTTGGCGCTTGGCGGCAGGGCTGGATGTGGACATTCTGGCGATGCCGAGCTAAAGTGAGCAGGCAAATGATGGTGGCTTGAGTGTGGGAAGATACTTGACTTTTGGTGGCGGTGGAGGAGGAGGAGGAGGAGGAGGAGGAAGTGCTGGTGGTCAAAAGTATGTAGGTAAGGTACCGCAATTCAGTTCGGTGTACCTTGCCTTAGCTCCGTGGAGAATGAGTGAGTCCCTGTGTCTTCACAGATGAAGGATGTGAAGTAAGTTACAAATATTGCGAATCCTCAGCCGAATCTGTTCCGAACGTGCCTATCATTGATAATGCAATAGATCTATTTATATTGCACGGTCCAACACTGTCAAAAAACCAGAGCAAATTCCCCGGCAATTCGTCTCCTCTTCAACTGTCTGAGGTATTCTTACATCACATTGACCCCGCGATCCTTTGGTGGAGATCGACTTGGTATGAACACTGCCCGCCCTGGCCCGAGCCCTCCAACCGAACACGCCAGTCTGACATTAACCATCTGTCCTACCCCTGATTCGCAAGTTGCCATACATAAACGATATGATACCCGCCATGTATATGTATCACTAAGCTTACAAGCTACAGCTATCTTGCCTTCACATACTATATTGTGATACGGTACATACCTTAAAGCAGTCTTAACCAGCGCGACCTGCTCGGCACAATCTTTCATTATGGCCACCATCTCTATCACACCTGCCACACCACTTCAATGGCTGGGTCTGAGAGGGCATCTGACCAAGTAAAGAATGTCATCCATAGAAAAGGCTATATCATGGCATATGCTATAATCCCCACTGGCTCAAAATGTCAATGCATGTTTTGCAGCCAACGAAGAACAGCCCGACCCCAAAGAATGTCCATTCAAACACCATGACACCTGCGGCTCTCCTTGTTCGCCGTATCGAATCAGTTATCCATCGACCACGACCAGAACGCCTCGCAAGTAGCAATATCTCAATAAACCACACAATGTGCATGCTCGCCCGTATCTAAGTTCAAATTGTCAAAACAACAGCTATCGACATTTGAATTTATGACATCTCATTCTTAGGCGACAGTATCTCGGATGATCTGGTAGCATTCTGCTGGATCATCAAAAACATGCCACACGGATCGTGGAACATCCTTGAATGCCTTCTCGAACCGTTCTGGCTCATTCTTGGATTCGATTCCAATTGCTGCGATGTCCGTTACCTTGCGAATCAGAATAATCTTAATCCAGTCTGGGAAAGCTCGGTATCTGGAGACCATCGGTCAGTCATTTGAGCAATCAACGGTGGCGGAGAGGGGGGAGGCGGACCAGGGGGTCAAGGGAAGTGGGCAATCTGGGGGCGGGGGTCTATGCTCCCTTATCAAACAACTTACATATCACCGTACGCCTCAGGATCGCTCTGCGTGCTGTCCCCAATGGCAATCATCTTTCTCCTCGGTAACCAGCTGTGGATCTTCTTCATCCTCTCCGCCTTGTAGTTTTCGGTCCCCAGTGTGAGATTGGACAGTAGGCCCGGGATGCTCATCCAGCTCTCATCGCGAAGCACGAGCGTGCCGTGGGGGTAGTACTGTTCGCGAAACTTGCGCAGGAATGGGTACAGGTTGTATGGTGATGCGGAGAGGTAGAAGAACGGCGCCGTGGCTGTGAGCTCCGACTGCAGGAACTTGTACAGTTCGGGCATACCAGGGGTGGGAGTGGGCTCGTCGATAAATGTGCTTCGCAGGATACCGATGGGGTCACTGGTCTGAGTGATCTTAATCGTGTCGTCGATGTCTGCTCAGATTGAAGGGGGGCTCATTGTTAGCTCTGCTGCACCAACACGAACATGGGTTTGTTCATGATAGAACGGCAACCAGCCCTTACCTGAAATGACGCCCCATCCCTCGGGCTCGGCGAAGAAGGTTTTCATGTGAAGCATCCCAGTCGCTCCATGCGGGACTTCGGCGGTGGAAGGCACGAGCATGCCGGCGGGGGCTGAAGGCAGAAAGCGAATGTCGCTGCTGATGCCGTTTCTCCCACCGGGTCCCAGAGTCAATTGTGTCTCTCCGCCGTGCAGGGCCAGCACCTGTTTGCCAGGCTGGATGTCCATGAGGAAGGGCATGATGCGGCTCTCGATGATCTGCTTTGCCTTTTCGTCGTCGGCGAGGCCGATTGTGTTTGCAACTTGCAGCACGGCGTCGGCAACCTTGCAGCTGGCATGTTGAGTGAAGACGCAGGCGATGAACTCGGCCTCCCAGCGGCCGGGCTGTGTGGGGGACACGAAAGCGGTGTTGTCGAGCAGCCAGACCTCTTCATCCTTGCGCACAGCTTGGGGGAGGGGGTTCTTAGTGCCCAGATAGGAGAGGATGTTGGAGACGGTGTCGCTGACGGGGACAGACATGACCTTCCTGGCGTACTCGGGGCTGAGCATCCGGAGGGGCGAGTGCGGCGTCAGCTTGGGCAGACCGGCCTCTGCCTCGGCGAACCTTCTGGCCTTGCGAGTCTTCTGCTGCATGTCGGCGATGTAGGAGAGTGTGGAGGTCGACGACGGAGAGGACGAGGGGGAGGAGGATGGCGGAGCTCCTGATGCGCTCATGATGGGCGACGTCGTGCGGGTTATACTACGGACAGGGGCCGGTGTTCGAGCTTGGATCGGAGTGAAGAGTGATAGTCTTGGATTGTGCTGTGGATCAGCTGGCCGATGAGCAGCTTCGACGACTACAGCAGAGAGAAGACACGAGATGAGGCGGACTCGGGTCAGGTGTGTCGTCAATGTTGGAAGTTGGGGTGGAACAGGTGAAGAGCTGTAGTAAGTAGGCTATGGAACAACACGGTCAGCCAGAGTCGTGGGCAGGAGTGTAGAGCATAGTCGAATGTCTCAACAGGGAGCAGTACCTTCAGGGTATTCTATGTGAAGTAGTAGGGGGGAGGTAATGATACAACAAGGTGTGTAGGTTGGTAGTTAGCTGGCCTCGTGATGCTCGAGAGTGCCATATTGGCGGCGGCGGCATACTTATGCCTGTCAGGTGGGATACCATGGTAGAGCGCCATAGGCAGTAATTGCACTGCACTGCATTGCACTGCAGCAGCAAGAGTCCAGTAGGGAGTCTTGGGTTCCATTGGGCCAAGAAGAGACAACGTCAAGTCAAGTCAAGTCAAGTCAGCTCAAACGAGAAGACAGCCAGCAAGCCAGCCAGCCAGCCAGCCAGCGCCCTCGTGAGAGATCGACGGAGCGATTTGCTTTGCAGGATGCAGTGTCTAAGTTAAGGCTGAGAGATCCATGCCCTACGAGGTAAGGTACAGCGCAGACAGGGGCCACTTACAGCATTCATTCGAGGCTGTTAGTGGGCGGAGTGGCCAGCCCGGGATTCGGGAGCTGCGGGGTGGTGGCGGAGCAGCGGCCATACCCATACCAAGACTCAGGTACATGTACTGCATTAGGGCAGTATTCTATGTAGAGTAGGTACAGTATTGTACCTCAGACTTCTTGGTTATTACAACACCATGCTCAGAGTAGAGAGAAGACAAAGACACAGTAAAAGATCAAGAAGAACAATAGAGGAGCCGAACTCCCGATCTGACCTGGTGGTCAATCCTAGGCTATCCTTCTTCTTAAGGTAACCTCTACTATACAGCACATATCTCCCTGAATAGTTGGGGGACAGTACTCTTTCAGAGCAGAGAGAGTAGGTATGTAGTTTTAGGTAAAAGATTTAGTCTTCGGAAGGAGTAGAATCATCAAAGAATCCATCCATAGGTGTCTCCCGCCAGGCGGCCCGCCATAACAAGGCCCGTTCCTCACATCAGCACCCGCGGCCCTACCACATTAACCATTGAAGTCGAGCACGTTCTTACCTAAGAGTTTACTGCCAGCTACCTTAGCACTGTTCTTTAGCTAACCGATATCACACCAAGGGCGGCCGCTACATCTCCAAGAGTATGAATGTGGTTATTCGATCCTCTAATCATAGTTCATGCATTCGAAATGACCTGTCGGGGAACTGATGGTAAAGACAGCCATCTATTTTCTCCTCGAGACATCATCTCCGAGGTCAGATCATAATCACCCATGGGCAAGACGACAAAAGTTACCGACAGTCAGGTTTGGCTATTACAAGATACCTACGGTAATGGGAGATACTGTACTGTACATCCAGTAAGCTGAGGTACCTTGCCTCGAAAAGTTGGTGGTCAGCTGCAGCGTGACATTCGGATGCCCCCCATGATCTTGTCATACCTGCCCCCCAGCCGATCACACAGCCAGTCCTACCCCGTCCTGCCCACCCATCCTTTCATTAAAATGCACAACAATATGTTTAAGCAAACCCATCCTCGTGCATACGCGCCAAAGTCCTTGTGGTCTCATATGGAATCAAAATCAGCTGGGTATGTCTCTGTGGGCTGGGAATGATGCAAGTCGCCGTAGGGGGATTTAATGACTGGTAGGTAAGCTTAAATTATTCCCTGTAAATCTCTGTTCACAAGCGAAGACGATCGGCCATAGACCCTAAGCTATAATAGGGGTCATCGAAATGTCAGGACGGCGCCGAGTGTCAGCATTCATCTCATCTCGCTCAATCACCAATCAATTGCAATATCATGGACAATACAAGCAGGCACCCTTAGCAGCGTTTGCCAAGTCTAATTCACTGCCGACTCTGACGAATCGCTGATGGTGATTTCTAGCACGGACTCGAGACAAAATAGCTGTTAGGCTCTAAGACGGCTTTCCAACAGCCGCGCTTGCTTTAGACTTAAGATGTTTCAAGGCCAAAAGGTGAACACCAATACACTCAGGTATCTCTCAGCGAAGGCACAGTGCAGGACTCGAGTCATCAATAAACTCGGAGGTGACATATTGTTGTATATCACTAATGGCTTTGATGAGAAGTATTGGCTCCTCTTTCTAGAGCTGGGCCTATAATGTTTAAGAGAGTTGTCCATAACAGTAGCTTGAATTTGGCAATGGTATCCATTTAGTAAATGCTATCGGCGTATTCAAGACTCACGCGAGACCTTCAGGGACTCTCTCCCATTGTTTCACTTGTTCATGCCACTAGTCAGTCCAGACATTCCTTAAATGCACTCGTTGAAGGGTAAAACTCACGATATCGATCCATCTAGCCATCCACTTTTCTACAACTGCTTTCGCTTCATCCACGAGACCAAGTTCTGCCAATCGTTCATCAGTGGGTTGTCATCCTCCAGATCAAATCGTGTTTTCAGAGTCAGGACTCACCCAGCAGTAACTGCACACTCCCTCGGATCCCGGATTCGAGAGCAGACGCAATCCAGGCATGAGTATATGAGGTATGTTCACCCACAAAGATCATCTATCTCAATGGTCAAAACCTTCATGTTAGACGGCATCAGAAGCAAGCACTCACATTGTTGTGCGTCTTGAAGTACTCTGGGAGGTAGAGCTGGTGCTGCCCAATCTCGGGACTGGCCCAGCTGGCGCTCTCGTAGGGGTCCAGCATCCAGCATCGGCGATCGTACTTGCCAGTGTACTGCTCTCTGGCAACGTCGCCGTGGATTTCAATCATCGCGTCCAGGACGTATTGAACGTGCTCGGCTTCAGGGACTGAAACCCATCGAGCACCCCACTCGCTTCCAGAGATGTATGATCCAAGCATGGTAGCCGGTCCCGTGCCGTTGATGTTGTAGCTAGGATAGCAGATAGATCCAATCCCCGGAATGTCTGTGTTAGTAGAGCACGATCCGTAGATTGGGTTCTCATAGTGTTCCCAGAAACGTGTCTTGAACTCGAGCGCCACCTTACAGGCTGCTGTGTAAGGCACATTGTTGATGGCATTGCTAATCGTAGTGGGTAGACCTGTCCATGTATATTAGCCCTCTACTCGCTTTCTCATAACAAATGGCAGCATACTAGAAAACCTCCATTTCTTGACAATAGAGAATGGCACTGCAATGATGGCATAATCGTACGAGGAGTTTTGGAAGACGGTATCAGTATAATTGTCTCGCCACTGCAGATTGACCTTCTGGCAACCCGGCTTAAACTGAACTCTCTCAATTTTTCGGTTCAAGGTCGTGTAGTTATCCACTAGAGGATGGAACGAAAGTGGGAGACGGTTCAACCCTAATGACTGTTGAGCCTAATTGAATAGTGAAGATCACAAGTCAGAAGCTTACCGCCATCAATAGTTCGCCATGTAGCAGCGCTGAAGTACATGCCTTCATACAAGGAATCCCAGAATGACGACGAATAGTCGCCCCCAGACACAATGTCCGTATCATTCAGATTCGCTTTAAGATAGTTGACCATATAAGCAAATTCAGACCATTGGTCTCCAGGGAGGCCGTCCAAGCCACTGTCTAGTCCTTTGTGAGCAAATTTGACCCATGGAAATTGCCTCGACTCCAATACTAACCTAGGAATTGTCGGTGTGCCTCAAACATGTTCTCTGCCATTTTCACGAAAAAGTCATCACTTCCGAGAACAGAATCAATCTTATCGCTTAATTCTTGTGTAGATGGGTCCAGAACACTCGTCACTCGCAAAGAAGAGTTCTTTGCAATTTGGGACAGTGTAGGTGGTAGCCCAGATGATAGGCGGATTCCGTTGTGATAATACAGGCCATTTGAGTTAGACTGATACCAAGGGATGAAGCCGACACTGAGGTTTTTGTCGTGGTTGTTGAGTTTGTTCATCTCCGCAGCCAGCTGAAACACGAGCTGATGGTCGGTGATGTTGTATGTCACGTTCGATGACGATTTGTATGTGTACGGGAATCGCATCGGTCCCATCTCCTAATTAGAAGTCAAAAATGTGGATGACTAATTCGAGGACTATGCTGACGAACCTGATATGAATAGTCAAATGGCCCTCCACTCAGATAGACTGTGTGTACCCGTCCACCAAGCCTTTGTCCAGCTTCGATGAGCTCAACGTTTGTCATGCCAGCTTGTGTCAAAGCCAGGAAAGTCATTAGTCCAGACATTCCCGCGCCGACTATGCCGATGTGCTTGCTCTTCGCATTCCTCACATCCACTGTGCTCAGGTTCTTGCTTTCGAGAAGCTCAACGCCATCAAACCACGGACCCCAGGCATCAATTCCCGTCGCATTCGTCATGGCTATGCTATTAGTGCCGCGTCTTGCAAGTTTGGAGGCAAAGCTTCGCTTGCGGCTATGGGAGTTGAAAACCTGCGGCTCGCTTCTCCCTACCAAACTGCCTCCAGCCCAGGCAGAGATGCACCCGCCGGACGAGGTATCGGATGGCATGACCCACACGAGCCTGTCGACTCCTGGCTTGCTACGCGCAATGACATGGTGCGCGTTGTGCTCCGTGGTCTCTGAACAGGAGCCATAGGTAAAGCTGATCAGCCCCTGAACTGCATCTGCAAACCCTACGTGAATATTGGCAATTCGAGAGTCAAGCTTCACACGCGTCTCGAGTCTGACAGGCAGAGATGGAAGAGATAAGGCAGAATGGGCCAAGAGCAAGGTCAAAAGAGCGGGCTTCATTATTAATAAAGAAAACCGCCTTCAAGCTTTACCTAGCAGGAAGACTACCCTTGAAATGAAGTTTTCACGTAGTGCCGCTGTGACACTCCTCCGAAAGTAAGCCTCAACTTCTGAACTGTCTGCTCTATTTATGAGTAGGTATCCTGCGGAGCTCAAGAAAGCGGAGAGGCTGTGTTACGCGTTCCTATCCAGAGATTTCGCTCGGCATCACTCTCCGAACCGGCACGCCCTGCCTGATTGAGCGGTGACACAGCATGTCAACAGCCGATCAACTCAAGCATTGTATTGTGATTTTGCTAAGCTGAAGGCCAGGCACAGATAGTAGCCTAGCTGCGCGTGTAAGTCACTATCGGTAACTACCGAATATTGATGCTGGTTACCCATTGTGGAAGGTGTGGAAGCAAAGATAACAGAAACCAGTGTGGGCCAAAACGAGGGACTTTCAGCTAGGCCGAATGCTGGGTTGTTAGACTCGGGGCGTATGCAATGAGAGTAGGATTCTGTAAGGTGGTGGATTCTGACTGCGGATACATCGGATTGTGGTCGCACAGAGAAGCCGGCTCTCGGCCGTGGAGTAGGTCGAGGGTGCTGTATCCGGCCGGCTCCTCACATATATAGACTTATTACAACATTAATCTACAGGCGTAGGGAAAGCTGTAACAGCTCCCCACATTGTCTAGATAAGCGTCGGATGGAGTACAATTTCGCGGCTCCAAATTCCCAAGAAGCAACTTCTCTTGCACATCTCGAAGTTTCAGTAATCAAAGTGTGCAAGAAGGTCGTTTTCCATAGAATTTGCGGGTTGTTACATAAAAGGAGAGAGAGTACCCAGCAATCATTTCGAGTTTCACAGTTCCTTGAAAGATCACCGCCACCACGGCCCGCTGAGGTTAGGGCTGCGGGGTGCAACGAAGAGAGAGGGCGAGCTAAAGGCCAGCGGATCTGGCCGTTGGACCCAGTGCCAAGCATCTTATCTGATAGAAACCTGACCGTTTGACTTTATTCAAGTTCATTATAAATTTTTGTTAATGCAGCCAGAAACTGGGACTGCTCTCTGATCAAGACGTAATGGTTTGAGAGCAGGTTTGTACTGATGTGACTTAGGGGCGCGCCTACATGCACCGATGACTTGGGTAGGATTCGTCAAAGCTTATCTTGCCTACACAGTAGATGATTAATCTTTGACGCCTTTCACTTGACAGTCTTGATTTGTTTGTGGTGTGTGGCCCGGTCTTTTGCGACGTTGGCTTGAGGGCTTTATCAGTGACTGTATAATTCCCTCACAATTACTGCAGGGTCAATCTTCGAAGACACATGGAAACCCCTAAGTCGCGGAACTATCATTCTTGTTGGTATAGCCGTGACGTTACAGGTCGAGCAGCCTGCTTTTGGAGCACGGAAATGGGGTTACATGGTGTATCGAAACTAACATAGTCAGGATGTCTTCTGGGCCAACTTAGCAAAATGAAAGAGAACTCACGTATGGGTTTTGAAAGTCCGTGTAATCCTGTTCTCCCATCTCTTTGCCTTTCTTAACTCTCTCCTCCTCTGTCATACCCTGCTCCTGCATCATCCTGTCTCTGCGCTTATTTCTCAAGACCAGGGTGAACCTCCAAATGACTATAAGGCAAAACTCGAGGCCGAAGCAAACGGCACAACCAATCGTACCAGGAATATATCGTGGCTACCAAGCTTCATTAGCGTTATTACAAAGTAGTACCTAAAGAAACGTACCGCATCCTTCGCTTGGAATATCTGGGATCCCGTCATGTTTCCAACACAGTACCCAACAAACGTGAAAGATGAAGTCAGTGTCCTTTTCGTCCGTCCCGCTGTGTTCGACGGAATGAGAGTCCAGGCGAGGAAGAGAGCAATCACAAAGGGAACGGTCATGAAATATCCGCCCCATTTGCTCCATTTATACTGTGGCTCATTTGGCAATAAAGCCATGAGGAGAAAGCCAACGAAAGGAGGAATGGTTGAACACATCATGAAGTACCTATATGAATGCGTGAGATACAGCCACCAACCAATTCTGGACATGAACAACGTACATGCGCAAATTCTTCCACTTGCTAGTGACAAGACCTATCAGAACAAAATACAGGACTGAGGTGACATTGCGCGGTATGTCAAGCAGAATGACTTGAAGGTTGGCTGGGTAAATGTTAGCTTTGGATGATAGAAGCTAAGGGTCATGCTTACTGAATCCGAATGAAGTATTGATAATGCTGGATTCGACCATTTTTTGTTAGATTGCTCTGACAACAGTTCGACAGTGAATATTGATCAAAATCATATAGCACTCACCTGCCAAAGGTAGTCAATCCACCATTAGGGACCGAAGCGAGAAACGCATTCAAACCAGCAAACCAGAACTGGAAGGTTCACACTCTTAGCCCTTGCACATGGCAGATGTCTAGTTGCTGGACTTACACACGGATCAACAAGGCATTCACGCGCTTGCTCCCACTTCCACCGCTTGATGCCGGTACGATCATGACCCGTGTTGTTCGACATGATTCTGGTGTTGGCCATATGTTTCTCCTCCGGGGATAACCACCGAACCTCTGAAGGAGTTCCCAGCAGCAGAAGACATAAGACCCCAACTATTATAGTTAGGGAACCGAGAAACTTTGGACTGTTAGCTAGAATATCTGGGGCCAAGGGCGCGTATCGCTGGGTAACACACGTAAGCCATATATCGCCAAGCCTCAAATTCTGGGCCCCTGTGATACTGTACAGACCCAATGCCATAGAGAATCAGGTTGGAGATTACTCCGAATCCAGCGTTGGCGCTCTGAAATACGAGTGACCTAGATGAGTGTTCACGAGTTGTATACCAGCTTCCAACCACCAAGATGAACCCAGGGCTAATGCAGCATTCGAATACGCCTTGCAGTGCTCGCAGAGTGATGAGATGCGTAAAGTTCTGAGCAAAGCCAATGCACAGCACGACAACGCCCCAACATAGCATGTAGAGTGAAAGGGTTCGGCCCATCATGTATCGCTGCAAAAGTATGTTTGACGGAAATTCAAAACACATATAAGTAATGTAGAAGATTGTCGTAAGCCATGAATATTGCTGGCCATGAAGACCAGTGTCTTGGCGCAATCCGAAAGTGGCCTGAGTACCAATAGATGTCTTGTCTGTTTGCTGGATGCCATAGCAAAGCCACATCAGTGGCAACAGGTAGCGGTCTACTTTTCTTTTCAACTTCTTGTACTCTTCATCAGTATATTCGTTCCCTATTTCTCTGTTAGGTTAACATCCTCGAAAGTTGTTGACAATCAAATATAGCCTGCACCAACCAGCGTATTGGACACTCCCTTCGGCAACGCTACCATCCTTTTCCATGCCGTTCTCTTCGTCGGTAGTATTCTTCTCCCCATGATTTTCAACTTTGAGGACATCGTTGATCTCAGCGGGAAGAGTTGCCACTTCTGAAACGGTCGCCATGGCGAAGAAATTCGATGAGACTACAGGCTGGGCAAGAGTGGCAAGTTTAATAGATCTAGATTTCTCGCGCAGAAGATGAGTTTTGTATTCGCAATGCCACTGCAATTATGCAAACCGGGCTTTTGGGTCTATCTATGGGGAATGCTTCCACCGTCGGCAGTTCGTCGACCTTCTTATAGGGGGTAAGGCCTTTGCCAAGCCCTTCTGATATCATTACACGTCTTATCCACAGAATGGGAGATAAGTGTCGGACTGCATTGCCTTACTGGGGACAATGCATGTACTTGTTCGGCAAACGAAAACGGCTTGTGGTTGCATGGTGCATGGATGTCTTATCATTGTCAACCTGATAGTGGGACCAGATTCGTCAGAGATTCCAGAGATATCTCGAAGGTGGGGTATTTCCAGGTTGACTGATAAGTCATAGATGCTCGGACTACGGGGCATGCTGAAGGACAGAGATCTTCTCGTAGTGCGTTTCCGACCTTATCATGTGATTTGGGCAGACGCTCCTAAGTCATCAAGATGGGATGAAGGCTCGACGACAACAGTGCAAGTGTGAACAGACCCGTCGGGTTTGATAGCCTTTTATCAAACACAAGTGCACATATATTTGATCGAAACATGCCGTAGCTTAGTCAATCGAGCAAATCTCAAAGCAAGATTTGTGTCGTAGTTTCATTGTGCACGAAGAAAATCGGTACCAACGGATATGGTCAGAAGGCATTTTCCTGCACATTCAGGATTCTTAAAGCGACATCTTTCAGATCCGCTCCTGTATCGCGACTATCAAACTCGCTGGTTCTCAGATTGTCTAAGCTTATTGACGTTACATGTTGGAATTCTGGTTGGAATATGATGAGTATTACGGTGAGGTTGCGGGCTACCATCGTTATGGCATCATCAACGCTTGTATATCACCACGTTATGACACAGTTGATGGCATAAACTGTCCTCTTGAATTGATTTACTCGGCATGACAGTGTTCGCCGGCTTTGATTAGAGGACACCGACTTGGAGTTTGCGGTCAAGACTATAGGCCTATATTTCTACAAGTGGATTATGCTATTTATATGGCTTCACCCGGAGAAAAGCAAGCACCTTGATACGTAGAAAACTGTACAGAGTGGTGCGGAGAATATTAGTGTATAGGTAAGTTCATGGCCAAACAACGGATGACAAGACATACGATAATCCAACACTCCACTAACTTCGATTTTTCATTTGAGGAGAGTTTACATCATGAGCGCTATGTCGCTGCACAGAAGAGGAACATTCAACACAGCTGGTCAGGTCTTGGTGAACCAAGTTTATACATCGAGTCTGCAACTTGTGTCATCGATTCTCGCAGTGCAAGAATATGAGGGTCACCATGGGCGAAGCTTGTCATAAACTCCGTTTTTAGCGACGAACACGACAGATTATATTAAGCCAGAGTCAACACTCGCATTAAAGAATACCAGAAGAGAGACAAGTTCAAGTTCCAACAAATGAGACGTCTTTAGTTGCATTTGTTGAAGTCGCACATCAAACGACCTTCGCCTCGAGTAGGTGGTCCTAAATCTCAATCTCCATGACTGGCTTAACCAGGACCCACTCTATCTATCAGTGCTGCGAGACAGAAAGCATCGAGGCTTCGGCGACACTTGAGAGCAAGTGAGGCTCTTGTGTGTTGCAGAAACAAGAAGCTGGCGGGGAGATGCGCCTACCGTATAGAGTGCATCCACTCATAAGAGGGACCTAGATGCACTGCCTCCACCAAGGCATTCCCAGAAACAACGCTGCCACCCGTGACTGGTCTTCATTTCTGAGAGCTAGTTTAGTGCAGTGTGCCCTGAGGCATCTTTGCTTACAATTAGATTGAATGGGTAAGATGGTTGACCGTTGGTGTTTTAGGTAACAAGCAGGCTGGCTCAAGCTTGGCGAATCTCGGCCCCCAGATGCATGCAAGGACTGATAATTCTCCCGAGAACCCTCAGCGTCGTCGTGCAGCTCAGACAAAAGCCTTTGACCTCTTAACAAAACAAAAACGTGTGTGAAGATCACAGTTTAGCGGAGAGGAACAGATTCGATTGTGGATTGGGGATGAATGGGACGAGAAGAGAGGCCGCAGAGAGGCATGTGATGCAGTCAGTGTCTTATAGAGAAGGGAGGGGAGGGGTAGGTAGGTAACAAATGATACTTCACCTTACCATTTTACTGATTTGCCTTGGTTGATTTTTAGACAGACATACACCCTCCCAGCTGATGGTAAACCCCACACTGATTCCCGCTCGATATCGACGGATATTTTACGTAGCATGTCTGTCTATATGACTGTCTGCCTTACTCTGAAGCCTTTTTAGCCTGGAATTCACCAGTCCAAGCGCAGGCACTCCAAGGAGTCGAGTCTGTTTAAGTTTCATTCGTTCATCCACTCACTCGTTTACTGTCCAGCCACGCCTGATTTCTAAACAGGGTCTACACTCAGTCAGTTAGTTGGTGACTTGGGTACTTATTACACCATCCACACAACCTCGCGCCAGTTTAGCTGCATGCAAGCAGCCTGCCATGATTGATAAAGCCCAGCTACGGGCGGCGTGTGCAGGTAAGGCGTGCCGACCTCCACCAGGCCAAGGTAGTTGTCATTGTACATAGATATCTATCTACGTCAAGGTACTTGCAGCTCCATCAGAGAGTGTACAACAATGCCGTGCCTCCCTACCTGACCTACCCGATGACCTAGGGGACTAGACTACTGGCCACATGCAGCGTTCCTCGTGGCCGCCTAGCAACCAGTCGACAGAGCCTCGTCTGTCTGCGGCGGGTAAGGTAAGGTTAGGTTAGGTTAGGTTAGGTAGTCGAGGTCGAGGTAGAATTGCTAGCAGATACTTCAGCATAAATGGCTACCTTGGTCCTACAGGAAGAGAGGTCATTAGCACCTTGATACCTAACATCATCATGTTCGTCTTACCTTGCTTTCCTTATTTTCGTGCCCCTCCTCCCACGCAGCTCACCTTTCTCCCCCTCCATTTGCTATCCTCGTGAGCTGCATCATCAGCTCATTCCACACACATCCAGATCCATCCATCAAATCTTCGCTGCTGTCATTACGGACTCGTTTACGATACCATCACTACTCAACGTAAGATGTCGCTGTGGAATGCATCGGCTGGGTTGGGCTTCGGTCGCTGATCCATCATAGACTTGCAGGCGCCGCGATACCAAACTTGAGGCTCACTCATCATCACTTGAGTGTCCCATATCAGCAGTCTTGGCAGCTTCTTGGATTTACAGGAACCCAGATCGTCTGTTCAATTCGCAGGGACTCTGAGCAAAATTCGACCTGTGCCAACGGGAGTCTGCCGGCCACCGTGTTCGAACAAAGCATTCCTATCATAATGAATGATTAGGGCTTCTCATCCTGACCCTGAAATGACTGGTGCGTGTATTCTCTGATTCGCCCAGCTGGATCCTTTACTGTCCTACTGCCATGATGCAATGTTGTCTTTCAATTTTGTCTGCTCTTGAACTTCAAGTTGCTGTACACTCCAAACAACCCCGATGGTTGATATGCACGCCTACCTTGTCTCGGAACGGAACGAAGACACTCAATCAGATCATTACTCAAGATGATTCGTTCGCTGTACTCGTGTCAGGGCTTCTGTTGTTCTATCAAAAGATCACTCGCTCCAGTTTCTCGTGGCTTGATCTGATCATCGTCCTATCTTGTTTGACGGTCTTTGAAGTTCAGGCATTGCACTCCTTTACTCACTCACTCTCAGGCACGAACTGCTGCCTACACAAAGCCAGCGACTCAACATAATATCCAGTAAAACGTTCTCCTACAGTATTTCGATCTGATAACTATTAGTCACCTTTGAAAACAAGAGGGAGGATTTATTTCTGTATATCCTCATATTTCATTCCCGTCGATTTCTGCCTGTTCTTCTTTTCCATTCTCAGAGCATTCACACCTGGTTCTGGTGGCCCAGTAGTATTTGTCTTGGTTTGAACCACAAACAGACATCATGTGGTGCTGAATCTCCACATTGCACGGATTGATTACAAGTAGAGTTTGTCTACTCATTGCACTTGGAGTAGGATAACCCAAGGCGCCGGTATTTTGGCCACCTCGTCTATACTTAGAAGAACCGTGGGAGAACCCAATCATCTCCATTCCTTATATTTTGCTCGCCCCCTATTCAAGTTGATTCTGGGTCAACTGCTTTTCCAACACAATTGTAAGTCGACTGCGTTTTCACCCCTTTCTTTCTTCATCTCGTGCCTCGTCAAGGGAGGTGGCTCCAGAAGGATTACACGGTCTTTGAAAACAAAAACAAAAATAAGCGGGGAGAGAGAGAGAGAGAGAGAGAGAGAGAGAGATCATAAAAAGGAGAGAAGGAAGGGAAAAGGCAGCTGAGGCACCACCCACACCCTCCCAAGATGTCTTAGCGCCAAATCTATCCGTGCCTGACTTACACCACCTCCTCCTCCTTCTCGTTTTCTCGCTTTGCAATGATCTAAACGTGTCATTGTCTTTTCGATGAGCTAACCAACGCGTCTGATTAGACTGCGTTGCCCGTGGATCATCTTCACTCTCGTCGTCACCGTATTCATCACCATCAATCAGGCTGGTTGTAAGTCATTACGCCGCTCTGACTGCCGGTGCTGTTGCCGCTGCCGATGATATGATGGGCGCCATCAAGACCAAATTAAACAAGGTTTCGAGCACCGCTTTCCAGAAAGTAACGGGCAAGTTAAAGAGGCAACAACTGCACGACTGCCGGAGCCTTCAATCGACAACCACAACGACAACGACACCTCAGGAACAACAACAAGAACAACAAGAACAAGATCAGTCACAATTCGAGAAGGCAGCAGCAGCAGAAGCAGCAGCCTCCGTCATGATGCTACATCCTCCGCCACCTGCGGGTTCGGCCGACCCTCGGATTCCTCCCGACTACAAACTCAACCAGTCCTTGGTGACAACGCAGTTCATCCCGACCGACCAGCCCTCACCTGGACAACTGATCCAGCCAGACCCTCTGCGCTCGGCGCCTGCCACTGCGGCATCTGCCTCCTCCTGGACCAGCCACGGATCTCAGTCTTCATCTCCGGGAAGCGCCATGTCGGTCGAATACACGCTCACCTCGACACCCATGGTGCAAAGCGGCGGCACAGACACCACTCCCATCGACCTGACAGCCTCGTCGCCATATTGCGGCAACAGCCCTACGAATCCCATCGATCTCACTGGCTCAAGTGCATCACCAACAACAGCAGGAGCAGCGATGTCCGCCATCAACGCAGCGTCTGCGGGGTGCAATGACGACTCACCCCTCCCCGCAACGTGGGACTACATGATCATCGATGACTTTGAGACCCCGTCCGACTTGGAGAATAAGATCTGCGACGAGGATGAGCTCATGGACCACCACATCCGCCAGGTCCAGTCCGACCAGATGCGCAAGGACGAGGCCATGGCCAGGGAGTTGCAGGCCCGCCTGGACAGAGACGCAAGAATCGGAAAGGAACCCTCCGCCTTCCACTCCACCCATAATCAGGGCAGCTTTGGGTTCGCCGGGGGACCTGCTGCCCTGTTTCTCGACGACCAGGACGAGAACGCAATTAGAGCTCACGGCCAGGCCGTTCTGGAGATTCGTTGCCCGAAATGCAAGGTACCCCTTGTGGAGGACTCGAAAGACATCATCACTCAGACTATTGCGCACGTCGACTCAGGCACCATGTGCTCCCATCTCACATGTTCTGCGTGCGAGACTTCGATCTGCTTAAGCTGCAACACCTCCGGCAGCCGTGCCACTTTATCGAACAGTGGCATGCTCCTGAGCACATCGCCGGAGGAGAGAGCTGCGGTTTCCACGTGCTGCGCTACTGCTCGTGTTAACATGGTCTGGTTGCTCTCATGCGGCATTCAAGTTCCGCTGTCTCAGCCCAGCCCTAGCAGGTCGAGAACCCTCCGAAACTCGATCAAGGGGAGGATCGGGGGCTCGAGCACCGAGAACAAGAAACCAGATCCTCCAAAGTCTGTCATGAACGCCATCACCTCGGCGACCACGTCCACTGGCAAGACGGCATACAGCAAGGGCGTCGGCTACGGCGGCGAGGATGTGTATCCCGCTGCTCACAATCACTTCAGAGGCTCATCAGCCAAGATAGCACAGATCCCTCCGAAGGGGGAGCAGCTCAGCCCCGAGGACCAAAAGCTGGCGGCCTATTTCCGAGCATTAGCCATTGTGCTGCCGTCTCTAGAAAGATCATCCCCCTTTGATATCCAACCCGATAGCCTGATCGCCCGATTTCTACGACGAAGCCCCCTCCTACCAAAGGCGGCTGAGCTCCTTCGCAACGACTCCATTGACGATATGCTTGCCAAGGAAGAGCTATATCGTGCGGTCCTATCGTTTGTACAGGCTCTGGCAGGGCATATAATCACTGCGAGACTAATGCACTCGAGCCTGATCATGTACGCCACTGAAGGACAGACATTTGGACTGTCCGTCAACTCCAACGGAAGCACAGGTAAGGGGAAGACAAAGGCAGCGGAGAAGACGAATTCACTGGCCTCGATAGTATCAAAGCTAGCAAACATCTGTCGACGGATCACACAGCGCGCGTCGGCCCACTTGGACGAGTTCATGGTAGATGATGGCCCCCGAATGATCTCCCTTTGCCACTCTATCGTCGACCTGGATAACTTCCTCACGGCAAACCGGTTCGAGGCTGACCATCTTGAGGTGACTGCATCGCGCGTCACCCGCCTGGCAGCCGCACAGTCGAGTGCTGAAATGGCAGAGAAGAAGGCACGCGAATATCGGGAATGGCATCAGCGAAACTGTCTTGCCGACGTGCTGGACGATGAGCTGTGGAAGAACTACTACTTTGCCTCTACAGCGGGACAGCTGGTCAGCTCGCAGAAAGGCAGGATGAAGCGGCTCATCACCGAGACCACGAACCTCGCAAGTTCGCTGCCAGAGGGGATCTTTGTCAGGCATGCCAGCTCCCGACTGGACACGATGAAGGTCATGATTATCGGGCCTGTGGGCACGCCTTACGAGAACGGTCTGTTTGAGTTTGACCTCTTCTGTCCCGACAGCTACCCATACGCACCGCCCTCCATGCAGTTCAAGACGACAGGAGGCGGCTTGGTTCGTTTTAATCCAAACCTCTACGAAGACGGCAAAGGTATGTGTCCATTTCCTGTGAAACTTTCGAATGTCGCCTCACCATGAATCTTGCACAGTCTGTCTCTCCCTGCTGGGCACATGGCAAGGGCCGGCATGGAATCCGTCAAACTCCACCATCCTGCAGGTCCTTGTGTCCATCCAAAGCATGGTCTTCTGTGACAAGCCATGGTACAACGAACCCGGACGAGAGCGCCAGCCAAGTGAAAGCGCAAGTGATAACTACAATCGTGGCATCCACGAGTGGACAGTACAGCACGCGATGCTGAAATGGCTCACCAGCACCTCTGGGTGCCTGCCACAAGCCGGTTCCACCACTTCGAGCAATAATGTCCCACCGCCCGGCAATGGTCAGTCGACAGCGACGGTGAACCGGTCTGACGAGTACATTTGGGGAGATGTGGTCCGGAAGCACTTCATGACAAATGCTAAAGCCATTGGCGAGACGGTTAAGAAATGGAAGGCAAAGGGCCTGAAGAATAGCAAAATCGGCTCCTTGGCGACCGAGCTGAACACTGCTATGATCACGAAGGGCTTTTTGCCGTGAGACGACCTAAACAGATAATCCGGATCAAATTGCAGCATATTTAACGGACAGGCATTGGTGCATCAACATGGCTTTATCAGTAGACCTTGGCAAAGTCAACAGGAGAGAACGGGCACGTGGATGCGATGAGGATGATATTGGCCAGATATTGCCATTGATATGAGGGTAGGTGGTGGCACTGCGATTGAAACCCCGTCCCCTTTGGAGCCATATTTATCGATGCCCGCGATATTCCCAGACTCCTTAGAAACCCGTAGCTTTCTGCCAGTCATCATGAAACATTTGCAATACTACCATCGTGAATCAGAAGGCAGTTCTCGCTATTTGACGCCGGCATTGGGCATCGATGCTGCTTGGCGCGATGTATATTCTTGGGTGATTTATCATCTGGCTACTCAGCCTACCCTGTTCCTATACGCTGAGGCAAATGCAATGTGAGGTATCGTTTTTGACCAGATCCAACAGGACCATCAAATCGGCATTTCCCGCCTTTGCAGGGTCGCCTTGATGTCTACATCCCCTGAAGTGGCCACTGGGGCCAACTCGACTTAAATTTGGTCTTGATAAGCCGCGACGTTTCCGCGGACTGTGTCTAGCCATATTTGCCAGTAACAGCCTCGTCGGCTCCATGGAGCCCCAATTCAAGACCAGGTCTTTTCTCCTTATTGCAGGGTGAGGAAAGAAGGAATGCCAGTAACTTTGCAGACCATGGAGAGTCTTCATAAAGGGCCACCAAACGGATCTTCAGCGCTGACCTTTCGTCTCTTAGCATCCCGGCCGTCACTGCTATCAAAGACGACGCCATCCTCTTCCTTGGACGTCTTCTTAGCACCATTCTCCTTGGTTGCTGCCGTCTCGCGTCGTGCCTTTTGTAGAGCCACCAAGTCCCATCGATCCGGATCCCGACACTTTTTAAGCTTCCTGAGAAGAGGCTTGATGATATTGTTTGACTCGGGCTGCACAATGATCATCAGTTAGTGACAAAGTTATGAACTCTAGTGTGATTCACAAACGGGGAGTGGCTCACCGTGCCCCAAAATTCTGTCATTCGCTCGGGTGGTTCTGTTGCCAGCATCTCTCTGCACGATTCGACAATGCCCATGACCTTGTTCCGCATGTCTGCGCCTCTTAATTGATTCTCTCTGTCCACGACGGAAGACCCTCTGGTCGATCCCGTTTGCGCTGGCGTGCTCGCGCCGCTGTCGGTGGTGGGGGGAGGCGGGTGGTGGAATGTTTCCTGTAGTAGACGTTCTACCAGGCCACGGTCTGCCAGGGATAGCGCGGCCAGCATGATCTGGCTTGGTGTGTAGTGGAAGTATGCATCGGTGACGAGTGGGCTAAACTTGAGAATCTCGCGCGCGCGAACATGTGCTGCGTTGACACGCTTCTCCTATAGCGGACAATCAGACATCAGAATCCATAGTCCATCCAGTAGTATTGTTGACAAAGTCGTGACCCGGAATGCTGTACAGGGTTGCAAAGACGAACCTCAACATCCTCTAGTTGCTTCAACTCCATGACAGCACCCTCTAATGCCCGGTAGGGGTGCCTGACATCAAATGCAAAGCGAATGCCCTGACACAGCAGAAATTCTGCAGCTAGTATCTCCTCTCCGGTCGTGTTCGGGAAACTCTCGGCCAACCTAGAGCAGTGACGACCAAAGGTTAGCATTTCCCCATCTTCCAAGCTGACAGTGCACCGGCGATTGTCTGCTCAGCAAGTAGCAGCGAGAGGACAAAGTCTACCCACTTCTTCAAGGATTTGTAGACGCCTTCAGCCTTCGATCCGAAGAACAGACAGGTCTTTAACAGCTCGGTTGGCGGGTATGTCATGATGCTATTGGTGACGTAGAACCGGCGCAGAAAGGCGGCGGCGGTGGCTCGTATGTCGGTGGGCAGCTGGATGAAGGCGGCAGCTCGCAGCAGCTCGACGGTATAGAAGGCAAGCAGCTGCGTTTCCTCGGCCGGGGTCAAGAACTCGGGTAAGGGGCTCGGTTGTGATCTCTCGGACGTCGTAGTGTTTTGGTCGGATGGCGCCATGGACGGAGGAATGGGCGTATTGGCACCAGAAGCACCTGCGGAAGAGGAAGAGGACGACGACGATGACAGACGCTCGGAGATGCTGGCCTTGGCGAGGGTGTTTGTCTTGGTGCGCAGATCGGCAAGTTGCGATGGCGAGAAGGACCACAGCCTGAACTGCGAGGTCTGTCGGTATCGTGCATCTTCGGTAGCCATTGCCCGTCTCGACGGCGAGGGTCCAGACGCGGAAGAAGAGGTTCGATGGAGGGGGGCGATCTAGTTAGGTGATCTTGAGGCGTGACGAGGACAAAGACTTGGGTGATGAGAATTCGACTATGAGACTCGTGAGAATGACGAGGAGCTATCGCCAACGCAACTCGGTTCCACGCTCAGCCAGCTCTTGAGATCGCGATCTTGAACGCTGGATGTCGCTTTGTTTTCTGGATTCGCGTGTCTTTGGACCGTCGCATAGGAGATAAACTCCTCCTTGCTCGTTCTTTCGTGTTTCCAACGAAGGGCAAGTTGATTTCGGTCTAGTATGGTAAGTCGAGGCAAGATGTCGCAGAGGACGGAACGGAATGTCGAAGCCAAGGCAAGCCACAATGGACGCTACCTACCTAGGTCATGGCAGCTGCTCTTAGCGTACAGGTCAGTTAAGGTGGGAATGGTGGGGCAATCAGCCTCAGCTTTCAATCAACCCCTCCACTTAATTGGCATGGATATCATCGACAACAAAACACTCTTTGGCCAAATTTGACGAGAGCATAGTGATATCTGAAGACGCAAAATATTCTATTGGTTTGATGAACATCGATAGAGAATATGCTAAAAATGGAGGCCAGATCAGCTCAACGAGAGAATTATGATGATATCGAGTGGGCTCGGATTGTCAGCCTCATCTTTTTATCTATATAAAGATCCGTATCAAGTTCTTCAAGCAGCTCGGAAAGGCAGGCTGTTTGATGTATGTGAGCTGGACAGACCCTACAGCTACCAATGAAAGTGTGATGATGATGTTGGTCCTCTTCGTTGGATATTTTCGAATGATGCGGTGCAATTCGTCCCATCAACGCTATCAATATCAACCTTCGCTTTCCTTCCCAGATTCAATATGCCTCCAATGTATCACTGACCATTCACAATATATACATGCGGCAATGAAGCCACCGGCAAAATTCTGGCATCTGCTTCTGTTGGAAGCAACCGCACGGCTATGGACAACCAAACGCTTTGTTTGACCAAGTAGAAGAAAGATCCTCCCTCTCCGCAACCCCCTTCTCCCCCATGCCCCATTGGCTTCAATCGAGCAATTGCGGTGTGAACGGCCCCTTTTACCAGGGCCTTCCTCGATAAGAATTCGAGACAAACCAACACTTGTAGCAGTGCATGTCTCGTCCCTAGTCGAATACATAAAGTCGATCGTTGTACAGATGCACCTCGCTAGTATCCGACTTCACGTCTCGCAGGAACCGGCGGAGGGGGTTTCTTCGAGCGGCTGGGCGGTGGAGGTGGAGGCGCTTTCCTGGTCCCACCTATCGTCAGGCTGCTCGTCGTCCTGCTCAGGCTGCCATAGCTCGTAGCCGGGCTCGCACTTCTCTCTGCCCAGTCCGGGCTGCCGCTACCACTTGCAGTGTCCTCCTCAGCGTGATCAGCAAAGACATCGTCGCGGGTCGTGTTGGACGTGGTTATACGGCTGATTGGCCTGAGCTGGCCACGGAGAGATCCCACGTTGGTCGGTACGGTGTTCTGGCTGTAATTAGGCGTGGAGGCTCCCGACGAGACACGCGAGGAGCCCGGTCCACCACCAGCTTGATAAGTATTGGCCCTACCAATAACCGGTCGAGCTGGCATCTCAGGGGGTGCACTTCCCTGTACGCTCATTCTCGACAATGAGCGGATCGGGGGGCGTGGGGCTTCAAACTCGGCGTCTTGGTCCTCGTAGATATTGTTGTTGTTACTACTCGTCCTCGACAGTGCAAGTCGCTCCGTGTATGAATGCGCCGTGTTCGATCGGCTGCGTCCCGTTGGCCGTCTTTCCAGACCGGCACCGCCGCTATAGCCAGTGTTTGCTGCTGCGGTGGCAGCTCCCGCCCAGGATCGTCTTACCCTCTTCAACTCCTCGGCGCAGCGTTCATGATACTCGAGCTCGGCATCGAGGAAGTGGGTGAGGTCCCGCACACTATCGACCTCTGCGTCCTTGATGTCCTGCATCCGTCGCAACACGTCCTCGCTGCTCTCCTCATATTTGGCCTTGGCTGTGCGTAGCTCCTCCTCAATGCGAAAGTCTTCGCGCTTCGCCTTTTGTAGCTTGGTGATGGATGCGTCGTATGCAAGACGGCGGTTCTCGAGCTTCTTGCGGGCCGACTAGATATGGAGAACGCAAGGAGTTAGCAGGCATCCCAGAGATGTTCCCAGGGGCCAGGGCAACGAACCTGATACTCCTTCATCATAGCAAGCGATCTCTCGAGTGACTCTAGCCAGTACGTAGTCGCATCATTCGCAAAGTGCTCCTGGAAGGTGGCTACTCGTTCATTCGCTCGTCCCATAGCTATGTCCTCCTGTGTCAGCAGCTTCCCAGGTCACCAGAATGTCGTACCAAAGGGGAGACCACGTACCAATCAGGCAATTCCCAAACTCAGAGTCGTTCTCAAAGTCCTCGCCGTGGCTAATCATGGTGCGGCCCAGGTAGGCTGCCGGCAGCCCCTTCTCCTTGTCTTCGAATGTCTCACCCCGGCGAGAAAGCCACTTGACGTAGGCATTCATGGACTTCTGTAGGCGATCCGCTCCTGTACGGGGGAGAAAGAGAAGCAGCGTCAGCAGTGTAAACAACTAATAGGACATACTGGACCGGCCAGGTATGGTGTTGTTTGTTACGTACCGTCGTAGCGGAGGGCCATCTCGGTCTCGAGCATTTTGAAGTCGTCCGACATGCTAGTCTTTGCCTCGGCACCCATCTTCTCGCCGGCCCATTGGAAGGCGCGATCGATCTTCTTTGTGATATTCATTGTGTTGATGGACTGATTGGGTCTTCCAATCGCTTGCTATGTAGTCTGTGGTGTTGTGCCAGGTCTTATGCCCAAGACTGTCCTCAATTATAGGACCAAGGTGTGTGGGCGGCTCGAGATCGGTTGGGTGGGCGGTTGTCGCAACAGTGAAAGTGTGAGGATTGGTTGCGGTTGTCGTCGCCGTCGTTATCTTTCGGTAGCGCAGGATGTGGATTGACCCAGTGAAGAGGGGAGGAGAAGACAGGGCGTGATATATTCCAAGAGTCGGGAAATGGGAGAAGAAGAAGAGGGAGGAGGAGGAAGAGGAGGGGAGGGGATTTTGTTGACAAGGTGCACCACACACACACACACACACACACTATACAAAGTAGCAGCACCTGCCTCCAGTCCCTGAATCCAGATCCAGGGAAAGTGCGACTGGCTGGTTGGGCTGGTGTGTGGTAGTAGTAGTAGTAGTAGAATGGTGTGTATGTGGCAAGCACGACCCGGACCCGGACCCGGACAAGGTGACAGATAAGGTAGGTACGACCACCACCTCTTGCAAGGTTGCTAGTCCAGTCTAGATGAATCTCGCCGCTGGCTCTGTGCTCGCTTAAAGATCGATCGGTCCTGCCAGCCCCGTCAGTGGAAGCTGCTCGCTTGTGCCTGTACTTGTGCTTGTGCGGGGTTGTGTGGTGCAATATTACCTGCCTCTTGAAGCTATAATTATTTAGACAAATTAAACAATATGATGCTGATAGACAGTGGAATTGATATGGTGGCCAAATGTAGCAGGCAGGTATAGCTATAGATCAGAGAAAGAGAAGATAGAAAAGAAGGAAAGAACCCTTAGAAATGGATAAGAGGGCCGCATATACCTTATACAGACAGACAGACCTGTACCTAGGTACTCTAAGACAATCCAGATTCCCCAACAGAAAGAACCACGTTGGATAAGTACCCCCTTTGACTTCAGTACTTTATGTTGATATGTGGGTAGGTTGTGCTAAGTAGGTAGTCGCGTCGAGAAATTTAGACAACCATACAGTAGATACATCACCATCATCATCGTCGTCATCATCATTCCCCTCCCTCACTCGCCCCTTCCCTCCCTCTCTTTCGACCCATCCAATCCCTTCATGGAAGGAGGCCTATAGCCAGACTTGGAAGTGGGCTACAGTACTCAACTACCCACCTGTTATATGTATCGTGTGTACTAGAAGGCGGTTAGGCGGGTAGCACACACGTTCCAGGGGTTGGTTACCTAAAAGTAGGTATGCACGGTATGGTACAGTATGTCTCTTATTATCGCAGGGCAATGGATGCAGATGGGCGGCTGGTGGCTGGTGGCGGGCGGGCGGGCAGGCGGCGACGATACATAGGTAGAGAAAGATGGGGCACAGGGGTCTCCCATCCGAGCCATCCCATCCATCTGGGCGGGCCCCTTGTTTCCAGGTACCACCACTCACTTGGCTAGTTCAGTATTCAGTGAGCTTTAGTGGCCTCTAATGGAAGGTTTCTTCCCATTCCCACGGAATGAGCACGCGTGGCACCTCGGACGCTAAAATATAGGTACCTAACCTAAACCAAGGGAACGAGGTACCGTACCCATCTCATGGTTTTCCCATGTTTGACCATCTGAGTGTGTCTTGTCTGCAAAGATCCAACGTCTCCATGTTAGTTCTTAATCTTGATACGGGGCATAATCCACAATCTGGATAGGTCTATTTCCATCTCCATATTTCTGTTCAGGATGGACACAGCTTCGTTTATCATTATCAATAAGTAGGATTACGTCGATAGATTGAACCGAGTGAAGACACCGAAGCAAGCAAGGCTACCTTCACAGAGAGAACAGACAGACAGACAGACAGACAGACACATGCTCTGTCTCAGGTTCTCTTCAAGTCTTCCGTGATCGCCTAACCAAGCAATCCGAACAAGACATAGCTACAAGCATAGCGAATCTATGCACTCTTCTCCCCTCCCTAGCAGCTCTCTGCGCTGCGCCTCGAAAGCGGAGCCACTGAATGATAACATGAGGATATCGAGGAGGGGAACGCGGGAACCCTGACACTGCAATTACAGTGCAGTGCAGAGCAGTACAGTACATTACATGATGTCGCTTGTATTAAGAGTATGTGATTTGACTCTCCACATCTATCATATCGAATATTCACTCTTTGAAATCACCAGACTCTTGGGGAGACTGGGCCAAATACATACCTACTCTTTTGCAGTGAGTCCAGGTATACATACCAGTACTCATCAATCTTCCCATACGACATGATGCTCAAGATCCAGTAGTTCGCTCCATCGTCCCTCGGAATGGCATGTGTCCAATGGGCCGATATACAATGTGTAACGCAGCTCGGTGAATATACCATCACATCTCAATGATTGTCTGGATTATCGATTCATTGCTTCCACCTACAACTCTCCTGCCAAGGCTTTCCAAGTACGTGATGCAGCCAAGGTCTGGTACCTAGCTAGGTACTTGCCAGCCCTAATGCCGTTCCGAATTCAAAGAAGAGCGGGCCCTTACACTACTCCAATCAAGATGCATACATACATGTACATGCTCAGGGTTTGGCTGCCCAAGAATGCCTGGTTTCTCGGCCCGGTGCGATCAAACAAGTTGATTGAGGCTGTGTCTACAGTATAGTTGCCGCATTCTTCTCCATGTAGTGTAATCTGCAGTACAGTACTTGCAAGGAAGTGCAGAGAGCAATTTACAGGGAGTCGGGAATTGCGTCTCTCGGGTGAAATGACGGCATCCTTCAGGGCTGTCAGAGACCCCCGGCGGTTAGTAGAGACATCCAACATAACAGAGAGAGCTATTGTTATTCGTATTGTACTGTACCTGACAGTCAGCTGCGCCGCTTTACTGGACTGGATCCGGAATGGGCGGGCAATTCGGTGGCCAACCATTTACCCTAGGCCATCTACATCTGGAACACACCTTTGTAGCTACGCCTTTCTTCCATTGAACTTGCAGCCTCTCAAAAATGGTACCTGACTATCTCCCCATGTATAATACTGGCGGCTGTTGTGCCTCGTCCTTCTCTAAGAAAGAAGTTAACCAGTAGGATTCTCAGGTAAGTTGTAGACTGGCTATGTGCTGTAAGAGAGGACAGACTGCCCCAAGTCTGAAACCAGTTTCAATCCCCACAGCCAACATCCAGTCAAATCCCTGATCCAAACCTTCCCAGGCTTTGGACAGGGAACTCGATGTACTTCCATTGGCTGGAGAGTGCCCTACACCCTTAAGCTGTGCAAGGAGTCGATCGGCTATGCTATGCAACCACGCAACGTCACGACTGAGCCTCTTCTGTCAGACCCCGTCCATTCCGAGGGAGAAAAGACGAAACACCGGTCTTCCAGAATAGATACTTACACAGAATCGTTGGTTGGATGCCAGCGAACCCCGCGCATCCGATCATGGCGGCGTGACCTGACCTGCCGAAGCACTCATCCAGGGGCGGCACATACGGCTCGACTATCATCTCATCGTTTATACGCTGCATGAGTGCCGAAACACTCCCATAGATGTTGGCATGACGACTGTCTGCTCAGAAGGGATGATCGACATCATGTTGTTCTGACGTCCCTCATGCACACAGCCTCAATGCAGAGCGCGAAGATCTAGTCTACCGTGCAATGACATGTTTCAGACACCGTTGGCCATTGTCAAGTACCATATCTAGCCCAAGGGATGTAGATTGTAGAACTACAGTACTCCCATAGCCCAACAATTCAATTAAGCGTCGTGGCATTACCAGTCATATCCAATTCCCTGAAGAAACCAGCCGGGTGCTTCGACTTTCGAGGGGATCGTTCATCTTGTACTTCCTCATCCGATGCATCAACTCGTCCTAGGGACGTATTTGCAACTTCCGGATGTTACTATGTATGTGCCAGTTATAATTGACTGGATCCAGTCTCCGACGATACTGGCTAGAGTCTATCAGTCTCTATGCTGAAGCTTCCCATCATCACAAGCACAAGAGTCGGCCAGAGCCGAGGCTAGTTATCTTCAATATGCTGTATATTCATGGGATCCATCGTGAATCTTTATGGAGTCAGTGTCTGTTCAGCCTTGTACAGTCTATAGTCCACGCTTACGAACCATGGTTACCAGAGCTAGCTTAGGAATCAAAGAGCCAAGTTATGGCCTTTGTCTACGATCATCCATACACATGAATCAGAGTACCGTCTCCCAGTCACAATATTTCACACAATCTCTTGTTTTCGGCAGGAACTTGCGGGTGCAACGCTTCTCCTTTTTTCTTCATCATCTCGCCTCCATCCGTAACACGTGCGTGATGGACGTCTCATTTTGTTGGCCGATCTTGATGCCTAGAGTCATCAAGAGCATCTCGATCTCACAACCCCCGGATTACCACAAAGGGAGATCACAGTTGATCTCGTGTGCCTCGTAACGCCTACCCAGATCCCAAAATACTCTAAAGACTCAACTTCACATCATGCGCAGCCATGACCTCGAGCCAGAAATGCCTCGTCTACCTATACCGTACCGCTTATGCTTAGCTCTCTGATCTCTTGCAACACCTGCTCAACCCTCGAGTCTAGTTGACCCTGCGCGTATTGATCTCTCGTGTCGGCATCGAGATATTGTTGTACCTGGGCCATTCTGCTGTACGCCTCGGCACAGAATCGTAACTGGATCTTGACTAAAGCCTCAAACGACGGGTCGAGATAAGGAACCCGCAGGTCTATCAGCTGCGGCAGCTCTGTGCACAGTTGCTCGTTGAGTTGTTCATAGGCAGCCTTGGCCATTTCTTGCTCCTTCTCGGCTCGCGGCAGCTTAGTCACATCCTTGTCGGGCTTGTCGACGAGACGCTTCACTTTGGCACGAAGAGCGTCGTAGTCGAGTAGCTTATGACCACGCTTCTTGATACCTGGGGACAAGGAACGTCAGCAGACTGGTCGAATGCTGAACGAAACATGCGATCAGGGGTAGATCAGAAGTATCCCGCATCAGCAAAGATGACTACTTACATTCATTAACATCCGGAAAGTATGCGCAGAATCTTGAAATTGGTTCCAGGACCGTCGTTCTACGTTAGGTTTGCAAGTCAGCCTCTACCTTGGTGATGCGCTATTCCCTCGCAATTGCCTTGGATTGAATTCCATACCGGTATGGGCCATCCAAGGCCTTGATTGTTTCGGCATCCAGGTCCTCGACGGCTTGTTTGTAGCTGCGGCTTACGCCATCCTTGGCACCGGCGTCTCCGTAAAAGGCGTCGATTGTCTCAGCGATACGCATTTGTGATGCCGTCATTGCTGCGATGGCCATCAGTCACACCTCCAATTCCGCAGCTCTAGCGGCGTTTATTGCCAATAGCATCCATACTTACCTCGTAGGGAGTCTAGATAACCCTTGGCTTCTTTCTGCAGTCGCAAGGAGGCGGCCTCCATTGTGCGGAACCGTCTATCATGCCGATCATTAGCAAGATATATTCGCAGAGCATGCCCCGCCATCGCAGGTCGCAGCTCGAGGGTTTGGGTATGGGTGAAGTCGGTACCTCTCCTCCACCTCGTAATCGCGGTCATTCGTCTTCTCGACATGGCCTGTCGCAACACGGATCAGAGGTCAGCAAGCACTTCTTCGACACAAGATTGTGGCAGTCCCTCTGAAGTCGGGAGAGGAAGCAGCGGGGAAATGACATACCGGTCTTCATCATAACCTGCGTCGTTGCGCGGTTTACATTTTTCTTGAAGCCTGTGCAGAAACTTGGATCAGATGATAGCCCTTCAACATGGTCTTGATCGTTGCGACACATTGCTGCCTTCGTCAGGCATGAGAGGGGAAGCTGGGGCATGACAGCACAGGACTGAACAGAACAGAGGACATACCTGCCCACGACATGATGGGCGAGCAGTAGGCTAGAAGCGGCCAGTCGATAAGGGTCTAGGTTGTCTGTCTGGTCGAAGGGCTCTCGTGTCCGTGTGTGTAGACACTCTCGTCGTGTAAATCAGGGCAGGTCAGAGAGAGAGAGAGGTGTGTTTTGTTCAGTCCGCTGTATCTAGATGTCCGATGCCAGTGTCAGATGGCAGGGGAATCGAAATCGAAATCGAAACCCAACGCAAGGAGGTCAAAGCGAACCGTATGATGTTGAGTGGACGGGTGGTGGGGATGTTGTCGAGCGGGCAAGCAAGCAACAAGCAGGGAAGAAGCAGGCGACGATGATGATGAGTTGGATGGATCCGGTGGGTGGTGTCTCTCTCTCTGTTCTGTTGTGGCTGTGCCCAGGTTCGACGTCACGCCGCCCAGCCACATTTTGGCGGGGAACAGCTCCAGCGTCGGGAGGCTCAGCAGCCGTCATGCCGTTCCTTCCGTTCAGGTTCTTCAGGAATTAGGTAAGCAGCAAACACCCATGCACCCATCCATAGATGCATGCATGCAATTTTAGGACATGTCTGCCGGATGACTCGAAACTTCCAATACCTCACTCACTCACACGTACACACATCAATCGAGACCTGATTAGTGAGAGAAACAGGACTTCAATGGCAGGTTAAAACACTTTTGACGGGGACGGCCCCAGGAGCAGCAGGATGGGGCGGAAAGGAGTTGCACTCCACTAGTCATTGTCAATCGAGTTGAAAGAAGCCAACAAAGGAATCGAACAGATCGAAGCTAGCAGCCACCACCACGATTACACGACCAAGTCAACTTCGAGAGTGTTTCCCTCTACCACCTCTTCTCCTCACTGGAGCCACTCCCCGTCATGTTAAACGACGATCACCAAACCATGTTCAGTCCTCGCTTCCTCGTAGTGAGTCTGGGCAATCCTGCCCCCTACGCCGACACGCTACATTCGGCTGGCCATCTCGCCCTCGTTGCCGCACAGAAACAACTTCAGGGCACCCAGCCCCCCTTCTCCTCCTCCCGTTACGCCAAGAAATCAGCGCAAGCTTCGGTCGGCCCAAAATACACCTTTCTACAGTCTCCAGCCGTGATGAACGTCTCTGGGCTGTGGGTTGCGCGAGCGTACAGGGAGATCCTAGCCGATTCAGATGTTGGCTCGGCCGATATGGGTCTTATCCTGGTACATGATGACCTCGAAGAGGACCTGGGCGTTGTCAAGATTCGCAAGTGGGAAAGGAGTCACCGTGGACACAATGGCGTTAAGAGCGTCAATGCAAGCTTGCGTCGAGCCGATTATCAAGGCTCTCTCTGGGCCAGAATCTCTGTTGGAATTGGTCGGCCAGCCGACCGAGACCAGAGAAGCGTATCTGACTACGTGCTCCGTCCCATGAGCCAACATCAAAAGATGGTTCTCGCTGAGAAGGCCGGTCCAGGTGTCGTGGCTGCTCTGATGGAGCTGGAGAGCCAGTGGCAGAAGGATACTGTACAAGCGGCTGCAAAAGAGTCTGCTTGAATCACTCAATTCCATATGTGGCGTTACGGCTGAGTTCCCATGATACCCAGGGTTAGATCGGCCCAAATACATTGCTTCTCTATAGATAACAAAGCGTCACAACCCATATTGCATACATCGCCGCCAGCATATATCAGCTTTCGTGAGAACTGGAAAATGCCCTCTAGAACCAAAACCCTAACCCAGAGATATGACCGTTATGACTAACCACACAAATCTAGTCTGGGATTCACCTCATGCACTTCTAGCAACCGAAGCAAGCAATGCCCCTTGTGAGTCTTGAATTCGAAGTCCGGTTGCACCGCCGTCTTTGCCTATCTCAAAGACAAATCTGTCTGGCGCCCCTTTCCCAAGCGAGCCAACATCCATCCAGGTTATGCAAGTTGGCGTGCCCATGTCTGCGGGCGCGGCCTTGTTCTGAAATACGGCGACAAACTGGTGGCTTGACGCACTTACAACGTTTGTCGGGTAGAGGCGGAAGTCAAGAGCGGCCGTCTCAATGGCCATGGACTCTGCCACCTCCGCCATCAGATCAGTGCCATTCAGACGAGCGGTTATGACGGAGAGACCAGGGCCATAGTCGCTCTGGTTGAATGCCACGACTGACTGATTGTTGCTTGCGCTGTATGTACCCACAAACTGTGTGATCATCATCACCGCGGCCATTTCCGTCAACTGTGTCAGCCCATCGCTGACCACGTCTGCGTAGACGTTCAGATCCAACTTGCGGTCTTCCACGGTGCTATCGTGCGCAAGGATTGCAAATCCGACGTTGAAGTCGGGGGCGAGGCCAAAATAGCTGGCGTATGGCCCAATCGCGCCGCTCTTGGTGAAGATGTCAACAATAGGGGAGATGGCACTAGATCCTGCACGATACACCTCCCAGGGTCTGCCTACCCCGTTGCGCAAGTTTGAGGTGTCAGCGATGGGATGGAGCCAACGGCGAGTCACGGCAGGCTGCAGGAGTCGAGATGAAAGCATGGCATTGCCCGCACGAGCAAGGTCCGCTGTTGTGGATAGGAGCGAGAGCGATCTAGCATGGGGTCAGAAAGAGGTCAAGATGATAGCGAGTTTGTTGAGAGATGGAGATACTTACGCAGGTTCACCAACTTGGGACACGTTAAAGTCTTGGTGGCCAAAGACAGCTGCTGACTTACAGCCGAGAAGCTCGGTCTTGGTCATGTTGAGTGGTTGAATCGTGGTGGAAGACAGCACCTCCCCGAAGCTCTTTGTACCATTCTTCCTCATCATGGCAAAGGCAAGAAGCTGGAAGGCGACGTTGGATGCCATCGGTGTGGTTCCAGGGAGAAAGACGGGTGAGAAGCTCGTAAGCTTCTCTCTGAACGCTACTCAGTGTCAGTATGTTCCGGTGGATTAGATCAAGAGAACAGTATTGCTTTAACGAACCATCATAGTCACAAGGTTTGTTGATTGTGCATGCATAAGCTAAGAGTCTCCAAGTCAGAATATGCGCACCAGGTTTGATCAATTCAGTGGAGACTTACAATCTCGAGCGAGACCTGACATCTGTCCCGCAAGAGTACCAATGGTCACATCTTGCCATGGTGTGCTCACTTCGCCCGGTGGTGTTTCCAGGCCGCTCAGTTCGGGTAGGAAGGCGGTAATGGGTGTCTCCCAAGCCTCCTCTCCGACTTCAACCAGCCAGGCATAAACAGTAAAGAGCTGTGTTAAATCGCCCACTGGAAACAGGGTATCAGACGTAACATTCGAGCTGCCCTCTGATTGCGCCGTTGTTGCCGTGTGATGATACTCGAAGAAGGCAGCATCGTCGCTGTCCGTCGTACCCGAGAACAAGACTACGGAGAAGGAGGTTGTGTTTGGAGTAATTGGGCCATAGTCATCGCTGCCTCCTGACTGAACCAGGTTATCGAATTCGGTCGTGAACTTGCTAACGAACGATGCAACGGCGTCGGAAGCAGTGGAAATCGTCAAAGGTGGATAATAGGCTCGTAGGAGAGGACAAGGTTGGAATGAGATCTGATCAACCGCTGCATGTGCGCCAGCAAGCCATAGGCTCTCAGTGAGTAGTCCTGCATATAGTAATGCTCGAGGAAACAAGAATGGCATATTGGATTTCGATATTATGATGATGTCCAGTGATCAAAATGAGCCCAAGTGCGTTGTAGGCGTTCGCAATATATGCATCGTTTCTTTCATCGGCCGGTTCAGTCTCGTTTATATCTACATACGGACGGTGTGCGGCAAAGACACGGAGGAGGGCTCGGTCTTGATTAGCAGCCATGGTGCCTCCTTTTTTACGACAAGCCTCATCACAGCCTCGTTGCCCTAGCATTTCCTGAGAAGAAGGATCAACGGCATGGAGAAAAAGTCCACAATATTGGCCTTTTCGATCTCGTTTCCACTTGCAGCGTAGCATGAGCTAAGTGAATGACCGGTAGAGGTCCGTCTTGTTGGTCCTTGTCCGTGTCCGTGTCCGTGTCCGTGTCCGTGTCTTGGCGCTCCGGACATCCTCGTCCGTAGACGAATTCGCAGCGCTACGATTTGAATACGTCACAAATCTGAGAATATTTCAAAATAAATGATTTATTTTCTTTTTTGTACAAATGCCTAATTAGTCGCCAAAAGTCCCAGGTTGGTCAGAATACATGCCAAAAACTTCATTCGGCGATATATCGAGCCCTATAGTAGAGAAATCGTCAAAACCCTCGTTCCCAAAGAAAACATCTGGCCCAATTGCCTCTGAAAAGACAAATTGCGGTAGATTATTTAGTGTTATATCTATATTCATTTCTGTCGATTCAGTCATGCCTAGGCTTGACACAGGAGACTCGTCAGAACCGCCAGAATGAGAGCCGGTTAATGGGTGGTAGTTGTCGAGGTACCATTTCTCGAGACCTCGGGCACGATGGCACAGGTGATAGAAGGTATCGCGGTCACCGGTGTCATCTTCTGCTAGACTGATCGCAGATTCTAAGCGCAAAACAATCTGTCTCAGTATATGTCGCAAATCAAGTAGGCGGTGTAGATGCTCCGTCAAATGCGCAATAGGCTTCAAGGTTGTTGCCATGTCAAATCGTATAGCAAATGAAAGTCCCCGATGCAACATGATCCAGCTGAGATTGGTCAAGATGAACTCCTCGCCCGGTGCCAAGACAAGAATCATGCTGATGAGCGACTTGACGCAAGTAATGCTTTCAGAGAGGTACTTGATTACTGGTCCTTGATCTTCGCTGCCTAAACTTTTCATATTCGCTGGGTTGAAGACAGTTCCTCTGGTTGGCGATTGATTGAGCAACATTTCAAGCGTGTGTGAGTGCAGCAGAGCCGTTGCTATATTTAATGTTAGATGCGCAAAGAATGTTCAAGCAGGAGAAAAGTTTGGGGTGCTTACGACAATCACTGAGAGGAAATGTCAAATGAGTTTTGAGCAATTCCAGTTTATCTCTCACTGCCATGATCCTGGCGGCGAAAAGGTGGTTGCGAGATTCTCTCGTGGAGTTTTCCGTTAGAACATCGTCAACCTCTTCGCCCAGCTGCTGTAGACGTATAAGATGGCGCAGAAACTTGTCGGTGCGAAGTTCACCTCGCTCACCGAGTGTCTCACATGATTCTAGAATGAACTCTGTGCAGCGTAGATAGCCTGATTTCTGCAACAACGAACTGCTGGCGTTCACATTAGCTTGCGTGATGCAGGTGACATGAGTTCATCCAACCTTGAAGCCAGGTAGTATGTTCCAAGCAGCGCTCTCAGCTCTTCTGGGTTCCAGGAATCATTCTTCGGCTCCGAATACTTGTCCCCAACTGACCAGAGCAAGCTATTCTTTGGCTTGTCGAGCCTCATATCAGACACGATGCTTATGGTCAGATGGAGATGCTGCGTATAACGCCGTGGCCGGGGCTGGTAGTGTGCCCTGCTCCCATTAGTATTGGATCATCGTGCAATTCCAATGACGCTCAAGCGGGTTGCGTACCATGCCAAGGAAACAAGCAAGCCCTGCAGCATGTCCAACGTTGCAAAACGCCCCCTGGTCATTCGCAAGCCAACAAGTTGATTGAAGCGATTGCCAAGTCTGCGCTGGAGTCTCGGGTCTTCAAACGCAGCAGCTGCTAGGATGGCAAGACACAGAGCCGGCCGAGTCTGCCGTAGATGTGCCAAGGGGATGCTATCAGGTACCACCACGAAAGGGAAGTGCGGCACCATCTTATGGTTGAAGCACGCCAACAACCTCTCACCATGGTCAAGGTCCAAGAGTCCGCCTGAAAAAGGATCTACCGAATACAATTCAACATTCTGCTCGACTGCTGTCGAGGCCGTGGTTGCAGCCGCAGGACTAAGACTCCTGGAGGACTCCGAAGCATGTCTATGTCTTGTCGCAGCAGCACGAGGACGATGAGATTGTGCCGGAACTACCCCTCGGCGAGCCGGAGCGAAGATGCACGTCTTGTTCAGCCGAAGACACCGATCACACGAGCCCGAGTCCTGGGTCCGGTCGCATCGGATTTTGGCCCGGTGGCATGTCTGGCACGTCTTGAGAAGCGGCATGTCTGATCCAGTAGCCAGTGGCTGACTTCTAGAACGCGGGGGGCCGGTGAGTTCGTGCCAGCGTCTGTTAGCTATTTGCTTCGCTTTGCCCTCTTGGATGCCTGTGTATTCTGCATTCAAAGATCCACTGATTGATGTTATTTTTGTTTACGACAGGCAGGGCATTCCCTTTAAAACGGTGGGTATGATTGAGCCCAAGGATAAAGTTTCATTTCTCCATTAGAAGCGCCTAAATCTGCCAAAATTGGTAGTGTGTCTGTCTAACTTGACTCGCAAGTCGGCAATTTAGGTGGTCCCTCCACTCGAGGCTAAGCTGTTGCAACGACACCTCTATAGCATGCGCCCCTTTTCTCTGATTCAGACGCGTTCACCGAATTGACATCAACCATAAACAGCTTTGTAAACTCATGATAATCTAAGTATAATTTTATAGCATGCATATAGGCTACGCATTGAATACTTTCCTAACTAACGGTCGGGTTCCTTGTAAATTTCCGGTCCTCTCCACGTCCATTGTTAAGACATGTCAGATCCGGTAATTCCCATTCCATGATATGGACGATACCACACAGATCAGTGAAACCCTTCAGAGTAATCCAATTTAGTAGGCTATTCTGAAGAGTGAATATCCATGAATTCAAGGACGCTAGTCTTGAGCTTTCTCTAAACAAACCATATCACAACCCATGAGTTCGTCAGCAACTTTGGCAAAGTGCTTTACTGGTCAAACATGCAAGTCGCTTGCCTCCCTGAAATCAATGGCAAATCCCGCTGTCTCCTTGCCCGAGGACGCCAATGCAGTTTCCCAGACAGATACAGCAAGCGAATTATCGACGGGAGCGTTCCTAGGCCATGCCATCGCCATCAAGGTCTCCCTGGCCTTGTCCCATTCGTCGACGCCAACAACTTCTGACCACACTTGAATCTTTTGGTTGAACCAAAACCCGAAAATTTGAAGCGTGTTATTATAGTCATGCTCCTTGAGGGTCCTGGGGTCTGATAGAGCTTTTGCAAGAGTATATGCTCCGACAAAGACTTTCCAGAACCACAAGTCCCGATTGACATGCCCTATCCTCATCTCTGTCTCTGTTCGAGTTATATCTCGTTTGAGGATCAAGAAGAGGCGACGAAATAGGCGAGGCTCCAAGGGTAGTCCCCCATACCACATGCCAATGACGCTATGCAGATAAAATTCGGCAGCAGTAGCCAACCCACACCATGTTGAGACTATACCGTCTTCCTGGGGCGTGTCTGGACTGAATTCTGAGGGCTCGCGTCTGAGTGATAGGACGTGTGCTTTGGTGTTTTCAAGCAACAAAGACGACGGCCCGCTGCCAGCCCAGATCGGAGCCAGATTTCCCCCAGCAGATTTCATGGTGATATCTCTCAAGATCTTCAGCAGTGACTCGGCATTGATGTTTCTATTTCTCGGCTTCAGGTGCTCATGTGCATCGACACTTCCAAAGAAATACGGAATCAGACGGAGTGATTTCAATCTAGCGTCTCGTCCAGTTGAGGTCAATCCTTGCCACTGACCTAGGAGCGGTGCACTGGACCGCTTCCCCTGGGCCAAGAGCCCCTTAACTCCGCAGACGAAGTTATGCGCCCTGTGAACAAAGACAGACGTGTCAACACTACGCTCAGTTTGAAGACGCTT